TATTTTTTACTATTAGTTTGGGTCGCCAAGTACAGGACTTGTGGTACATTATGCAACCGTGTACCATTTGCATTAACACACTGTCCCAAAAATAAATTCCATTCCGATAAAAAACATTCAAAAGTGAATGACAAAAGTAGATTGCAGCAGTTTAATACCAACAGTGTTCCGTCGAATAAGAAAAAAAGGTTATGTACACACGACACTTAAATGCATTTGTAGTGTGGACCATAAATGGAAAGGTGAAATCAGGTCCCTAATATACACGCAATAAAGAAGTTGTAGGTAATTACCATGAGAATGAATGGGAGATGAGCGATTGGGTAGCTAAAACGGCACCCAATTACCCATTGGCAAAGAGGCCACGTAGCTACTGTGGCTGCTGCGGTTGAGGTTGAGAGGCACCACGACCGGCGTAGAGCGCAGCGGCCTGCTGCTGAGCTGCAAGCTGCTGGGCCATTTGGATTTGCTGAGCCGATTGGCCCGTGGTGATGCTGCCTCGGTAGCCGGTGGGCGCAGGAGGGAGGAAGGTCCCACTGCCACTACTGAGAGGCGGTCCAGCAGCAGCAGAAGACGAGACACCCGTGGGAGTGGGAAGACCCGATGTAGAGGGGGACCGCGGGTTCGAACCGAGGGAGGAAGCGGCCACCATTGCCGCCAACTTGGGGTTGTTCAAGAATGCTGACAGCGTCCCTGCGTTGATCGCGCTCAATACCTCTGCTTGGAAATGTAAAGTGAGGCAGTACGGGTATAACAGTCATGAAAACTAGAAAGCACAATTTAACTAAAGAGCACTATGCATGCAAGCATGGGGCGTAAAAAAAATTGGTCCGCAAGCGACTACGGATCCGGGCGAGGTCGTAAAATCAAAAACAGGTTTGGAAGAACAACATTTGAGCACGTATGGGACTGGTTCCGACGGAATAGTTACAAGTAAACCCCCGAGTTATGACACAAAAAGCGAAAGGAGTTTAGTACCCGATTGTAGTTTTCCGCTAGCGGCACCAAGCTCGACAAGATATTTGGAAATTGCTTGGAGTTCTTGCGCAGTCATCTCCCGATTCCCCAAAATGTTATTAACAGGGCCATCGGGAAAGCTTTTTGCAAGAAACTGCTGTTGCTGGGGTATAAGCGAGCCATATATAGCCATTTGACGTTTATCTAATCCCGAAAACGCGACTGATCCTAGATTGGGATTGGCAGCCGAGGAATCGTGGACTCCGTGAGTCGAAGATGATGGTGAGAACTGAAATATTTTTGTTAAGATGGAGAAACACTTAAGACTAAAGTGAAGCAATGATATAGATACCTGGCTCGGACAATATAATTGGCCAACTTGCTTTCTCAGGGCACTTGTTTGACTGATAACATCCAGTGAACAACTACCTCCAAAACCCTTATGTGCAGTCTTTGGTAGCATAAGGAGAGCATCTTGAGAAGCTCTGCCTTGACATTGGTCAGCATACAAAGCTACTTTCTCCATCTGAATCCTTAAGGTTTCATAGGAAATGAATAAGTTACTGTTGATTTCTAGCTCTAATCTCTACTTCTCGCAATTTACATTCCTGTGTTATTTGTTTGAATCTAGTAAAGAGAGCATCTTTTTCCGTTTTAAGGAGAGATATTCTCTTTTTTGTCTCAAAAATCTGGAGATGAAATAAGCGACAACTTACCTCACGTTTTGCATTTTCGAGGGACTCAGTGGAGAATTTAATCTGCCTCTTACGTTCCTCGCGTTCCTTCTTTAGACGTTTATAATAATCAGCTTGAGCGCGCTCTGAAAAGACTGAATGAGCGGATCATATACCTTCAGCCTCTCGTTTGCGCTTATTCATTATGAACTTCTTCAACTTCTGATACATTGCCTGGTTGAGTTTTTCCCTCTCAAAGGTTATGGTATTTGACATAGTAAGACAAGTTAAAGATGATGCTTCTAATGAAATCAGTGAATGAGGAAACACTTCTGCGAAATCAGGAAAGAACAAGTCACACAACAACTATGCGGGAATTCGAAAAGCGTGGTCCTATAATGGCTGATTAGAACGAATTGTGAGAACAAATATTTAACCTGATACTTTATGCAATCATGCAAAGGCAGCATAGACAGTCATCTGATTCTTCTAATACTATTTCAAAGAAATTCAGGGCATCGAATAACCCTAACCTACCTTTTTTTGAGTACTGAAATGCTGTACCAGGCTTTCGGATGCATGCAATGTTAGACACTGAAGTTGAACATGATATTAAAATATAGCTTACAACAAACATTAATTAGGTTTTTAGTTACTCAGAAACTAGTTCTCTTTGATAGATTTGGCTGCCGCCTCTTCTTCCTCCTTCACTCCCTTGGAAAGAGTAGACTGACCAGGTAGGGGAATTCTTTGCTAGTGATATTAGGAACGGGCCATAGTGGTAAAGGTTATGCTCACTTAGAGTTTTTTCCTCTTTCGTAAGTAGGTGACGACTGTTTCGTAACGAACGCTCCTCACCCAAAAGGGGTATTCGAACAAACATCTGTTTGACCCCTAATACACAGAGCCAAACGGATTCTGTCGTTGAGTAGCCGCCACTTTCCTGAACCAGGCCTTTTCTTTGTTATTAACATAGAATGGCTGGAAGGCTATTGCCATGGTTAAGGGGCCATACCACTAAGCTAAAGTGCAATGCGCCAAGAATTCAAAGCCTGAATTTTTAAACAGTACGAGCGATGTGAGTTGTTAAAAGATTACAGCAAGTCCTAGAAAAGTGCAAAACTAGGTTTTAATTCCTTATTTTTGCAATAGCGTCCTTGTAAATCCCTAAATTCATGACGCTTAACTTATAAATGAGGTAATGTATGAAGCTACATCGACCATTGTTGATTTTCACAAAATTCTGTTGGCCAGTGTCATTAGCCCGAGTTAATTGGATGTTTATCGTCTTGGTATAGTTGTGGAGATGGCGCGCATTTGTGAACTAAGCCTGGAATTGTGTGTGCGTATTTTTTCTGTAGCTTGGGTTAATAAATCTGCCCATGTAGCGGTGCATCCCTTCCGCAGTAGTATAGAACACATTACTACCGCAGATGAGATATTTGAGGCTATTAGCATGTCCTGACAACCATTCAGTAGAGTAAAAGTACAACCTGTTCAGACTGGAGTGTTCGAGTAGCCAAGCGCATAGCTAAACAGAATATCGAATCGCTGGAAGTACCACGGCCAAAAAGTTGCCGACGTTAAAACCACTTCAAGTGCTGAAGGGCGCTTTGGTAACGAATACAACTTTGAGAAGGCACGGCATTCATGCCCAACATTCCCTCCCTGGTCTCCATGTGTAATGTTCTCCACCACATTTACGGTGGTCAAAGCGGAGCCAATGGTGGAATTTTTCCTGCTGCTGATATCTCTTTAACACGGATAATCCGTGAGAACTCGAATACGATTCACCCACGATAAAATCACATTCTCCCATTTGTCAACTACACCGCAGCGCGATCAACTGGCTTCAGCCTACTCCTCCTGCTAAGTGATCGATGAAATCGAGAAAAGCACTTCTTTGTGAAATACCAACCAACAATGATTTCACTCCACCGACGTGCAGCAGACAACAGAAGTGTAGGAATAGGACAGGTCTATAAATGAAAATATCAGCTTAGGATTGCAATGGGAGAAGGGTATAATACAGAGAGAGAACAGAGTAACGGCGCAATGTCAGTTAGGAGAGAGGGAACAGGAAGCCTCCAATTCAGCAACAAGGGCCTCAACCTCGGCGCGACGAGCCAGTTTGTCTTGCTGATCAGGATTCAGTATATGACCCTCTGCGGATTTTTCGGCTAATTGGGCGATCTGTCGCAATCGCTTCCTTTCCACTCTTAGCCGATGGCGTTTCACCACCTCACTTTCATCTTCTCCATTAGTCTCATTTCGAGCCTTCCCTAATTTCGCAATGAGCTTTTCTTCTACTACCGAAGGTGATTCCGCTACTTCCCATTTTTCCTGCTCTCCCAACTGGGTCTTACCAGCTAAAGAAGAATCAAAGCATCATAATGGAATCAACGAGAGTCGATTTGTGGGGTTAGTTTACTTAAATGTACAAAACCCTTTCGGTCTTATTAGACGTGGATAAATTAAGTGGAAAAGCATGACGGATAAGCCACATTTCCATGCAATGTGATTTAAAATTAGCATAACCGATAACGCTTAAGTCACCGCTTTTGCACGATTGAAGTGGCCGCAAAAAGCAAGGCGCTGCTCTGGACCAATTGGTAAGTCATGGAAAAACTTGCGCAAGTGCAAAGTCGGCCCTGGTGATAAACAACCAGTAGCCATAGAAACAAACAACTCATGTAAAACCTTAAAAAGGAATTTTATCGGATTCGCCATTGTTTATGAGAAGTAGCGCCAATAACACTTGAAACGGTTAATGAAATAATTCGAAAAAAAAAACAAGATTCCTTCCAAATGGTTAATCAAAAAGTTTGTGTTTTATAGAGCACTATAAACACGAAAAAAGTTGCTGATAGGGACCTGGGCTTTACCTCCAGCAGAATTAGTTTTTGCTTTCAATTTCTTATTCTTAGAAGACTTCGGATCCCGGCTATTTGAAGCTACCTCGCCTGCAGCCCTCCTTTGTCGGGTTATAGCAGCCGCATCCTCTTTGGACAGACCAGGGATAACAAACGCATCACGTTTCTGGCGCATCTGCTCCACAGGCTTTGGAAGGTAACTAATGAAGTTGATAAACACCAACACAAATTTCCGGAAGAACACAAATAATCGCTGTGAAAACATAAGGATTCACCACTTGGAGCATTCGCAATTATCTCAAGTACGGATAAAGCTGCAGAAAAAATACCCATGGTATTCAATAACAAACTTCGCAAATAAACAGTCGTTCTGCCACTAGCTGCAGAAAACCCCAAAACAACTTACAGTGTAAAAGGCCTCGCTGATCATGAACAACAAATAGAAAATTAAGCTACTGGAATAAAAGCACTTCGTACAAGCAGCCTTCATGGACCACGTTCTGGGCACTTACCCATCATGCCAAACAATATAAATGTAAGAAAGCTACTTAAGTGGGAAAAGACCGCATAATCGAACATTACATTCACTTAGCTTACGTTGGCACTTCATCCAGTGGTATGTACCCAGCCTTTACCTTGATTTCCTTTCTCCATGTACCATCGGGACGTCGGCTGGCCGGAATGACATGTTCTCCTAAAAGGAGTCATTTTGAAAACGGATCAGACCTTTCTCATTGACAACTACGCCAACACGCGCCGACCGCATTCCAAAGCCCACCGCACTTGACGAGGCGCCTCTAAAACCGCGCTCCTGTCACCACCATTATAAACACGTGTTTTTAAAATGCGAGAGCGAATGTGCCCAATCTAGCCTTTAAATATTGCACCACAAACCGTACTTCACTATACCTTCATTTTCAAACACTTGGCCTGTCAAAGCAGTTAATCGTATCATTAATGGTCTTTTCGATGCACGTCAGCAAAGTTGTTTTTGCAATAACTTTGAAATGGCTTGATCAAACTTTGCATCGAAAAGTACTCCTTGCAAATTTACTTACTTCAGGCTTCCGAATTTAATTTAGCTAACTTATTTTTCTGTAACTTGGGTATTTCAAGACACTTCAACATCCAATCACTAACCACTGTTGTTACCTCTTTACTGAATGCTTGTGTTGCTCTTTTCTACCACACGAGCTATTCCATCTTGACGGCAGAGCTTCTGGGCGTACCTGCAGCCCCTAAACCATTCTGTATTTTAACAGTAAATATTTTCTACACGCCAGAGTGGATTACCATGATTTCCGAGAAAATTGGGGGCGTTAGGGTAACGGTTTCTTGCTTAGAAGTTTAACATTTTTACAAATTTCAAGTTTTAAGTATTTGTTTACTACTGTGGACAAAAACACGCTTGCTTTATCCTGTAACAATGGCTTTATGAAGTACACCAGGCAGTGTAGGTTGGATTACATTAGTATTCAGTCTGTGCCCTTTAATAAACTTGGGGGCGTTCGTCTGTTTTTTCTCTTCGCCAATGCCTTGTAAATCATTAGCTGACCTAAGTTCTAATTCGTGTACAAGGCCATAGTTCCACTTTAGGGAATGAAGCAAAACCACTTGTCGGCAACTAAGGTGACACTACCACTTAACCATCTAGAGAAGCTTTGTCATGGAGCTGCTTACGATTCCCGTGTGAAGACACCAAATATGTGTAAACGCGATACAGCCCTCACATAGCTACTAGATGGATAGTATGCAGACAGATGTGGCTAAGCAGACCTGAAGTGAGAAAAAGTGGCAGGGAGGATCAGATACGGAATCCTACCCCAAGAACTATGTTAAATTCCGCCCTTAGTTATATGGCCGCGTGCTGGCTAATACACCCTCACAATACAGTAGCTACAGGGGACGAAACACAAAATCCTGTAGAACTACTAAGAGAAGTCAGGTATCTCCTCAACTGCATGGAAATTCGACAGCTAACATGATTACCTCGTTAATGTTTTTTATTGTAGCACTAATTACGCCTAACGGCTAACGCCAGAGGTTGACCAAGGGAGGCGTTGGGTACGGCTAAAAGAGGAGAAGGGCCATGGAATATGCTAGTTGTCTGTTTAACTGTCGGATTTGGTTAAGGGCCACTTTTGGTCATTGCCACACTATATTCTCAGCGTGAGTTAACCTGCTGACCATGTTAGTAACCTCAAGCCCTACTGTATGCCGATTATGCATATTTAGCCTGAGTAGTATGCCTTATTTCTCCTCTGGGGAAGTCTTTGGGACCCACGCCCAAGTTACCTTGGCTTATTACTATAATATACTATAATACGCGTTTGTGTAAACATATGAATTATTTGGGATGTAATCGTTAAGAACCGATCTTGTAACAAAGCGAATGCACTTAATACCTGGGGTGAAAACGAATGCTGATAGCAGGTGACTGCCCAAATGAAGGATGTCTTCCTCTGCACCTTCTTCTCATTCTAAGATTGCGAAAACAGAAGTACGCGAGCGCGAGGAAGATGTAGAATGGGTTACGCTAAGACTCAATAAAAGCTTTGGGGTTCTACTGTAATACAGTGGTTATTTAACGTTCCGTTTCTATGGGTCACTTTGTGCTCTGACCATTGTACTTTTGCCAGGTGGGGTGGCCTCAGGACCATGTAAGTAGCCTCAGGCTTTCTACATGTTGGGTATATATATGTGATACAATGGCAGTTTATCCCTCAGTGTTGGTGAGGCGCTACTTTTGTACTTTTGGATTAGCCTTCTTGTACCTCGATGGGTGGGCTGGCCTTTGGGCCATGCCAATAGCCCAAACACCTTCCTTGTGCCGAATGTATATTCCGCCCGAGTATTGTGTCTTCTTTTGTCTTTAGGGAAGTCTCGGGACGCTACATATACCCTGCCTGAGTATTATGCCTTCCTTTGATATGTTTAAGGTCAGAGAGAATCAAGCTAAATATTAGTTGACTAGATAAGTAATGTTTCCAAGGGCGCCAAACAGATGTAAGAGGCTAAACAAGCAAATAAGAGGAAAAGGATATCTTGCAATTTGTCGACCAACAAATATGTAATCAATTATACCCTGACAGTGTGAAATGTCCCGATATGTACATAATGAAAGTAATTAATAGAGTAATAGAGTAAGTAAAAGAGAATGTGGGTTTCAAAGACATCAAATTCGATAAGATAATTTACAAAGACGCAAAAATTAACAAAAGTAAAAAAATAAGCCGAGCATTTGCACATCCACAAATCTAAATGGTTGGATCTTGTTTCTCTCACTCAATTAAAGGTTCATATGGGGTTCATGGGTTATTCTCACGAGTGCGGTCTCTGTAAAACTGCTGGTGTGGGGTGAATTACCCTTTCGTCTAAAACTGTGTGCATTAAATTTAGAAAACAGATTATTTCATAAACATCAAACATATAAAATAGTAAGCCCTACTTCTTATCTCTCTTGTGATTGGGTATGTGAGGTTGTTGCTCGGTTGTACTTATTTTAATCTATTTTGGTCTGCACCTAGGATAGTCTTTGTTAAAAGAATGCTTGAAGCTGCCACAAAAGTTATTTGGGGTGGTAGGCTTATGCAAGTGCGTTATTTAAATCATGGATCAAATCTGATTATGTACTTGAATTACGTAGTCCAAGATGCACATTGTCGTAGTTTTCAAAGCAGAAGGGCAACTTATACAATAGCATAATTAAATTAAACAACTCTGTCCTATGACATTGTTTACCTCATCTCCGTCCTCTATGTGAAGCATTTACAATTTTGGTCGGGTTATTGGGTTCTTTTGATTTACATGTTAATATAAAAGTGTATGCTTTTCACAGAAGTATTCTACTACTAATGCAGGCGATTGGGATCTGGAATAAGTTTTGGGTTAATAAACCGGTTTTCCATTGGGAAATCAACCGTTCTGGCCTTTCTTGTGCAAGGTCCATTGGAACAGTGGAATTTACACAACCTTCTGTTTTACCATGCGGCCTTTGTTATTTCCCTTGTTAGTCATGCAGAACTATGCTCGCCAGTCTGGATATCCGGCTAGTCCTAGTGCCAATCCGCACGGCAGTTACTCCTCCGAAGAGGAAGAAGGGGGAGAAAATCGTTGGCGGGGCGCCGGGAAGAGTCGCGCTGCTATTCCAAGGATTGAATTACCTTCCTCTTCTGCACCGCCTCTGTCTTCGCCCACCCCGCTGCAATCGTCAACTCAGTCGAATCAAGATGCTATCGTGGGTTCCTTGGGCGCCTCTATTCGTGCCGGAGGTGGTTCCACGTTGAGGGGCATTGCGGGTGTTGCAGCCGCAGCTGCGACGCAGCAAGGCAAGCCTCTGAACCTTACAAACCTTGCGTTAGCGGCGCAGACAAACGCGCGCAAGCGACCTGCCTCCCGGGCACAGGCGGCTGGCTCGAGGCCTCAGAGAGCTCTCTTTTGTCTCAGTCTTCGCAATCCGCTTCGAAAAATGTGCATTGGCATCGTTGAGTGGAAGTATCCTTTTCCCACTTAACCTTTTGGTGATAATCTTACTCGATGGCTTTAACATATTCCCTCATATCCACGTAGTCCACCAATTAAAATAGTTTTTTAGGTTGTTTGAGGCAAGTAAAGTGTTATTTAATGTTTTAAACCTACCTACGCCTTCATGATACGTATTTTTTCCCTCCGATGTTTTGTCAATTACTAAACAACAAAAGTTGTATGGGAGATTTTTAATTTTTCCGAACATTTTCGACGAAAAGTCATTGGCCAATTGCCATAATTTGTACTGGTTTTTGGAACTTATATTGAGCGGAATTTTTGTTGTAAGGAGTCCCATTTAGCTTGTTGTTGACGTTGCCTTTTGTCTGCAAATTACTTATTCACGTGCCTAGGAGCGAAATCATACATTCAGGAGAATCTGTCCAGCTTTACTACTTTTTAAATTATGGACATTATACCGACAGGTTATAAATTCAAATTTTAAAATATGGAATCTTCAAATTTGTGAAATATTGGTGGAGTTATTAGCTTTGGATGTGAGCATGGAAAGGATTTTTATTGTTGTTTCACTGCTAAATTTCCTGCAATTTTCTAGCCTAAATGGATGGTTTAAGCAGGTGTATTTTCTTAATTCAAAAACTCGTGGACTTTTACTCATTTATCACACCAAATTTGATACTTCATTGCACATTTAAATTCAGCGTTTTTTTAACGGTTTGGGTTTAATCAATTGGTAGTGTTAGAAACTACGTTTCTTGGGCGAAAGTGGCTTTGGGCCTATTTGAATTTTTTTCCTTAAAATTTTTTCAGACCTTTTGAATATCTTATTTTAATTACAATCCTCGGGAACTGTTTTGCTCTGGGCTCTCACACTCCCTATCCAGACGGAGATTCTAATGGCACCAACTCCATACTAGTGAGTTTCAATTTTTTAAAATTCTCCTGGGATCGCTTGCTGTTTTGACATGTGAAAAACGTAGGTTTGGACTTTATGTGACAAATTTTGCTTATTTTCCTCAGGTACTAAGACTCAGGCTTAAAATGAAATATCGTTGTAAAATCAACTGCTAATGCCTAGCACCGATAGCTTTACGGTCAAAGAGTTCATTTTCATTCACTTCAATAGTTCATCCGTGGTACAGTCCGAATATACGAAGTAAAATATGGCCACTACTGAGTTGGTTTAAGTTTACACAAATAATTAATAATAAAAACTATAAACCGCCTTAGTTAAGTCACTGAAGCTAAGTAGATATTCTTAAATGGGATAGACTACGATAGTTTTCTATGTATTGTTTCCTTTTACACTTCTGGTTTAAACAACTGAATTCTCTATCCGCTTAGGAGAAAGTAGAAAATGTGTTTATCGTCATCTTCACGATTGAATGCCTTCTGAAGATAGTTGCACTTGGCTTTGTGATGCATCCTGGAGCATATCTGCGGAATGGATGGAATATCCTCGATTTCACGATCGTTTGCCTCGGGTAAATTTTAGCTCGCATGATTTTTCTTTTATCCAAAAAAATTATTGAATTTCACTGAAGGATTTTTATTTCTTATTAGGAATATTCTTAAGCAGGTCTTTTGCCGTTTTGGTGCAAAAACTACCGTATTTTTCATTTATGGAGCCTTGACTAGTTTAACAATTTGATGTAGTACTCTGCATAGGTAAAGGAATTTCCACTTTTTGCAGACCTTTGACAGCACACTTATTTTTTAAACACATCAGAATATTACAATATTACCAATCTTTTCCAGATATTTTCATTCACTTGGAGGCCTCCTAACAAAAATTGCAGCATTCAATACCATAAGAGGAAAGAACCATGAGCATATTCAGTTTGTAAACAGGTGTCACTTATTCTGAATCAAGGGCAAATGCCAAGTCTCTTCTTTTCATCAAATTGTGGAGCTTGGAATGAAGTCACATTTGAATTTTTTTAGCGTAATAAAGAAGGTTGAGGAGTCAAATTTGAAACATGTATCCGTAACAGTGACACAATTTTAAATCACTACAAATAGATTCGAAACAGGTCTAGAAAGGGATGTTACTGTTTATTTACTTATGATGAGGTAGTTCTATTCAATCACAATCTTATGTTCTTGGGAGATATATAACGTGGCAGTATTCGCCATATGGGGATATGAAAATCAGAAAACTTTAATGCAGTGACGCCAACGCTATTCAAATAACTACCGAAAATGTCCGCTTTTGAGGTTTGACACGGGTTCAGTAATTGGTTTACCACTCTATCTGTTTTGTTTTTTAACGAAATAATTGAAGGTATTGTTATTTTGTGATTTTTCTTCAATACTTCTTAAAGGTATTTTCTCAAGGAGAGTTTTTTACAGGTGTATTTTTCAATGAAAACACTTAAGTGGATAAACTTTTGATGCCTCACCAGATTGCTCCAGCCGCTGCTCCAGCGAATGCTTGATCGTTCCGGTGTAGATGTAAAGGCCCTTCGTGCATTTCGTGTGCTCCGACCTTTACGGCTTGTATCGGGTTTGCCGAGTAAGTAGCTCCCTCCAAAATACCGCCACCTATTTAAAGGAAGTACCATGTTTTTCATTTTGAATATTTGTAATTGACGTCGGGACCACTTACGATTTATTTACTGACATCTACTTATGCAATACTTTGTGTGAAAAAAATAGCAGTCTTTGGTGTTTTTACTTTTTAAAATAATGATAAATCTGCGCTAGATCCAATATTCCGTCTAACAATTTGAGGTTTCTATGACCACCCAGCTGTCCATGCAACTGAATTAAGCCATTTTAGTATTTAGCTCCCCAGTCGGCCGTTTCTGGAACTTTTGTGTGATTTTATGGATTGGCAATTTGATAATGACTATTGTCCCCAGTAGTTATCTTACGCAGACCCCGATCGTCTACCACATCTAGTACCGATTTTTAGTGCACTGAGTTAACTGTTGTGCCTGCCCCAGCGCGGGAATTGAATGAATTGAACAGTTCTCTTTTTCTGTTCCTGTTTAACACACTTCATTGGGAATAAACTAGGGATAAATCAAGATGTGGCTTCGGCAGCATTAATTAGCAACGGTCACGCATTTCGCCTCCTGGACAAGCTTACTATGAATAATCCAAACAGTCGCATTACTGTCTCAGAATTCTCGAAGGAAATTATTGTAAATTCTTACTGAACTTTTTGTTAGTTAAACCAGCTCTAAAATTCTAGCAGAGGTGCAATGGTCTATCGTAGATTTTAAATATGGTGATGTAGTCGGTGTGTTTTGACCATTACTTTAACATTCATTTTTAATAAATTGAAACACTTTGAGGAGGGTGAATGTGATTACTGTTGAGAATAATATGCCGGTTGTGGAGAATCGCTAGTTATGTTGCTGTTAATATATCATGCATTCTATTTTACTGTATTATTACTCGATTCCTAAAGTAGTTATTTGCAAGCGTAGTTTATGAGTTAATGTGCTATGGAGCACTTTTTGTAAATTACTCATAATCTGGCGTTGTTTCCGTTGCTAAAGACTAGTAAATTTATTTCATAATTAGCCTGAATTTACTTTAGTTATTTTTGTACCAATTTGCGCCAATAATGAATTTTGTAAAACTACTTACTCGACAAGTTGAGAACCGAGATCGATGTTTTATTTGTAAATGGAACTTTTGGTATGAGTATTAAATTATGAAATTGGTAATTCTCAGCTTAGCTTTATGGTAATGTTTATTTTTAAGGTCTGCAAGTCGTGCTCAACGCGATCATTCGTGCAATGGTGCCGCTTTTACACATAGCTCTTCTGGTTATCTTTGTAATCACCATGTACGCAATTGTCGGTCTGGAATTATTCTCAGGGAAGCTGCATGCCACCTGCTATGATATTTATACCGGTGAGTCCTTTGTTTGTAATTTCCGTTACCTACCCATATTCAGTTTCTTCGGTTCATCATAATATGGTTTTGAGATTTGCAGAGTTTACCTGAGTAAGAAGCATTCCTCTACATGTTGAACCTGTGGTTATTGATGAATTCTGCGGTTTTTCCAAATGCCACCGTTTTTCACACATTTACAACTTAAAACGGGAACCAAAGTAAGCAGGCTAGGCAAAGTACTTTTCCCCACCAGAGCTCGTTTTGTTTTGGTGTCAGTTCTTAAAATGTAGGAAATCAACTTATATTTTGTTGTCTTACTCCGTATAAAATTACTTTTTCTTAGATACAGGTAATTCATGACTTGGAAAAATTGATTAACTGTCTCGAGGTTTGTGCTTAGCATCTGAGTATTCATTCTTTACGACTTCGCATCCATGTAAACAAGGAGCACTACCTGTCGACACCACATTTTGTGTTTGGGATGTCAGCTTTGGTGGACATGCAAGTAAAACAATTTTACTAGAATTTGCTTTCAACTAACACTCATTTTCCATTTTTACCATGAGATACAAATATATTTTGCGTACTGAATTTGCATTACTCAGACAATTGTGGTAATGTACTTTTTAATGTTTTCTACTAATTTCTACTGAAGTTAAAAATTGTTAATTTGTAATACATACAGCAAATGTATATCAATTAGAACTTGTTTTGCATAGGCAGTAGTGTGATAATTTAACTCACACCACGGTATCAACAGAAAACTGTGCGTCAAGGAGACTTGTTAATTTGTTTCATGCAAAAGAACCAGTGCCCGATCTTTACGTAACATAATTTCTATGACGGGGGCGCTCAAACTCGTGTAAGCACGATGTTGACTCAGCACGAAACAACCGCCGGCCTGTAAGAGGTGGTAGGAATGTAGTAACTCAATTGCCGTGCAGCGCGCATGTAGAGGAGTGAAATTTTATTACGCATGGGTTTGCAATTTGTCGTTTACCCTGGCTCCGAAAGCACAAAGGTGTCGTACAGCAACATTGCCGACAAATTACCATTTATGGAAGAATACTGTTGATTGCTGTTTAAAGCACATCTGTGCTAGAGCTTGGTTTGCCCAAATCTATCGTAAACTGATACTTTGGGTTGTATTCTGCAGATTTTGTTTGAATCACAAGGTAGCTGAGAAAGCATTATATTAACAAACTGCATGATTTATAATGTTCTTAGGATTTCATCTCATGGGTATGTATTAAATAGTGCCAGTCTTCCCTATTCACTAGCTTTTACCCTTTTTAAGGATACTTGAATAAATTAAAATTACTTATTTAGCGGATAATCAGGTTTTCTATTTTTTTAACTGGCTAAAGCGAGGAATTCATGCATCTAGATAACCGAGCTCTAAAAACAATTTCGTAGCGGTGTTTGCTTGAATTGATACGAAGAAACGGTTTTAAATTGTCTACAATAGCGCCAGAAGACAATTACTGGTCCGAAGAAAACAAGCAAAACTTGTAAAAGCATTAGTGATATCACTATTCAGGTGAAATAATGGATAACCCGACACCATGCAGTCTAGGCAGACAGGGTCACATCTGTAAGTTCCCGTTCGTCTGCCACGATTTTCGACCGAATATGACAAAGGCGGCAATTGCCGAGCGTCGTGTCATCGTGGCCAACATGAGTGCCGACCCCTATGCCTTCACGGGCTTCATCAAGCTACCTGAGCGGTGGCCCGGTCCTAACTATGGCATCACTAATTTCGACAATCTCGCAGCTTCCATGCTCACCGTCTTTCAGTGCGTCACTATGGAGGGGTGGACCAATGTCCTCTACTGGGTAGGACTACTTGTTTTCATTGACTGTCCAGTGCTTAAGGCGGCGTCCATGTTCACCAATCCTCACTTTTTCTGCAGATGAATGACTCACAAGGCATGGAGTGGCCGTTTCTGTACTTCGTTAGTCTCATCATCATTGGCTCCTTCTTCGTGATGAATCTTGTTTTGGGTGTTTTGAGCGGGTATGTTTATCTTTGACTTCTCACTATTTCTGCAAATCTATCGTTGCCGGAACTGAGGTCCCGTCCGAAAAATATTCAAGCACAGCAATTTTATGATAAATGAACTCGCAAGTTTTACACATTCTCGTAGAAAAAAAGGATGCTTTTGCCGGAACAGTGTCGAGTGCGTAGGAAACCCACTTTCACATTTGCCTCCAATTGTTCCTGAAATGGCGAAACACTGCCTTAAGGTGTTATAAATCAAGATCCGGGTTGTGGTCTCACTTCTAAATTGAGGCTACTCATCAGCAGTTTACATTGAAAGGAAAGGCTTAGGTTCGGTGACAATCTACGCGCACCCTTAGAATTATTTTACGAGTTCTGGTGTTTTCAGTCTTCCACTCTCTTCAAGTCAGAAATGAGTGGCAAAAAGTATGAATATTCTGCCTTTTGTTTTTTTCTCTGGAATTATGAACTCTGTCTAAAATAGCTTGCCCAGTTCGCATGTTGGTCGGTACTCTCCCCATTTATGGAACTGGCTCAAGTAACTTTAGTTTTATAAGTCTCAGTAATCAAATTATCTTCCGTGATTGAGGAATTTGATTGCTTTTAATCACTTGTCTTCATAAATAGCTTCCGCTTCCTCAGCCGGTCATATTCATTTCTTGCTCTGTAGAAGAGCGGTGTTAGTTGGCAATGTAACTCGCAAATATAACGAAATCGCGTTTGATTAAGCATCGAACAATATGTAATGCAACGCCTTCACCGCTTACGTACTGACTGTTCTATGAGATTGTTTTCGAATAGATAAATCTTGATCGAAACACTTACTGCACGATTTTTTCAAATGATTGATATCGTCGGATAGAGAGTTCTCAAAGGAAAGGGAAAAAGCTAAGAAAAGGGGCAAATATCAGAAGGCCAGGGAACAAATGCAATTCGCCGAAGACGTTCAGGGGTACTTGGATTGGATTGGCGCGGCTGAAGATCTCAGTGATGACGAGGACAATGTTAACCGTTTGGACGTCAAGGAAAAGCGTAAGCATTCTTCATTGCTCTCTCGTGTTACCTTGTTCTCCACTTCATGGAAATCTTTAACTCCAACTTCAACTTCATAGGTTTTAAGCGAAATGGATTTTTTTCTATGCAGGATTTAATTTTTGCGGTCTCTGTCGACGGAGTCAGGGCGGTGAGGACGAAGATGAGGATGATTCGGACCGCGATGACTGCGGTTACCGAACACAATCAAGCCAACAAAAGCAGTATTTTTTCTGTTTTCCAATCAGAGGGTAACTTACTTTCAAAGTGATTTAGTAGATTTATTTTCACTTTATGTAAACGCGAACTAGCTACATACCGTTCTTTGAATGTTTGTCGTTTATTCTGTCAATTAGATCGTACTGCATGTGGAGTTATCTTTCTTTATGATTCTTTATCTTTAAATGAAGTCGGCGCTCAAGAAGACTCAACCGTCGATGCAGGCGGTCCTGCCGTCGAATGGTCAAATCACAAACCTTTTATTGGACTGTGATTGTTCTTGTCTTCTTGAACACGGGTGTCCTCACCTCCGAGCATTACGGTCAACCAAAGTGGCTAGATATCTTTCAGAGTATGACAGTGCACCATTTTTAACAACTTCTGGGGGAAAAAACCAGCTTAAACGTTATCCATTTATTCGGGCAACGTTTGATTACCAAGACAATATTTTATTAACTTTGCTTCAGTCATGTGAATTTATTTAGTTGGAAGCCAGCAGTAAAATAGTTGGATTGTTCAAATTTTCCTAAACGCTAAACCTACCATCATGTCTTCAAATTTAATTCAATTATAATTTTCCTCAATTTCTGGCGATTAATATAGGCAATCCCACTGTATTAAAAGTTTGACATTCGTACAGTGGCAAAATTTCTGCATTACCTTTCTTATTGTGCCTGCCTTTAGATGACGCAAACGTCGTATTTGTGGTTCTATTCACCATCGAAATGCTGCTGAAGATGTACAGCTTGGGTGTGCGATGCTATTTTGACTACATGTTCAATCGCTTCGACTGCTTCGTGGTAATCTGCAGCATTCTGGAAATCGTATTTATTATGACCAAATTGATGCCTCCGCTTGGTGTTTCTGTGTTTCGATGCGCTCGTCTCCTCAGAGTCTTCAAAGTTACAAGGTATTTGATTCTCAACTTCATAATATGCTGTTTGCAATTTACTTGTTACCTGCGTAAATATTTCATGGGCTTGTTCATCTACGGCTTAGCAGAAAAGTAGCAAAGCATCGCCATCTTGCATTTCCTTTAGGTACACTTTGTTAATTAAGTCTTTGGGAATACATTCAGGGAATCGATAACTTTCCCTTCGAGACTATGAAGACCTAGTAGCTCAATTGCTGATGCATCATGCAGTAGTGCGAAGTAAACGGAGCATGTTCAGATTATTAACTTGTGAGCATCGTTATTACTCTCCAAGGTACTGGAACAGCCTACGAAATTTGGTTGGTTCACTTTTGGCAAGTATGCGGTCGATTGCAAGCCTTTTGGTGCTGCTCTTCCTCTTCATTGTCATATTTGCGCTCCTGGGAATGCAGATTTTCGGCGGCAGATTTAATTTTCTCAGCCTGCGGAAACCGCGTTCGAATTTTGATAACTTCTACCAGGCGCTTACAACGGTATTTCAGGTAACCCTCGAAACACGGCGCTGCATGTAGAAGATAGGGAAGAAAAGCCGGTTTTACGGTTGGTAGTTTTACAGCAATTGCATGAGTCGTTAAAGTTCTGTGAAAATTGAGGCTTTCAAAGCTCTTGGTTGTTAAATTTTTTGTGATACTGATAAGGCTTTCCCTCGGGTACATCATGAAGCTGAACTTCCGCTGTCTTTTTTTCAAGGTGATCCCTTGACTGGAAGTATAGCCTGTATTTCATCCAGTTGTAATTCAACACTTTCTGTATATTGGTCCGAATTTTCATCTTCAAAAGGAACTTTACTTGAACAGTGCAAAAACTGAAACATTACTAGTTAGAATTTGTGATCAATCTTAAGCGTTAGACTCGTTTGAATATGCCTGGTAAGTGTTTTGCGTAGGCGTCCATTTCGAGAAATTGATTACCATGCAATGTTTTTTACTTACACTCAACGGTAGAAAGTCTCATAATGATTGTGGATCACTCATTTGCAGCCACATTTCATATCAGTGGTATAACAATACCCCAAATGAATATTACTTTTGCCTTTTAAATACAACCATTAGGTTTTCAGAATTCAAATGACCAACAGAATCCTTGTGTCACCATCTATAATTTTAAGGTTTATTGGTTGTGTCAAATCTTGAAAGTCGCTTTTACATACCCGCCCGATTTGTAGATTTTGACCGGTGAAGATTGGAATGAAGCAATGTACATGGGCATCAAATCCTATTCTACTCAACCGTTCGGGAGTCTCGTTTGTCTCTACTACGTTGTTCTCTTCATATGTGGTAACTGTATCCTTTGCTGCAGGTCGTCTGAAAGCGTAAAATTTCCAGGTCTTCTAAATCAATAGTCAGGAGCTAAAATTCCTGAAGATGCTTTAATGCCCTTAACTGTTGTTCATAATTCCTCATACTTTGTTTTTTTTTAGGACAGAAATATTTCGTAATTATATCTCGTGGGTCCCAAGGTGTGCGGATAATATAGCCAGCGGTTAGCTGAACCTAGATGGATGGATGCATTTACTATTATTGGTGAACATTATAGCTTGGTATTCTCCGATGCTTGTCGAGATGTTAGATTGTAACTAAAGGGATTGAAATCAATAGTTTTTATATATGTGTACTTAAATCGAGAAATGTATTGGTTCTTTCTAGAGCCAGTTACTGATTATTCATTTTTCTCATTAAGAAAATTGGAATTATTTTTGATAAAAATACGTTTGTTACCTTTATTCGGAAGTAACTTTTTTGTACTAAATTAAAACTGATGGACTTATAAAAAAAAATTTGGAGCCTTAGTGAGATCACTTATTGAACCCAGAATTTTGAATTTTTTCTTTGACGTGTGCACTTGTAAGCATTATTTAATGAAAGTGGTCTAGTTTATGTAATACCTTTGCATTTTATTAATGCATCCTGCCCTTACTTTATTGGTCTGACTTTTCGCATAAAATCTGAGACCTTGCATATGATATTGCCTAGTTCAAGCGCCCGTTGTCCCATAAACTCTATGAGAGCTGTGATACTTTGAATTCCATCTTCATTTGATTTTCAATACTGTTTTTTGAACCAAAATTGGTAACAGTTTGAATCAAGATTCTGCCCTGAATTTAGACCAAGCCCTAGACATGACCAAGCAGTGCAAAACATTGACAATATAATGCAATAGAACGTAAACGAGTTAATTGGAAATTAGGCTTAAGGAAAAAGTTCAGTAAATTAAGAAGCGTTTAAAGTGAATGGAAATATTTTTTATTTATTTGTTCAAGTATAACACTGAGTGTCAGTCCCACTTGCTTGTCAAATTGTTTTTTTTCTTATCGGTTTCTGATGGGCTATGGTTCTAGAAAGTTGCTAGGCAACAGTAACAATTTAAAGGGAAGGAAAGGAATGGAGTGTTGAGTAATTGAAGGCAATAAGATGTGCGGCTCTATGCAAGTAGTACCGCATTGTGATTGAGGAAGCATAGTTACGAATTATGGTCGTTCTATTTGACCGTTTCCCTAACTCGACACTAAAAAGATATCCTGCTCAACGTGTTCTTGGCCATCGCTGTGGACAACTTGGCTGATACTGGGCAGAGCAAAGGGAAACAGAAATCTGAAGCAACAAGTGAGGATGGTGACGATAATACAGCTGGAATGGATATTGTCAAATCTGCGGATGGAGATAGTTTTAATTCGGCTGAGGAGGACGGGAAATCGTGAGCGAACACTTTTCTCTCAACTTATACTTTGCATAAATTTGTTAATCAGTATAACGAACTAGCCATTACCTCTAACGTCTCCTTTTCTATTTACCGCTTCTCAAATTATCAAGCTACAATATAGGTTTTACAAAGTAGAATCACTTTTAAAGTGCAAATTGTGGTTTTCCTTGATCAAAGTAAAATTAGCTATTCAAACAAGAATATGGATGTCCAAATATAGTACGTTCTTCGTTCGGTTGAAAAAAATACTTATTCTTATTGGTGACTAAATTGTCCTTTTTAGTCTATTCTATAATTTGTGAAGTTATGAACAATGTCTATGACAATCACGTCAATGTTGTTCAAAGCGTTTTTAGCATTTAGTACTCAAAATTTTACCACTACCTTATCAATTCTTCTCATTTTCTAGAACATTTTTGACCAATTCAAGTAAGTACTCGTTTTCAAACGCCTTTGCTTTTATCAATTGTTTAGAATGTAAGGCCCTTTCCGTATCCCAGAAACCGTGCCTTACATACTAGTTAATTGGCTCAGTCGTAAAGTAAGGTTCTTCTCCTAGAAAATAATGAAAACGAGGAATATGTAAGCATCGAAGAACGAGACAATGAATCCGAATCGGTTTACTCTGATGAACATCACGGTTCTGCTGAAAATCTCCAGCCGAAAATTAAACCCATTCCTGAGGCCTCTTCCTTCTTTATTTTCGGGCCCAGAAATCCGTAAGATTATCTCTTTATCCTTTACTCAACCTTTGCTTATGCGCACCGATGTCTGCTCCTTAATCAAAGAACGTCAAACTGACAGATTTCATCTTATTTGCAATTAAAAAAGTTGCTTTGGTCACGAATTCCGAAGAATAAATACATTTCCCCTCCTACTTATTGGCATTTTCTAGTGCCTTCGTATTACGATATGCCTAACTGCAATTACGCCAATTAAGGGGATTTCGTTCCTGTACTTCTTCCTTTGCTTCGAATTAATTGAAAAGTCATGTTTTTCCCTTCGGAATTTTAATAATTGTACAAACTTTTATTTTTATAGATAATGTGTCTTAGGTAAAGTTGCTCCAACTTTTTATTATGAATTACAATGACTCCATAAAACCGTTTTCAAATCTTTGAACCCATATTTCCCACCGACATTTATGTCCACTTTATCGCGATTTCATTTTTAAAGCTTATTTATCTTTTTATAGATTTCGAGTGTTTTGCCATTATATCTGTAATCATCCTTACTTCAATAATGTGGTACTGGTGTGTATTCTGGTGAGCAGTGCTATGTTAGCCGCAGAAGACCCATTGAAGGCAAACTCCTACAGAAATATTGTAAGTCTCGCCTTTTAATAGTTCGTTTTAAAATGTTAATAATAACAATAATAATAGATTTTTAACTCTTCAACATTGTGATTTAGTGTCACATTTACATTAAGATTGCACCTAGTTACTTGAACAGTGTGATGTTTCATGCTCTGAACCTCGAAAATGGAAATTTTTCTTAGCATTCAAATATTGCTTTAGATACTGAATTATTTTGATTACTTCTTCACCTCCGTCTTCACAGTAGAAATCACCTTGAAGGTAAGTCTCGCTATTGCTAAAACCAATGCATAATTGTGTACAAAAGAAGACTCGTTTAAATACAGAGATGACTTAGAGGAATAAACAACATACGTGTCTAATTGAAGCAATATTTGGATGTTATTTGTAGCATAAAAAACCAAGCTTCCATGAATATAGTCACTTAATTTCAACACAATCCATGTTTAAAGATTAATTAATCCAAGTTATTTCAATATAGAAAACGATAAATTTATTTTCATTTAAGGGCTGAATGACGATAACTTTTCCAGAACATGTGTAGTTTTAAGCAATAAGAAAACATGTCATGCCTATTTCACCGGAAGTTTCTTCTTACAGCATCAAATATCTTCTAATTTCATCATTTCGATGACGTTTATATTCTCTTGGACCTGTGATGCGATGTCTGACGCTTATAAAATATTTACGCAGATCACAAGCATCGAAATATTGCACGCACTTGTGCTTGTGGTTTTCTTTTAAAATTCGATCAACGTCGGTTGCATGTTGGAACGTTAAATTACCTTTTTAGATATTCAAATCCTTTCTGCTGGCATACTATCTCTTATGTTCTGCTTTTTTTACTAACTGGAATCCTAAATCATTTGCAGAATGATATTCAACTAAGGTTTGGAGTGTGATGTGGTGCTTTTTCTCAGCAAAGATAATCTTACCCTAAAGGGTACTTAAATTTTGTGTAGATAGATAAAAACATTTCATTCACAGTTATTTCCAGACAAATGGGGTTGTTTTGGAAACTTAAAACCCACCTCTCAATACGTAGGTAGTAACAACTCAAGGGGGATAAATTGCTAAACCATAATATAAAGGTAATTGTGGTTGCGTAAATCGTACTTTAATAATTGGCGGTAGGTAATCATGGCCGAATTACATAGCGCATACATCTACCTATGCAAGTTTCCAATTTTCTAACCTATTAGAGTGTACAAGAAGCGGTAGATTATATCAAGTAATTGCGCGACTCAAGCCATCTGGCCTGATTGGGAGGTTAGTGAGAAAATTCAGGCGTTCCATCAAACGAGATGCACGCAATCATTGACAATCGTCCTTTTTATTTGCGGACTCGGTGCCATTCAGCTTCTTATTTCCTTATCCTTTGTCTGATTTCGTAGGATAACCGCGTAATTACCAAGTATTCATGAGAAAGTGTTAAAACGATGACCTTCCATCATAGCAAATAGAAAGGAAGAATCACGTAGTAGAGAACATTGCTTCATATCCGACATTTTTAGTTTTGATTGTCATGGTTAAGCAATGTGTGGGCCTGCGATTCGACGTGTTCCAAAAGAATTGACTGGAGGATTGTAATGTTTCATCATTACCATGCATGTGTAGGTTATTACCTACGGATTTGCATTCCACAAGGGTGCATTTTGCCGTAGCGCCAACAATCTGCTTGACTTAATGGTGGTTCTGACGTCTATCATTTCCTATCCTATTGCGTGAGTTGCATCTCTTGATGTTGTGGTGGTTGGTGTTTTATGTTGTTTGGGTGTATTTTCTATCTTAACCTGATACTCAACTTATTCATTTGGAAATTTAAAATCATTTAAGAGTATTTTGACAGACTTTATTCTGAAACATTGGTCAGATGACTTTTGACATCCTGTGGATAACAATCACACCAAGGGCGGCCCAATCGCAGCTGGAAGCATTAAAGTTGTTCGCGTTTTCATTAGTCTTTGTGAGGATTACATTATATCGTGTACGCAACGCAAATCTATTATTTATTACATTTTTAATGCATAAATGCTAGGTATTCTTAACGCTTGCACTAGTTGACCCCAAAACAAATGATAAAGCGAAGATTTAGATGTTTGATTATAGGCTTAATAAAAGATTTTGCATTAATCTAAGCCTTTTAATAGATCATTTATGAGAACAATGCGCTATGTGGTTTTTTAAGGCAGAATCATTAATGCTACATTTTGTTATAAAAGAACATTTCAGAAAAGTTAACTCTAAGGAATTTGGGATCAGTAATTATTTACATGACTATTTATCAAACTTGAGATGGAAGAGGGATATGCATTTAGTCAACGAACAGGACATCCACCACCCATGCTTAACAGCATTCACAATTGGTATGATTTCTTGCGAAATTAGCAATGTCAACGTTATCTCCATAGTAGGGGAGATAATGACCATGTCCGGTTCTAGTTAATGGAGTGTTACAGGTTTATCAAAATCTACTTGGTGTCGAATCCTCAAAGTCGATTCAGTTATCGTTGTCATCATTATAAATGTTACTATTTCGTTGAGCTCATCTGACTAAAATTTTAGCGTGTAAATTTAATTGCATTGGTTTTTAAAAATGTCTACATTAAAACCACTAACTTAACTTGTTTGTTAATCCTGTCACACCTCTCCAGTTTGGACACCATCTCTGTTGTAAAAATTTTGCGAGTCTCCCGTGTTCTTCGACCGCTACGAGCTATCAACAGAGCCAAAGGTCTCAAGGTAAAATATTACGTGTTCGCCCCTTGAGTCAATGTCTACTTAGTCGTAACGTAAGAGCTTGCTAGCACGAAACTGCCAGACGCCCCTCACTAATAATACGTTAGAATTCGCTGAAGTGGCAGATTTGTGGTAATTAACTAGACGAGTTCTTGCATAGATAGTGGCTGTATAAACTATACTTAGTGAGCACTTTTTACGTTCAAAGCCTCCTGTAAGGCTTTGGACTATCAGCTCATCCATAACCATTAGACTCTTCCCTTCAAATTAAGACCTATTTCGAATTGCCAATTCATTGTTTATTAATCACCAACGAAAGTGAAGTCAAGCAATTTGATTTGATGTGATTGTAGATGGACAATTAAAAATTTGGGGAATTTGTGAATCTATTTTAAGCTCTTTATTTGCGATCTACTGCAGCATGTCGTTCAATGCGTAGTGGTTGCAGTTAAGAGCATCGGGAATATTATGTTGGTCACATTTCTCCTTGAGTTTATGTTCGCTGTTATCGGAGTCCAGTTGTTCGCTGGGAAGTTCCACTACTGCAATGATGAGGCGCGGTTCTATAAGGAGGAATGTGCGTAAGTTTCTAGTACTATGCCTAGATTTGTATTTTTAATTCTAAGAGGATATGGATGGCTTTGAAAAAGAACAGTAGGAAAATATAATCTCTTATCAATAATAGTAATAATGAACTTGATGACTTTCGTAACTTGTTTTCTTGGGCAAGAAACCAAGATTTGCTTAAGGTTCATATCAAGGTTAGATCGTGTACTTTGTACTTCATAAAAGTTTCTTTCGCAGTAGTATGCTCTCTGAATCCTCTCATGCTTCTGAATTACCTGTAAAAGGGCAAAGCGATATTAACAGTACCAGTGCTTTTTCAGGGGTCCATTTATTAAATATGACTCAGAGGATCCAAGTTTGCCTGAACTAGTGGAACGACGGTGGATTAATTATCCACTTAATTTTGACAATGTTCCCAACGGTTTATTGACCCTTTTTGTGGCCTCTACTTTCGAGGGCTGGCCCGCACTTTTATATCAGTAAGTTTATTAATAACTTAAAAAGCAGTGAGAAATATCTAGACCGTTAGCTATCTAGGCATCTGGAAAAGCAAAATATTTGTTATCCTGAAGAGTATCTTCAACATCTATTCCTAGAGATTTTTTTGTTCAGTGCTGTTCAGGCACATCTCATCCATTACGCATGCAAATATGGGTTTCAATTTAAATGCTGGGCAATGCAATCACCACATCATTAAAAATGTGGACTTACAACTCAGTCTGTTTTTAAGTGAATCTGGCAACTCTAAAATTAGTATTCAATTTTATTGGAAAGCAATGAAGATGCTCTAATGAGGAGGTCGATACAAAGATAGTTTGTGTAGATTTGCTCACTTAGAGATGCTTTTAGTGGGACGTCTATTTCAATTATTGGTAGAAAATCCCCTATTTGCAGCATGGGAGTTGTTAAAAATTGGAAATCATCGTAGGTACTCAAAACATTCGAGGAGGGTTAGTGGGTTGGGAATTCGATAATCGAATCTCACTGAGGCGAATGAGTTACAACGCTCCCTCACCAGAATGACGAGCCATTTAACTCCAAGTGGAGCAGGTTTCTTCCTAATTTCATGCATGCGAAAAAAAAGACAATTCACGGGCAAGTGAAAATAGACGTGGAGATGATCTCCGTGGGACGATGCGGAAATGATTTGCAACGAATCATTAAGGCGTTACGAAACGCCCACTGCGACTTTACCATATGATAGGTCATGATTAATAAAGTACGGTCTGACCCCACCAATGGATTGAATATGTGGAACCCACACTCATTTGACATAGTTTCATCATTATCATTTGGGAGGGTATGGTAAAGCCTATTTGTTGCAATACACTTTCCGTCATATTGTTAATGATCCTTTAGAAGTTACCATTCAGTTATCGTCGAGATTGCTGATTATGTAGTCGGAAGTGTTTACTCGTGTTTATTTTTTACTTAGGTTATCGCCTTATAATAACGCCGATTTTACGTTATCATTTCCTTGAATGAGTTAAAAAATTATGGATCCACCTCAGGCATCAACGCGCAAATTACACCAACGTCAGAATTGTTTCATGGTTTTTGGAAAATATTTTCAAGTGAAATGTTTTGGTACAAAAATTGCAGAGAGCCGCAGAAATTCATCAGACAATTCAGTTATGTGTCTAGGCTCCACCAAATGAATGGAATAGTTAAAGCTTTCTTGTACCCGCCTAATTGTTCTCTGAAGTCTATTTTTTCTTGTTAGTCTTCAGCGCTGAGTGATAATGACGCTAAAAGTCCACATTTATGCAGTGATTTGTTTTTTGGTACGAAAAGTTAAAACTGATTCACTTCCATATCTTCATAATTTTGCGTAAAATCTACTGAAGTCATATTTCTTAACTGAACTATGCGCTCATTACATAGGTTAATTCCTAAAGCTACAGTCACCGTTTAACATCGTTAGGATTTGTTGGATGTCTGAAAATCAACTTCATCCCTCTAAGAGTATCTTCCATGTCTTAAAGTGGATGCGGACATCTGTATAATGATATTGACAGATATTAGCGTTTTCCCTTCATGCGATTTCTCCATCACCTACAGATCTATTGATTCTTATGCGGAGGACCATGGAAAAGTGTACAATTGTCGTCCGGTGGTAGTCATTTTCTACGTCGCCTTTATAGTTGTGGTGGCGTTCTTCATGGTTAATATCTTCGTTGGTTTCGTCATCGTCACATTCCAACAAGAAGGTGAGCAGGAGTACAAAGGTTGCGAGCTGGACAAAAATCAGGTAAGCAGATACGGTTCGTTCACTCTTTAGTCAATTTGAGCTAAGGTATATGTTCGTATTCAAATCAAAATATTATTTTCAATGCTAATTTATAGCTGAACATTTCCACTGTGTTTCAGCGCTCCAAAAGCTTTTTTTTGCTTTAATGTCTAAATATTAGTGGCATATTCTCCAATAACTAATCTTGACAAATTAACGGAAAATGGCGTTATCACGATACATCAAGCACACACTATCCCACCGTTTTTCACGTTTAAGTCCTTGTATTGCGAACCACTTTCTAAAAGATCATATTGCATGAAGAGTCAATAAACGCCTGACTAGAAAACAACCGAATAACTGAAAGGTTGGAAGTCTTCTTTTATTGAAAGAAGTTAATTGTCAAGTAAGTAATATTACAATATTTCAAAGTCGCAATGTATACTATTTGCGGTTATTTGTGATCTGTCAAAACAAGAGCGAAACCGTATGGGTTAATAATTGTCTCTTAGGGTTCTCTCATGTACTTTAGTCTAGGTCACGACACTTTAGCGAGAAAAATGTTAGCCATTAACGACCAACACATCAAACATTAGAATATCTTTTGGCGTCAACCGTGCGGGCGCTATCTACCTAGAGTGTTTCAAACTGCTTTGCGCTAACCTGCTTTGAACTCGCTTGCGATGTAAGGCCACTGCGAATAATTTGATGGTGGAAGAAGGTGCTTTCTTCAACATCAGGTACATACTACTAAAAAACTCCGTGCTGTGTTGTAATGGAATTTGCGCTATCACTTAGCACTCAACCCACCTTTTACGATCATTTCCAAACGAGTTGGATTGAACAACAGGAGACATACATTTGTGACTAAAGCACTTCCTTCTTAGCCTCTCTATCGGTTTGATACAAAAGCATAGATGGTTTTGCCTCTTATCAGCCACACGATGAGGAATCACCCTCATATCACCAAACAGGCATCAACTAATGAGGCGCTGCTTTGACTTGGTGTTACTGCACAATTATAGGTCTTTCGTTAGATTGTGCTATTCTGCATGTTTAACTTTAAGATTGCATCGAAACTAAGTATTTAATTATCTCCTCTTATTAGTATTCCTCAAATTCATTTTCAAGAGTGGGTCATTTCGAAAGTCATTGGTTGAAGCTATACTTTACTGCTTTAATCGTTTTACTCTTTTTTGATTGAGACTTGAAGAATGGCATTTGTTAAACAAGATTTCTGTTTTCTGCCCATCGATTGTTTAGTTTTGATGCAAAGTAAATTCTTGAGGAGGAATTTCCAGAGCGTTATTTCTTATCTACTAACTTCACTCATTTAGCTCAGGCTAGGTGTGATTAGTCACATTTGTAGCTGTTTTCATTGATTACCTAATACTTTGCACTAGGAGCCAGGCAAAACTGGGGCCCTGATCCTCACTGTTTGACAGAGTTTCGATTCTCATACTACAGTTGTATGAAGCGGTAGTCTAGTTGCGTAACAAATATGACATGTGTGTGCAAGCTTGTGTACACACCAATGCACTCGCAGCGTCTCAGTGCGCCAAAGTTAAGTATTCAGTGGTACCACCAATAAGAGAAATGAGCATGACACGGCTTTAAGCCGATTGGTTGCAGTATGCACATTTGCACTCACCCACACTTAATGTGCACGTCTGCATAAGTGTTGTGGTATCAAGCGTGCGTAGGACCGCTACTAAGAGGGCGACAACGCCGCACCTTAACCAATGTCGGCAGGCTCTCAGGCGTGTTAATTTGGATTAAATTTTGCACTATTCCTTCTCAAACTCGTCATGGAAGCGACGCATAATCATTCTGAACCTAAATCGACCCGGAATACTGCAACAGAATCTGGTGGATTAAGTTCGGGCGAGTTGGCCGCGGCGATCACTGTTCCGATTGTTGTAATTATCCTCGCTGTGGCCATCGTTTTGCTCTACCTATATTTCCGAAAAAGAAGGTCCAGGTTTGGATCCTACAACCCCAATGAGCTAGAAGTTAATGCCGGTAATGTGGACGGCAAAAGCACACCCAATTCAGGATTATGGCTGCCTCCTAAGGAGCGACTCTTCTGAAAATACACTCCTTTCACCGTTGTACAAAACACACAACTCAGACCCTAGAGAGACCGAACTGTGAAAAAAATAAAGGTTTTTTTCTCATCACTGCCTCTGTGTCAATATGCTTTCCTTTTTTGTCAGCGAAAATGCATCGAGTTTGCGCTGAAGGCTAGGCCTGTGCGTCGTTACATTCCGAAGGAGCGATTCCAATATCGTATCTGGTGGTTCGTCACCTCGCAGCCATTCGAGTATTGTATCTTCATTTTCATCCTCATCAACACCATATGTCTCGGTATGAAGGTAAGGGAGTGTTGTGCCTGTGGCCACCATATTGGATGCAATTTGAAACTGTCGCGTTTCACACTCGGTGAGGTTATAATAATGAGGATAATGCTGAATGTGCTACTGGGTGAATTTTATTACAATTCTGCATATATTGGGTGTTTATTGGCAGCCTACAGTAGAATCTACCCTAATATACAGTTCCATCCTTGCAAGCTGTACGGAGGGCCAAATGAAGCACAAGTTCAGCTTATATCTCGCAATTCTAGTGTTTCCCTTTATGCATCCATTACCTCTCTGTTTTTAATCATTAATTCTGCTACCAAGGTTTAAATTTGCTACTTGTGTCACTAACTTTTGTAGCACTAAAGCTTTAACTGATTGAATTCTTATTTAAAATTATGGTAATTTTGTGCTGTTTAACTTAAAAGGACTTTAGTAGTCAAATTAACCACAAATAGCAGTTTTAAGACAATTTGATTTATACTATAGCAGAACAGCCTGATTGTTGCCTTGAAATTACTTCCCATATACATTTTATAGAAATTTTATGTAATTACACCTTCACAAGGGAACGATGAGTTAGAATCTGTAAAATGATGGGTGTGATTGCGCAGGACGCTAACTCCAAACCTTCCTCGTCTGGGGAGTGATGTTACCGCTTAGCGCCGAGTGCAGGCTGTGGGCACTACCAATGTGAGGCGTGTTTGCGCGAGACCGGCATCTTGAGTCACATGTCACACCTTGAGCAGTTTGATACACTTACTGCATAGACTACAAAGTAATAGAGAAAAGAACAATAGTCTGCATCTATGACCTTTTCCAAAAGTTGAAGTAAGTTGAAACCAAAGTCAACGCTTAGGGGTGCGCTTACTAAGCAACATTACACAAGTTGTTTAAATGACTCTTAAAGAACTCTAGATCTAAGCATTGGAAGTTTTGACGCACACAATTTCAAGCAGAGCCTGAAACTTTCATTGGTATAATTTGTAACGCACTAATTTGAATTTAATTGCTAGGCTAAAGGAGATACAAGTACGGAAAATGTTTGATGTAAGAACGAAATAGATGCTTTCTGGACTACGCAAAAGTCCATTCGAAGCAAATTCAGCTTACAGTGTAAATTTACAAAGTGTACGGAGATTTTTAGTCGTATTCTTGATTTTGTCTTCCTTAAAGTTATTATTTGTAACTTATTTAAATACTTTTCGAGGACTGCTATTGCTTATCTCATGAACAAATTTAGTTGCGGTTGATTTTACTGATAAAATATTTTTATTCATTTTAGGTTAATCAGTAAGAAGTATGGGTTCGATACTCTTTTTCGCAAACACCATGTTGTCAGCAGAATGCTTAAATAAGAAACCTCACCTCCAACGTTAATGGTGCTATAGAGTGGTAACAACGAGTGCGTTTTTGTGAACGCTCCTCAAAGTTCCTCGAAAATAAGAAAAAACTGGGCCCTTTTGTGCCTTAGAAATCATTGACAAACGTTCCATTAATTGAAGGCATTGTTCCAAATTAAGCTCTGCTTACTAAATATTGAAAAACTGTACTTTGTCTTTGAGGCTAAGCTCAATCTAAGTCCCGTACTTTTGTCACGGTTTGCACGGAATTTCTTCGTACAAAACTGTATTTTGGCTCCGTATTTTTAAAGAATGGGTAAATTGTTCAATAAATTGAATCGACATTTATCGTACGTGGTAGGATAACGGGATTTGAGTCCGTACATATTTTCTCTTTGCTTTGCTAATGCGCATTTCAAAAGTTTAGTCAAATTTTAGTCGGTAGAGTAGTAGATGATGCTGTACTGAACAAGGCGAATATTTTTCCGGATTGTTTTAATGCGAACATTTGATCTTGCTCAATAATGGGTAATTATTTGGTGAATCGGTTTTTTTGCTTCCAAGCAGAATAGCTGTTTGAAAAATTGATTGATGTCATTACCATCATTGTTCTAACTCACTCGATCGAAACGATAAGCATGCATTTAAAAATAATTATTTTAAATACTTCTGTTTCCTTTTTGCCAGTTAATTAATTGAATATCCATTGCGTGTTCAATGTTTAACACTTGATATTTTCGTCTAACTTTGTAAACTTTCCAACCATCTGACCTACAGTGAATATCGTGAAATTAGTTTGATCTATGATGATCGTTTACGCTCTGTTGCACCAGAAACCTCATTTTCATTAGATAAAGTGTCTACTCCGGATAATACGCATGCTTTGGCTTTATGATCAGATACGTCATGCGAGTTTTACTCACCTAGCCCGCTTTCTCACCAATTTTCCCAACCGCTATCTGCCAGAGTATTTTGGCTTTTAGTTAAGTGGGTAGGATTCAACACCCCTTAAGCTAGAGATGTGGCTGTAATTAGTTATGTAGTAGGCTACGTTAATTATCACTACTTGTGTGCTTGAGTTAGCTCAGTGAATGGGCTCAGAAATACTACCTTTCATAGCCAAGTTTGTTTTGCCATTTTTAAAAATTGATCCCTGGGTTTAGAAGAAGAGTGTATGTTAGAGTGACAGAGTGGACCACATTGAAGTGTAGTAAAAAGAGTTGTATTAATTACCACATGCGAATTCAATCCGAGCGAATCTTACTGAATGGAATCGTAAAGTATTTTTTCAAGATCAAAAAAGATCCTTGCAGACATAGTAATATGGTCTCCTTAGCGTTCAACAAATTGTATTTTCTCACAAATGGAACAGGCAGGAGATAAGTGGTTGTATTTAGAATATAGCTCATATTTTATTAGTTGAAAGGTAAGTTGCGGCAAGTATGAAGTGGGGCACAAAGAAGTTACGGATATTTCACTTGCGATAGGAATTGTGAAAACATTTCTTTCAAGCTTTGTCTTGACATAAGATCGGATAAAATTTTGCAGCTAAGTTTCCCAACTTGCTGAGGGGTAAAAGTGCGATATTTTTATGCGCATAAATTTCGTACTTACATTACTGAAGGACATTCTATGAACGTTTCTCAACTGTTTTACTTCCTACATTTAAAGCAACTCAGTCATTGGAAGGTGGATCCGTGGGATTAATTACAAAATTTGGGTTTAGGCGCACGGAGACATTTTGATGTAGGGCACCCAGTAGCGTGCTATCTTTCAAGTAAAATATAAATTGTCATTTCGTTATGTTGCCATCAAGTGGTGCTTGACAGATTTGTACACACTTCAATCGTATGCGTACAAATGCGAGAAATTATAATTTAACTTTACCTTGATTTTTTGAATGGAATACCTGTATTTCAACTGTTACAAAATTTTCCTGATGCTGCACGAGGCGAATTTGGCAACCATTTTAAAATAGTACTTCAATAGGCAACTTCATAGGATTTAAGGTAGGGATTTCCCTGGTTCATCTCAATTTTCATTGAGCAACAGATGGAAAAACAAAACGAGACACAAGCATGATCACCTACATAGGTAGTAATTTCGAGTTTTTAAGCCGTCGTTCATTGTAATGGGGTGCGCAACTAGTTCAAGGTCTCTGCACTTAGAATACTGCATTTTTGCATAAAGTGAAATCGATTGTGGTGATAAACGCTCTTTGTGTGCGTGTATTGGTTACCATCCTACAAGATTTGTGTTCTCATTTCCAGTTTGAGGGCCAACCCCCGGTTTATGCTGACGCGCTCGACTATCTTAACATGATATTCACCGGCGTATTTACAGTTGAATTCATTCTCAAGCTCACAGCCTTGAGCTTCAAGGCAAGTCCCCATTCGTATTTGATTCGCTTTGGGGTAATTTGTTTCTTTGCAGCAGCATAATTTAACCCAAGCCATAGCTTTTATTTTACCCATGTTAATGTCCATAACGGTGGGTGTTACATGATCTGCCTGACGCGAACGTATAAACGAGGAATTTCATCTATCGAATTGATGAACTTGCAACTATCCATTTTGAAATGTTTAGGACTTAGAAATTATTTCAAATGTTAATTCGCGATTGCTCTTATACATCTATGTGGTAATTTCCGAGCAGCATGTTGAGTTTGTCAAAATACGTTGCTTACTTTTTCATTCTTATGGAAAAAAATAAGTAGTAAGTTTATGCACAAACTGAGTTTGTTTGCGCTACACTGCATTGCGCACCACACACAGTAATTGTAATAGGCTGGAAAAGTGGCGAAAAATGCATGTTAATGAATGACGGGTGGAGCCATACTGTAACGTTCTGAATCGTTTACTGTGGAAGGAGGATTATCACTAACGCACAGAAGGGCTGAGAAGGCCGTAAGCAAGAACAGAAAGCCATGTCGCTCCGAAGTAAGTCGGAATGGCGGAGACTGAAGAGGCCGTGTAGTTAAATGGACTTTAGGGCAAACAGTCTTCCGTTATTACACCATGCCTATAAACCCATGTTTGTCTTTTTAGAATTATTTCAATGACCTTTGGAATGTTTTTGATTTCATCATAGTTGTTGGGAGCTTCGTTGACATCGTACTCTCACACATTGCTGTGAGTTATTTTTTGCGGCTTTAATAATTCAGCTCTGCATATACTGGTTACAAATTCAGACAAAACTTACGGTTTTATGATTTTGTATTTATAAATCAGATCTTCAATCTTTCAAAAACTACAGAGCAACAGCGGAATATTAAAATATGCCATTTCTTGGAAAGTTTTACCATTTTGCGAATAAATTGATTAACTCCTTAAATACATTCTAAGTTAGAATACAATACATCTTTATTTGATGAGTAACTTGAATAATTATAATTGAGCACTATTAAAAAATGTGCTTAATTTTGGTTCTAAAATTTACTAGAATTTCTGATTTCTAAAAAGATTGTACTTAGGTTATTCGTGTTATTTATACCTCTTTAGGAAAACTCGAAGTTCATTAGTATAAACTTCTTCCGTCTTTTTCGGGTGATGCGATTAATTAAGCTGCTAAGCCGGGGTGAGGGCATTCGTACACTTTTGTGGACATTTGTCAAATCATTTCAGGTAAGTTTTAGTGAAGGAAAAGCAAATGTCTTGAAGCATGCATTAATTTGGTTGCAGAAAGTGCATCATTTTTTGCATTCATTATCTTAAAAAACAGTGGTACCCGACTGTGTTGTTCTTATCCACCGTTTATTGAGGCCATCACCACGATATCTGGCTTCTTCTGAGCAGTCACTTGCGCACTTGATAGTAGTGGCAGTTTAAACTCTATGCCATTTGAATAAATTTAGTTTACGTAAAAACTATTGATTCGGAAACTAAGGAATGGCTTTCACTTGTTATTTTCCTTTTAATATAGGCGCTTCCATATGTGGCACTGTTGATTCTGATGCTTTTTTTCATCTACGCTGTGATCGGCATGCAAATGTTTGGCAAAATAGCTCTTAATAATCCCGACAGCGCGATAACTGTGAATGCGAATTTTCAGACTTTTCCCCAGGCTGTCTTAATTCTCTTCCGCTCAGCAACCGGTGAAGCCTGGCAGGACATTATGTTCAGTTGCGCTGGCGGTAGGTTGAACCTTACCCAATATCTTAGAAAATGAGCGATTTTAATCTAGTTTTCGTGCATTAAGGAAGTTACTTTCAATTCCGATTAATTTTTAGCGTTATTTTTACTTAGATTTTGTATTTATGTCATTGAAGTTGGGATCGTCTAATGTCTCCATTATTGTGTATTTTAAATGAGTTGTACAAATTGCTGCTGTTAAATTCAAATTCCTTCAAAGTACTACCTTCGATTGTTTATTCCGGAATAATGTATTTCAGTAGCCAGGTGCCAAAGGCCCGACAACTGCGTGGAGACAGCTGTCTGCTATTTAATTCATGTTTTAGAACTTTACTAGAACGACCCTAAATGCATATTTAGCATTATTCTATCCATTAAGCTACTTTCTTTTGGGATTTTTTTATTAAATTTTTTAGTTTTTTCTAGTACTTTCAATCGCTTTATCAGGAAGCGCACTTCACCTCCCCTGAATAGTTTGCTTTACTTTAAAAGCAACTTTAGAATACCTCCAATTCACAAGGATTTATTAATTGTCTCAGCTGTTGCTCCTGCTATTTTATGTTATAAAGATAAAACTTGCATTTTAGTACCCAAACCTTAGAGCACGGGGAAGCATTAAAATCAATCGCACGTCTTCACCTAATTGAGGAATAACCACCGCTGAAATAAATGCATCACTTCTCGTATTAGGCGTTGCATGATTGTGAATATCTGTCCGGATTGTATTAGGGTTTCACTTTTAATCTGGGTCGATCGAAACCTAAAACAGGAAAGCGGATTGAAAGCGATTTTATTCTGGAAGGCTGGGATGTCGATGGCCTCTAAACTATTCTTTTTTGAACCATTATCTCGATTCTTCCCGTAGTTGAGGGAAATGGATAGATGAAACCCATTAGTACTCACTATTTTTACTCCGTTACATGAATTATTTGCTGTGTTTACTATATTTTTAGGCACATTGAATAATTCACATTGTTGCCGTGTAGATGTCATGTGATTCCAAAGAAATTATGGGTATCAAGTGCAGTGTTCACATTTCAAATGCCAGTCATGTTTATTAAAACTTCAGACCAAAGTTTGGGTCTTGACAAATTTCAAGTCAAATAGCACGTAATTTCAAAATAATGCATGATTCACCTCTGCACTGTTTCAGAGACGGATCCGAAGAATAATACTCTAGTGCTAGTTATAAAGTTATTGCCGTCTAAGTTGTATCTTAACTGTTCTAATTGGCACAACAAACACTGGCCCCCTTCACCGTTTTGATGATCATTTGGTAAAGTTCTGGTTGTGTCCCTGTGATAGGTGAAGATGCTTGAGACCAACATAGGTACAAAAAATTGTTCAATCCTGATTACCACATAATTGCGTTACAAGACAATGGGAATGTTAGTCGGTAATTCAAATTTATGGATTCGCTTTCTTAACATGCGACTGGAACAAGGGGGTCATTTTAGGTCTTTCCTCTAACCACGTCATAAATTGAATTGCAAGATTCCTTAAAACATGCTGGTGATCGGTACTGTTAATGGTTTCTGACGGATTTTTTTTCTAATAAGTGATTAGTAATTTATGTAGAAGTTATTCAGGAGTGGGTACAGGAGTCGTACGAAATCCGGATTATTTTTAAATTACCTTAGACTTTTAATGCATATAAACTCCGTTTAAATTGGGAAACATTTCCTTACAGTATCATGTGATTTACTACACGTCATTGCGCCCTGTTATCCTCATAGCTTGGCTCTTTTTCCTCCATTTTCACACTACCGCCAAATCGATGTTTCATCACGGGGCTGGTGTGCTACAGAGACGGCCTATTGCGACAAGCAGTCAGATGAGAGTCGAACAGCCGTGGGAGCAACAGATCGCACAGTCTGTGGCTCTGCCTTCGCGTACCCATTTTTCATAAGCTTCTACATCATCTGCTCGTTCTTGGTGAGTGCAATCACTATTTCCAGGTTATCCTAATTTCCTCCTATAACTAGCGCAAACTGCAGAGGATCATTGACTGGTTGCATTCAAATTGGTAGAAAGTTTTGAATGCAACATTCAATTTGGTCAAAGTATTTAAATTAATACTGAAGTTAATAGTAAAATATGTTTTTTGATTTTCTGGTAATCTAATAAAGCCCGTATTATTATGATAGCTTAACATTGGCTATTGCGCATTAATAACGTTCCTCTGAATGGAAGAAGTGTGTTGAAAGGAGCACAAACTGCATGTTAAATATGATCTGTGCTGGTGTCCCTTTTCATCTTCGGATACATTAGCAAACTCTTTGATTCGGTAAGTTTATTAAGATATTTTGTTTCCACGTGAGCTTTGGCGGTAGGGTAGGAAAGAGCCCAATCAATTAAAAAACAATATACCACGATAAAACTTAGCAAGCTCAACTAAGCTTAAGCATGGTAGCTGTTTGTAACGAAATATGTGTTAATTTTTCTTACATTATCATCAAAATCAAGGGATCGGGTATTGTTAATGAGGATTTTTGATTGTTAACGCATGAATGCCCACTCACTGGAGCAGGCGCTAGTAGTAGTGTATTGTTGGTTATACATGTTTAAATATTGCACACTGCCGTTATTCAAATAAGGATGGTTGTTCAACTTTTGTAAACCACTTTACACTTATATCAGATGTGTGAATGACTGCGGTTTTATATGTTAACAATTCCGTTTTTCGAGTTGATGCTGCTCTCTAATAAATGTGATACCTTCCTTCAAACGGCTTGAACATTAAGGACTTAGAGATATCGTTTTATGGCAGTGGTCGGTTGAAATGTTTTTCACTGACCGCCTCCTAATTTAAAACGTTCTGACAGCACACTTGATTTCACGAGTTCCAAGGGGTTTATTTTGAATTTTTGCTTAAATGTTGTTTCTTCTCCAAGGCTCTCATGATGTAACAAATTTTTGAAATTGCACCTTGATCAATCGTAATCCAATCGAGACACACTGAGACTAGAGTGAAACGTCTGCAGATACGAAACAACTACTCACTTGCAAGCAAACCCTTTACATATCAAATATACATCATTATCACCGAGTAATAATCGAATGACTAATGACCTGACCATGTGCAGTAGCACCACCTTGTTTGTCTGTATTTAAATAAACGATCCTCAATATCTATTATCATACAAACGTGTCACATTCCATTTAAAAATTATTCTTGTTTTAAGCTTAAACGTTCTCGGTAGATCTTCACAGGAACGGAAGGATAAGCTTACCGATAAATTTAAAGCTACAACTTTGATGGACCATCTTTGAAGCTTTTAAGCATCAGTTTAAGTCAACAATGAAGCGGTTTATTGCATATTAAATAATTTTGACCCTTGCGCTAAAGTATTTCCTATCAATAAATCGTTTTCCATTAACGTCTTTAGCAGGTACCAGACCTTTAGACGAATATAGTAGTGTTGTCTTACTTAGATCATGAGTACGCTGTCAGTACGCCGTACTGACAAGACGGATTTCTTTTCACATTCTTTCCAATTTCCTGCGATTCTGAGGCCAGATAGAAGCTAGTTGAAAGCGTATTATTTAACGGCAGCCGATGCATACTCGTGCGTTTTTTACTTAATTGTAAACCTTTTACTTTTGGGAGCGTAACATTGCAATTTGGGCTTCCAATTAACAGTGTTAAGTGAAAAATCTCAATATTTGTTTTTGTGCCCCCTTAGATTATAAATCTGTTTGTGGCTGTTATCATGGATAACTTCGACTATCTTACGCGGGATTGGTCAATTCTGGGGCCGCATCATCTGGACGAGTTCGTTCGGCTCTGGTCTGAGTATGATCCTGAAGCTAAGTAAGATCCATATTTTTTTCTAGAAAATGTAGGACATTCTTTAATGGAGATATAGTTTAGGATTTTCGTTGTTATCATCCATGCCCATCTTTTTAGAGCAGTTTAACAATGAATTGATTTTCTAGTATGCAAAGTAGTATATCATTGATCGCCGATCATTCTAAAGACAATAATGCAGTTAATCTTGCAGATTTTACTAAAGTTTAATGTGCTATTTATTCCGTTTTATGATGTCTCAGCAGTGATTAATTTTATACCACTAGGAAGGTCTTGAGGAATCATGCGATGCAATACAATTCTACACCTTCTTTTAGTGCTCTGTCTAGAAACCGTGATTTCAAGATATATACAGTGGGCATTTATCGTATTCCATTTTAACTTTCTAGGAATTTTCCATTTAGTATGGAAGGAAATGTCACTCATTAGTCGTGCTTTATCCAACTACTTTTATTCTGCAAACTTCCAGAGATAGTGCAAGTATTTGATGAAAGTGTGGTATGCGCAACTGATGTATTTTTTCTATACTTCGTGGGGAAAGGGTAATGTAGGTCTTTTGCATCGCGATGTCTATTCAGTAAATTTTAGTACATTTCTCTCTAGTGAACTTAACTCGGTTATTTTTTATGCAAAATTCTAAAATATTGTTAGACCGGACAAAAATATGTCTTTTAGAGGAAGAATCAAACACCTTGACGTAGTGACTCTCCTTAGAAAGATCTCACCTCCATTGGGATTCGGTAAACTGTGTCCACATCGAACAGCGTGTGTAGTGAGTTCAATTTGGTTTTCTTGCCAACCTAATATAGTTGGCTGAAATTAGAAAATAATTTATGCCAAATGTGACCAAAATTACCGGTTATGGATTTGTTTTTGCAAAGTAATGAACTCTTGATTTTTGAATGACTTTGGGTACAACATAAGGTAGACAAGGACTAGCGTTTTCATTCCAATTTTTAGTTTTATTTTTTTTTGAAGCATTGTGTATATGAGGCGTAGTGGGTGAAGCTAACCCACGGGATTTGCCTTTAGACACTTGTCCGAATGAATATGCCACTAAACAGCGATGGGACCGTTATGTTCAATGCAACCTTATTTGCGCTTGTGCGGACCAATTTGAAGATCAAGACAGAGGGTATCTCCTTTCCTTTCTTCGCGATTTTAGTCCGTTTTCTTTAAGTTCTTTTTGGTGGAATTTAATTGTACTAAAATGTGTCATCGTTGCGAAGTTTATTACTTGAAAACTGCTATTTTAAGTTAAAACATATATCTATTTGCCAATGAATTTCTGATCGAAACATTTCCGCATATTCCGTCTTCTCGATTCATTGTACAAATTGAGGAAAACAACTAATGCCAAAACCTAGTTCTCAACAGCTACATGAACGTTTTTCTGTTTAAATTGTTAATCCAGGAAAACAATTATTGGCATTTTTATTGCATTTTATTTTTTTTCGGATGTATACAGTTTAAACTACTTGGAAGGTGTTTCAGTTCTCGATTGGTACTCTCATTTATAAAACATTAAAAATTTCGACAACGCTTTTATAGAAAATTTATCAAGGTCTAATAATCAGCAACTAAATGTGGAATTCGCTCGGTTGCGCAAAAGTGAAACACTTTGATTTCTGATAGTACAATTTCTGGCCAAAGTTGTTGAAATGTGTCCTGACCACGCCCATATTTCTCCTGATTCATTCTCTCTGCTGGAACATTATAATGTCCGGCTTCACGAAATACATCTCGTTTACTCGCAGGATCTACACCGGATCAGTTGAACGAGGAACTTCGAGCCGTGATAAAGAAGATTTGGAAGCACACCAGTCCCAAGCTGCTTGATCAAGTTGTTCCTCCGGCTGGTAGTAAGGTTCAAAATGTTCAATAAAAAATTGGTACTTTTCCGATTCACCACATGCCATCTAGTTTGGATTTTGTGGGAAACTCCTACGGATTAAAAATTAACTAATTTAATCAGTCTTGAAGGTCATTAGTGCCTAGGTGGAGCGTGAAATTGTGGAAACTACACCAGGCTTATCTTTAATCTACGACATCTAGGGTGTCTCATGAACAGGTTTCTTTAATCCAATTGCTTTGTCATCCAGTAGTGCACTTGGTCTGGTTACACGATCCATTCTCTGTGATGGCGACCACGCTCAATTCCTTTGAGATGGTACAAAATCAGCCAATGTATCTCCCACCGTGGTCGTGGCCCATGAAATCTCCCCTTGATTTCACTATACAGCTAACTACAACAGTTTAAAACTAAAACTCTTACTAATCAGATTGCTTTTATCTGTTCTTTCAATTGTAGTGCTCATAACACCTCTTAAACCCATTTTAATGCACTATTCTCTGAAAATCGCAAGTTGTGCATGCATCTGTTCTTTGGTCTGTTCGTCTTGGTTTTAGTTTTTGTCAGTTGGAATTCCACATCAAACTTTTGGATGGCACTTTTTACATTATATCACTCAAAGCAACTATCGACATTGATCGTCACATCATGGCACTATTCATCTAATGTTTAAATTCTAATTCGTGTTCAAGCCTTTCGTTTGTTTCTAAGAGCAAAGCAACGGTGGAGTAGCCTTTAACCCTGCACTAAGATTCAGGCGATCGCCCCAAAGCCTATGCAAATTATTGCATTGTGAGTAGATCCACATGAAAAAAGCACTTTAGCTAGTGTTTCACTTGCCTAGGAGGAATTGTCGGTATATTACTCAAAAAGTGAGGTAGATAGGATTTAAAGGCGGTATATGGTTATTTTTTCAAAGGCCATTTAACTAAAAGAAAGACATTTTTCTGTCCATGAAGCAAATTGGATTTTATTGACCATGAAGTTTCGCTGGCACAACCCTTCCGAATTCGTTTTCGTCCACTTCCTTGGCGTGGTGAGGCTAAATTTCCGCATTGGCGACATTGGCTTACATTATCTAAATTTAATGTGAGAGAGTACGTAAATACATTTCATGTTACATTGTTTTCTGATAGTTTTAAAAGTCGTTTTGACTTAGACTGTTTACCTTCCCTACTTTGTTCGAAAAATTTTGAACATCGACTTTACGTCCCACCCAAAGTGTATCAGTCAAAAAACAGTATTTGTAACAATCGTTACGTATACTATCAGCACAGTTGGGTTAATTTCGCTACTTTTTGGATTTTCGCTCACTAGAATGCCAACTCAGGAAACTAACTGGTTTTGGGTATTTCAAATATAAAATGTAGCACCCATATTTTTTGTGGTCGAGGTCCCAATTTTGGAGGTATTAATCCATATGTATTACCCGATTTCATCCTCACAAAAAGCAACGTCCTTGTGAACGGACCACTTTAGTAAGTTGTCTTACAGTTCCCTTTTCACACTCGGTGATTGACACTACAGATCATTATCCCACGACAAGCGAAAATATCGGGAGTATCGCGATGTGTAAATTGAAGCATTGCAAGGGAATTAGCTATTTCATTTCAACTTTTAAATTCCACCAAAAGTATTCATGGCAAAAGGTAATAACCTCTTTAAGAACAACTACAAATGTAATGGGACACTGTAGCCTTTCCATTGCAAAAGGGTCGGTCCATGCAGCTTGAAATCTATGAATATTAAATAGTTTAACTTGTCGGATCATCTTAATCGGATTTTCAAGCATTTAAGATTTGGTCCTTGAAATCATTTGATTCTCATATCTTCTACATATTCCCATTAATTTAGGCACGCAGTTACAGATCCTCCTGAAATTTCTGGCAAAAATATTCTGCACCAACGCCTTTGTCTATTCTAAATTGCATTATGAGGGTGACATATTCACTTTTGCTCAAGCCTATTTTAAGCCGCATTAAACGCATTTTTATAACAGTTTAAACTATGAAAATCGTTTTTAACAATAAAACAATGGATTAGTACTTGGGAAGCACTTACAAACAAGTGTCCAATCGTTCTTTATCATCTCGCTGTCGTTGTATTGCATGCAAAAGCAGGAGCGGAACCAATGTTATCACGTCAATGATTCAAGCTGCCAAGGCAGTAATCTGGTTTTATTGTTTTCTTAGGCAATGACGATGTTACTGTCGGGAAGTTCTATGCAACATTTCTCATTCAAGAGTGGTTTCGTCGGTGGAAGCTAAAGAAGGCTGAAGAGCACAAACACCTTCCATACGGCCAGGTGATTCATGTCTCTGAAACAACTTTATTTTAACCGCAACTGATGTAGCTCGGTACAGTGGCTGTTTGCGTACAGTTTTGAAGAGTATATTTTTCATGGTTTTCCGTCAATAGTGGATTCTAAACTTCAGTCATAAATACTTTAGTCATTTGCAATATTAGTCGAACAGAATACCATCTGTAGTCTAGCTAGAACAATCCTTTTTTTACCATTTTAGCACAAAAGACATTCAATAATGCCTTTTCGGGTGAGTAATTCGGTTTTGACCGTTCCAATAAATTAAACGAATGCTTTTTGAGAATGAGTAAAATATTGCTTGAGTTTAAGAATTAATTAATTCACGAGTCTTTGTTGCGATGGTTTTACTGTCAGGTATAGCTATTTTAGTACGTCTGAGAGTCATACCTACCAGGACTCAATATTATTTCTCACTTTTTTATCTTTGAATTAAGAGTATTTTGCTCCTCCTTGCAAGCCTTCTCCCTTCTCTTTGAGTGTAGAGATTCATGATTTCTTGTTTTTGAACACGCTTTTTGCTGTCTTTGTACACGTTGAAATCTTCTTCCAAACCCATGGGAGTGCAACTCACCTTTTTGGATTAATGTGATACCTTGTAAGAATATCAATTAATCTACTATGGTAACGTTTATTATGTCTTTTACGTTTCATACCGTCCTTCTAGCTCAAAATTCTGATCAATTAGACATTATGGTTTTGGGATGTAGTGGCATTTTCGAAATGCGGGCACTATTATCTATTTTCTTGAAAATTATCTGCGCTTCTTGGAGCTTTTCTCCTCGTTACACTGCTGAATGCCCCAAACGACTTCTTGGCATTAGTTGGAAATATCAAAATGATATAGTGTGGGCTTTATTCCAGTGTGCAGTTGAAAAAGGGTAAGGCGTTAACGCTCCTACCCTTTCTTGATTTAAGTTCACTTTTGCACAGTTCTTCATACTTCTCCATATTTTTTCATTGTATCCAATTTGCAAGGCCAATTAGACTAATAAGAAACTATATTTTACGTTAGAAATGTTAAATGCTTTACCGATAACATAAAGGTCTTATTGTCAACCTTTCCTTTTGGTAGTCAAGTCGCATGTCCCCTCTTTAAACTGGAAAGAGGATGATTATAAATTACGGGAAGATAATGATTCTGAATCCAGTATTAAAACTAAGTCCGGTATTAATTCATATAGTCGAATAATTTTGAAGTCCTATCGTCTTACGAATTCGCACTTTCGTTACTGTTCTAATTAAGTTACATGTATTCAGATTTATAAATCTTCTGCTTCAGTAATAACGTCGATCTTTTCTATTATTTAGGGGCGATCTTTAATGCATCCTGAAGAAGAAAAGGGTGGTGGTTCTTCTGCGAGTGATGATAAGGTAAAGTTCTTTTCCTCAACGGCCACCTCCTCTGTAAAGGGCGGTATTGATGACAAGTTCAATGCATGTTTAAACAGTGCTGCTGTTTGAAGTACAGTTGTCTGTCCTTAGATAATTGCTTCATGCTTTCTAGAATCGTCATAAATGCATTTCATTTCCTCGAAAAACAAGGATTTCATACTCTACCAGATGCTAACAATACCTGGTCCCTTGGTCGACTATAATCTGCTGTCCCAGAGCATGGCTCAACTCACCCCCTGGAAAGCTCGTTAAACTAAACTTTAAATGGGCGCTGGATTAGCAATTAAGAAAATCTTTACTTCTACTGCTTCACACGTCGATGGTCTGTTACAGATGTGCTAACCCTCCTTAGGCTTGAACTCCCATAATGTGCTGAGAATTTTCTAATCTTTTATGATTTTATTTACTTCAAGCTTGCGAATGTCAGCTTTTAAGGAATGATAAAACTCTATTGATGTCCGGTTCCCTAGCTTTACATCCTCTGGGGAGGATCTCACAATAGATATCCTTTCAAATTTTGTACTAGTGAAAATTGGCGAAAAATTTTACCCGCTCGTTATTTAGAGGATCCTCAACGCCCACCCCATTTCGACCCAAATTTGTTCATTTTATAAAAATTGCGAAATCTTACAATAGATTTTGCTTTATTTTACTGCATTTTAAAGTGTGCTATCACTTTATACGTTTGTCACTAAGTAGCGTCGTGTTGTACAATTTACTGGTTGCTCGTAGGACGGTGAAAGCTGGCGCTTTTTCGCAGCGCATTTTGCATTTAGGACACCAGCCTACAGTTTTTGAACAAAAACCTAAAAACTTAAATTCATAAGTTTTTGCCGTTTGGTTGCCCATGGAAAACTTTTATGGTCTTCGCTTCTTCATGCATGTCATAAACGAGTAAGGCGGATCCAACTCCTGCTCTTTTTATAATCATGACTTACTATCTAACCATTTTAATGTGGATTGCTTTTTATGATCAATGAAATGTGAACCTCCTTGACCTAACAAAGTGCAACCAAAACGCAGTCAGCACTCCTACTTCAGAAAAATTAGCTTTGCCTTTGGAAAAAGGTGGAAGTATTTATTATGTGCATGTTTGGGAGTAGTAGGACCAAATGGCTTGTATTCTTTTTTAGCGTCAAATGAGTCTTCTAGGTTCAATGATGCATGCGTTACAAAGGGTTGGCAGTTACAGGAGATCTTCCAGCTCGCCCCAAAGCTCTCCAGCACCGGCGGGAGCCAACGGCGCCAACACACCTGCTCCCCCATCTCCTTCAAAGCCTCCTGTGATTGGTTCTAGTGGCACTCCCACGGCAGAGGCCTCTCGTGTTCGTAAGGCACCACCGACCTTGCAGGTGCCCACAATCAATCAGGCTCCAAAAGAAATCTCTTTCCCCAACTCTATCGACCAGCGAAAGGTACCATTGGGGTACAAGGGTGTCAGTTTCGAGTTCAAATCGTTGAAAGTCTGCTGTTTCATTAATTGTAAGCCGTTCACCAACGACCTCATTCAAATTGCCAATTTTTTTTCCTATTTTTAAAAGAACACATGGGATACGTTGCAAGCCAGGGATCCTGATATGACTGAACCCAGCAGTGAAATTTCAGAGGCAATTCCTTTGAAGCAGCCATATGGGACGCGAAAGGAACTAGGAAATCCTTCCAATGTTGCTCATGAACAGTCATACGCTTATCGTCCATCGGTTATTCAAAGAATCGGGCCCCTTAACCTCCCAGTGTACGTTTTCGTTCTTACTAAGCGCTACATTTTCAAGATAGGAATGCATTGCTTGTATTTTTGTTGCGTGCTTGATAGGCGCATGTGTGTGAGATTTTATTGAGGGCAACTCTTTCATTTTATAAAGCACTAAGTACCTCAACATTTCTGGGTGATTTAAATGACTACCAGCTGTTAATGAGTCGAGTTTAAAAGATAAATTTAACCCACACAGTTTATTTTTTACAAAGCGCAATTACTTCGATGATCAACATTACCCTTTGTGACCTGTATTCATCGATTTCATAAATGAGTCACTGTTGATTGTGCCTTTATTACTTACCTGTTTTTTATGTAAGATTACCGGCATCTATGGGCAATCGAGAAACAGCTTCCAACAGCTCGAAAATTCTCTCACAGGTAAGTCTTTCAGTCTTCATCTACATAGACTGTTATTTTTGAAAATAAATAACTTCATTGTTTGCACTCAATTAGCATGCAAGTACAAAACTTTATTCCGCACGAATGAAACCGGACTTTAAATATGCCATTTTTAAAAATGGAATAGAATAAGCGGGAATCTCTAATTCCAAAAATAGGTTTCTTTCCGTAAATTGGCTATTGAGAGAAAGTACGGCAAAGTGAGGCAGCCCTAAAATAGCGGCGAGGGTCGACTTCACTTCTTCTCTTCGACTTGTGAATGCGTTTTGTAGCTAACTGGTGTCAAAGTGTTCGCCCTTTCGTGTGCATACAGCGAAATCTATCCCAGGAGGCCCTTAGGATAAACTGAATTTTATGCCTGTATGTTCTCTACCTCTCCAGGCTTTCGAACTGCCATTGCCGCAGTATGGAAACTACCAGCCACGAAAATTAAGTTCAGTTATTCCCAGGTTAATGAAGAAGAACATTGCCAACGTGGTGGGTACAAAATGTGTTGATAGGTGAGTCTAGATTGCTCTTTTAGAATCAGTAAAGTTGTTGAAAAGAAAGCAATCAGGAGATTTGATCGAAATGTGTTTGAATATTAATCCAAAGTTTTTATTTTGTGTCTATGCGTTGTCACAGCTCTTTTTCCAGCATGAATATGGCAGTTTATTACTGCGTAGCAGATGCTTTGACATCAAAGGTACTAAGTTTGTAAGTTAGTGCAATGAAATAGAATGACTCATTAATGATCCACTTGGCTCGACAGCACAAATTTGTCATTTGATTTGAATCTGTACAACCTACTAAAGGAAAGTGAATGCCAGTTGTCCCTCTGAACGATATGCCTATGTGAAAAAGCTGGACCATGGGAGGAAGTACCCTGACAACTCCGATGAAGAAGCTCAAAAGAACGAAAATGTCCACCTTCTCCATTTTTCCAAAATGGAACCCAGGTTCTCTCGAGCGTTGGGGGCGCCTGACACAGTAGGACCTCTTCTCGACTTTCAGAAAGACATTGAGGTTGTTGATAATAGTTTTGGTGAGGAGCTGGAGACAACGGTGATGCCGAAAGAAGCGGAGGAGGAACTGGATTTCGATGCCTCCTACTTCTCTCGTGGTGATACGCCTAGCCCCGCACCGTCAGTTAGTGTTCCCTCCTCTACCTACGTTTTTTCCGGCTTTTCAAAATGGGCTGGTGGTTTGGAAAGGGAGGACAGACAGATGCGTGGACCACGCAAAGCGGTAGGTCAAATCGTCCGTTGCACTCTGCATCACAGGTGATGCTTAGATTTCAACAATTTAATATTATCGGAAAGATAAAAAATACCTTAATCTGGACGAATGGCTCATAAAGCGTTTTCACTACAATTTATGTGATTAACGATAATGACGCGATAACAATGGCAAGTATAAGTATGGGACACGAAAGCTGGCTTTTGAACACAAAACTTACAAAATGAGTTCAGTCTCGGTGTTTTAAAAGGTGAAATGCCCATTAAAGCCAAGTAAGAGTCTTATGCTATCAAAATCTAGCCTCTTTTTTACTCTATAAGTCAGATATCATGTGTGATGTAAACATTTGTTGCTGAAACGGTAAACTGCTATTTTGTGATTTATCATCTTCATTACCATTATTTTCCTAATAAAATGTACTTGGGGCCCATTTTGCGTAATTTGTAGATGAAGTCGCCCACTTCCTCTGAGGGGCGGAGTCACCGCCGGCAGCTGCCTTCAATTCCAGATAGCCTTCAACGCCATTCTACACGGGAGGAGTATCGGCCTTCAACACATTCCCTCGACACTGCATGGTCAAGGTCAAGCGAGCGGAGACAAAGGCAGAGGTCAGACTCACCTGGAGCCTGGACTATTGCCCACACACCTACGATCTTCAAAAGGGAGGTATTTATTTTTTGACTCACCATGCCTACATTGCCTTCTGGAAAGTATTAAGGGAATCGTGGTATCAAATATCTTGGGTTAGGTAATGATGAATAAATCATAGATATTCATCAAAGATTATTTAATTCACCTTACTTTATTTAACCCTTTCTCCTTTCCTTTTTTATCTCTAGCTTGAATTTCCTCGCGAAACCCTCCATAATATAAGTGGAAATTAAGATATAACTTTAATTGTTAAGCTGAAGTTTCTACACTGGATTCTACAGAATCGTAATCCTACAAAGTATCATATGATGCGTAAAACTGTCAGTGGGCTCTAAAAAATCATGGAAGACTAATTTAACCTTCAAAGCATCGATGAGGAGATATTCCGTTTATCTTAGGTGAAATTTGCTATAAAACTATACTGCCTGTTGTTAGTGTGTGAGTTGTTATCAAATCTCAAAGAATATCATACGAGATAAAGGAGGTGACAAAGATATCTTCTTGCATACCCGTGTTTCAATTGTAACTTCTTTAACGCATTTCATCATGGGAACGCTTGGAAGTATTCTTAGAGGTAACAAATATAAAAGTGTGTTGCAGCTAACCCGTATTTCTCATTAGATTCCAAATATTTCAGTTCATAGAGTTGCTCCATTTCATTCAAATCATTTTTTTAATATCAATCCGCCAATTGGAGCGCTATTAATCTCAGCTGGACATTTTTTTCACGAAATATCCTTCCCACTGACAAATTATTTTACCGGAACAATCTAAAACTGTAAGAATAACCTCTCAATGGCAAGTATATTTGTTCGTGGGTAACTGCAATTGTATTTCCCTCTGTACTGAGCTCAATCTTCGACTCGACGGGAGTAACGACACAAAGTACGAGGAGAACGACGACGATGATGTATTCTTCGCCTCGCAATTCAGCGAACTCAACCGAACCAACTTGAGTCAACCGATCACACCGCACTACGGCACTCTTGAAAGCTATGACTTTCAGTCCATGCGGCGGAGACCACGTCAGATTCTGCAACACAGTTTTATCGACAAACGCGTATGTTTAAGTTACTTCAACTCTTCGGTCTATATCGAGCTTCGATTTATCAGGATTACTAACTTTACTTTAGGGAGCGTACGTATTGACTCACTTTTGCGCTGATCGAAACCATTATTGCACTATCTTACTTGTTAGCTGATGACGGTAACTTTCTGTTTCCTTGATGTTCCGGTTTTGCCACGTCAGCCCTTTTGCTTTCAAATAGCAAAATAATGCTAGGATTAGACCTGAGGAAACATTTTAGCTATCTGCTTTTCTGAATTTGAATACTTCAGAGATGGGACGCTCCTTTTGAGCACCAATTCAAGCAGATGCCAAGCTGTGGACCACCTCCAACAATGCAGCAGAGGAACCACCAATCACCTCATGCGTGGAGCTATCGTCATCCGCCTTCTCTAGCACCGCCACCACAATCAATCCTGCATTCATCACATCTGTACACCCCCGAACGTAGCTCAATTCACCAAAGCTTTCAACTGCAATCTGAGCGGCATTGGCAGCAGCAGAATGCTGGCAGACCACTCGTGCACACCCGACCATGGCCACAGACCAATGGACTAGATCCCGGAACGTGGAAAGTTAATCATCCTCCTGTTCCGACTCCCAGCAAGTAAGTGACCATTTACCCATTTTTTAACTCCAAATTTTGTAAAACAAATTTAAATAACAAGTCACATTTGTCACGGTCTTTCCAGCTCAATAGACCATAAGACTGCATCGTCCAAACTGTGGTGGAATCCACAAGGCTTTTACAGGCCCGCGCGTCAAGATCCCACTCATTTATGGCCATCGGGGTGCACAGGCAGCGCTGTTGACGCAGCCCCGGAATGCTGGTAAATTTGCGCAACCTTCCCTCTAGAAAGCCATACAACCACGCCGAGTAGACCACCCTACTTGTTCTCTATTCCTCTCCACCCGTGTGGTAGCTCACACTCTCAAGAAGCTCAGATGGGTCCCTCAAATCCAATGACCAACGAACACATTGGCCGGCCAATGTTTTTTTCTCAAATAGCCCTCCTTCCCACCCTTTCTGCTCCGCAACCCCCCCCCTCCTGAGGGTATACAGGTGTTGTAACTTGATTCAGAAATCTTTACTCGTTGAGACTATGGAGTACTTGAATCTAATAGGTTCTTTCTTTGGCTACCATCTGAGAAGACTAGGGTGTTTCTTACCCTGAATGCGGCTCAAAATCGTGGTTATTGCCTCGTAGATAAATCATTCCTGTTAACACCAATCATTTCTACAAGTAAACACTTCACCGTAAATGCCGAAGATGCATGACGTAATCGAAATAGACCGTCTTGCCTAAACAGAATTCCTATTAGGCTGAAACCATCTCTAGGGATGGATATCTTCGCAGTTCCTTGCGTTAGGAGCAACTTTGTCGCATTCGTGATTAAAGATGCATGTGAAGCAACCTTCACGTCTTCAAGGTTCGCGGGTTCAGATGAGCTAGGAAGACCTCCTTCGAGGATTGTATTAAAACGTAATGGACCAGCAGGTTGCGAAGTTAGCTACCTGCGGAGCAAACACTAGGATTTGACTCTAATTTAAAGAGGACGAGAGAGGTTATCCTTTAGAGTCGATCATTATTTAACACCAGCTTGTGAGAGAAGTTGTATGCGGAGTCCCAAGTTGTAAGTCCAGGTTACGCGCCGTTCAAATTGTGAATGCAAGTGAAACCAGCCGCCGAAAATCACTTTATTTAAATTCGTATTCACTTACTGCTCAACCGACGGGGAATGCCGATCTCACTTCTGGTCCAGCTGATCTCACCAATTCAAAAGCAACAAAGATTGTGGCAGAAGAAAATACTAGTTTCCGAAGTCACACTGCGAAATACAATCGCATGTGACAACATCCCCCGTATGGTCCCAGTACGACAACACTGGGATACGCGAACTAACTCGAAAGATGTTTAGAAAATGAGACTAAGCTGGATTTTTTTCTATCACCTCCTAGCAGTGAATAATTCTCAGCGTGTTTTCTCTTGTACTTTACAGTCCGTTTGTTACCATTTGAAATGGTTAGGGATTAGATGATATTATTTTTCACTCCGTTGGGATCGTGAGCTTCACAAACGCATGTTTGTAGAATAAATGGGTCATTATTAGATAAGTGATTAATTGCAGAAATTTCTGTTTGCATTCCTTGTGAATACTAAGTCACCACCACTTTAGTTCACCTTCGTATGTGGTCCAATATCTTGATCTTAATTTCATGTTTTTGTTTTTAAAGTCTTGATTAAAATAGGTCCATTTCAAGGAAAGTGGAAAAAAAGAGCGAAGTGGAGCATGGTATGGGATATTTGGGAGAGGTTAAATGAAATGGTGTGTGGGTAAATGGTTGCAAGGACCATGTGCTGCGTCTGTTAAAAAGTTGGTGGATGATAACGACAACGATACAACTTCATGCAGAGTAGGTACGCCACAGCAACCGCGCTCCTGTGAATAAATGCTACATGAAAGATGAGGTAATATCGTTTGCGTCCTCTGTCTCTATCTTCCCTCACGTTCCCGTGGCCTCAAAATGCATCAGTGGCTATACCGTCAGTAGTACTGCCGTCGCGATTGTGACAATTGGTGGCGCATCCACACTTCCGAACGAAATGGAACCACCGAGAGTAGACACGGTTCCCACTACCATTCTTTGGACATTGGAACTGTACGCTTTTCTGTTTAAAACGCATCGGCTGACAGCATGTTCCAGTATTTTCCGTAACACTTCGAGGCATACGACTTAGTTTAGGCATCAATGGGGGTGATAATGAAGTCCACTGACTTCTGTGTCGACGAACTCTTCGCCGTGCCTTTTTACGCCATCGGCGTTTCCGCTGCTGCTGCTCTAGCTGCCACATCAATGAAGTGCCGGCTGCACCTTGACAGGAGCCGGAACAGGAACGAATCACAATTCGCCTAGTTGAAATGCAGCCTGTGTCTGGATCGTATATATAGGAGTACCGGGAATGGCGTTTGCAGAAGATTGCTGATAAAAGCAAAAGTCGTGGTAAAAAGTTCTGAATGATGTTAGATCAATATGTGTAACCTGACAACAGCAAGTTTTCTTGTTTTCAGTATTACAGTGTTAGGCTAAAATGGTCAGTTCCCAAAAGGACTAATTTTGGGCTATTTATTATTACAAATTCAAAAAACTGTGGAAACAAACTGTGTAACGCTATTATGTCCCTGAAAATTAGAAATTACAGAGTATCAATTCGCTACATGATTAGATTTCCAAAAAATAGAATGAGTGGCTGCAACCACAGACTTACGCGTCTCACACTTAACCCCCTCAAATCCACTAGGACATCGGCAAACATGTTGCAATGTCGTTGAGGTCCATTGTTGGCCTTGATCGTTGCCTCCATATTCAGGGTTGCAGATACCTCCATTGAGACATGCCAGCTCTCTGCTTCTGCAGTCACTTGCGATCACGGAGTCTTTCACAATGGCTGCGTCGTGCTGTCCAATCAATTCCATTTTACTCCGAGGATGAAGAACCTTGAAATTAGGTTTGATTGTGAGGCTATTTCTGGAACTTGTAGGTGGTTCACATCCGGGTTTTAAACTGCTAGAGCTCCTTAGGGCTTGAGAGAACTCCATCGCTTTGTCGTTGATGTATAAGGATTCAATGCAAGCTAAACGAAAACGAACATGCCTCTGGTTTGAGCGCATTTTCAATGCCAATAAAACTAAACATCCTCTACGTTTATAAGTGCTGTTCGTTACCACCAATGGGAACTATAAAAGCAACAATTACAGTAAGTTATAAGTGGTCAGTAAACGTACCAACGACACCAGACGTGGCCCCAATCACTCCAGCACGACTGGCAGATTTTAATAGACGTTTTGGTGCACCGCCCAAATAAATGGGAGCTGCTGAAATCAGAGCGCGAGGCTTGAATTTTGAGGGGTTCAATGTCGACACAATTGATTGAGTTAGGGCGTTTCTACTTCCATCTACATACATCTCTACTCGATAGGTGACAACGACAACGTCGAGTCGATGCAACTTATTGTCAGCCAACTGGAAAAAATGGGAGAGTGAAGTAGTGAAATTCTTGTCGCCGACCAAATCTTCCAAGTTGTCTCACAAAATACGACGCACCATTGACATAGAGTAAGCGGTCCCCACTTCCCCGGCATCAATAGCGAAACTTATCTTCACGTGACCCTGATGTAGTTCTGCGATCAGGAATCGGCGGAGCAATAGGGTTTTATTTATCATCTCGGAGAAGAAGAACAGAATTCCTTGTTGATGGCTGGTAGAGAAAGTAAGACTGATGTTTCCTCGTGGAAGGAAACATCCACGACTGGGTGACGGCACTGCAACATGGACGTCTGTTGATGCGATAGTGAGGGAGAACACTTTCTCGCAGAAGGTTCCGCCATAACCTGTTGCGTATTGTAGAGGAAAGAAGACTTACCAACTTACTGAGATATTGTTGGCGAGTTATCAATCTGGATTGAGCAGGGTAACAGCGCCAATGTTTAACTATAGACATTAGATTTTGTTTATCCACCAACAAAGGTGCTTAGCTGAGTATTTAGCTTTACAACACAACTTTATACATTGCCAGCAAAATATTACCAACTTAAACAATTATTCACGAGTCCTGCCTGTCTGTATTCATATTACACATCCCAAATACCATATATAATTTGACGAGCTTTCGTGAAAGCCAGCATGTAAGACTCCTGTTTTACTAGGAACAAATTTCTGGCGGTTGAGCACATGTTGCCAGAAATTCCCAATGTGTTTTTAGTACGATGCATTTCCTCGAAAGCCTTCATGCCTATGACTATCTAGAGCTAAGCTAATTAGTTCTAACCAAAATTAACCATAGGACATCTATTAATTTACATTCACAAAACATTTGAGGTTTTGGTAGCGTAGACTCACCAAAAGGACAGAGACAGCGATATCCAATCGGCGAGATATCAGGCTGACAGGTCGCCGCATTCAGACAGCGATTGTAGGCACAACCAAATGATGCCGAATTCTGCATAGCAGTTATCTGGGAAGGCAGCGCAACTTCACAATACCTGCCTGAAGAGAAAAAACAGGTACACTAAATCCGGTAACATGATTTTTGTGTGAAACATTTATGGGAGGTTAAATTTGGTACTAGTCGCTTTCCATTAAATGCGTGAGACTAATCCAAAGTTCCTTATTAGGTCAGATTCATCAGTTGTTTTGAATAATTGGTGTCGTTGTTTCTAAATTTGTCAGAATCAACTCATCGGAATATGCATGGTACTTTAAAGTACTGCAAAGTTTTTTCAAAATTCCTCCAAGCAACAATATCTTACCCGTAAATCCATGCAGACAGTCACAAGTGTAACCACCAATCTGATCGACGCAAGCGCCACCATTCTGGCACTTATTGTACTCGCAGTCATCCAAATTCTTCGAGCAGTCGTTCCCGCCCCAACCGTCAGGACATACGCACCTTTGGAGAGTTAAGTGCTCATGAAAGGACAACGTACTTAAAGCCCGTAGGTTTTTGTATCACACAGACCCCATCGTTTTGGCAAGGGTTTTCATCAACACAGTACTGAAACTCGTTTTCACAATGCTCGCCTAAGGAAATGGGAAAAAACTGGTTCAAGATAAGGCTCATTCTGCATATAGTTGGGGAAATACATACGTTTACGACAATATCAATGCATAGCTGTGGAAATGTGTTTTTATCACCTGCATGCTCTCTCAGCTGGCTAGCTAATTTACTTAAGAAAAGAAACTCCCAACGTCAATACTATTTGCAAAGCGCGCAACGCATTAGATTCCTCATGAGGACAACATATTATTTTTTAAATTTGAGATCTATGTGCTCACAATAACAACCAAATTTATTAAAGCACTCTTAATCAACCGCTTTAAATCGTTCTGTAATTGCATTCTAACTGCTCGAGATCTCTAACCACATTTAGAATGTAAAGGCAGCTTCTTGATTGTGCCATGTAACGGTGGACACTGATGACCTCTAGTGAATGCGTGATTCGTCACCTCGAAATCCGGGAGCGCATTCGCAAATGTAATTGTTGACGCCGTCAATGCAAACACCACCATTTTCGCATGTAACATTTTTGCAGTCGTCAACGTTTAATTCACAATCCAAGCCTGTGAACCCTGTTGGACATTTACACCTGCATGGAAAAAGCGAGGAACTTTAGGAAATAATGTTTAACTGTTACCAGCATTTGTTAAAATTTTCGTCTACTTAAATGGTATAAATAAACAATTCATCATTGGCGAAAATATTAGTATCGTAAAGGTAGTCTAGGTATTTTACTCGTTATAGCCCATGGTGCTCTTTGGGTTTATTTTGCCATGATTTGTAAGTAAGATGGATGTCTAGACTTATTCTAAAATCAAGCAGCTATTTCCTATTTATCTACAGGACGTGGTGTCTTTGATGATACTCGAGCCACTTTTTGATGCATTTAACTGAGAGTATGTGCAATTGAGCACATAAAATACCTGTAGTGACCAAGATCATCAGTCACATCACAAGTACCACCATTTTTACATGGTTTTTTAAAGCAGGCATCTACTTTCTTCTCACACCGATCTCCATAAAACGGCATTTCGCAAGTGCAGTTGAATTCCACACCACTGATAGTCCCGCATCCACCTCCATTTAGACAAGGATTGCGGGCGCAGGGACTGCATTTGGTGATAATGTCAGGTGACTCTACTAAGCATAAAAAATCCTTTGGAGTTGAGTGAAATATTGATTTGAATTTCATCCGCTCGGGACTGGCGCAAATCGAGACACCATTGTCAAGAGACTTGAGTCTGAAGTAGTCGTGCAGCCAGCGCAAATTGCAGTCACAATGGAGAGGATTTTGACCCAATGCTCTAGAACGCGAGAGCTACTAATTAGAAGGTTCTTAAAGTTAAAATGCAGAGCCAAAATCGTAATTGCTCACAAATTATTCATCTGTTCCAATTCCCGGAAAGTTCCGTTCGCCAATATCGAAATGTCATTGTTTTGTAATATTCTAGATGATGAGTGATAAAAGTCATTTATTAAAAACGAACCAAGGAGCCACCTTTATTTCAAAAAGAAGTAAACAAACTACTTACCAATTCACTCATCGTTACATTAATTTTATTTTTGGGAGTAACCTAGGCTTTTGTGCAATCGGTTTTACGTCTACGAAAAAAAAGCCGAAATAGTGCGAATAACAACGTCTTGATCCACAATGGAGATGGCTCATGCTGATCCTATTATTCAAAAAGACGGTTTGTTTGTGTGACGAAAATTACAGCTCTACCTCCTTTGTATTTCGTTAAAACATTGAAGAAACTTACAAAACTTTAAGCTGTTTCAATCCGCTAAAAGCGTCGGGGTGTATGCATCTTAATCCGTTACCGCTCAACACCCTAAAATGTGACGAAAATTTTACATTTCGTGCATAGCAGCAAGCACCTTCAATCGGCATTTTACGAACAGTGATTTGAGGTTAGACAGATCCTTGAAAGCATCAGGGGTAATTTCGAGAATTTTGTTGTGGCTGAGAAGCCTAAAATACAAGCACATACTCGTAACCGCAGCAGTTACATGAATGAATTTCAAAGATAAACGCTTACAGCGTCTCAAGACTCTTCAGGTGTCGAAGACGTTCGGAATCAATCGATTTTATCGCATTGTGCTCCAAGAACCTGCAAAAGCGAAACAAGTTAAGGCGATTTAACCTGTTAAAGTACCGAAACATACAAATCCCTCGTTTCGGAGGGTAAGTCCTTCGGAATTTCTTTCAGAGCCCTTCCTGAACAATCAACCCGTTGGTTTTTGCATGCACATGGGTCTGGACAGTGCGACTTTGCCCCAACTTCTAAAATATAAAGTCAAGAGTTTCTACTTCAATGCCTTTGAGTAATGGGCGTGAAAGATATTGCGCTTTCCTGAACCAGATATGAGTTCCTTGACAAAAGAATCAATGTGCAATCACAGCAAACACACAGGTGTGTCATGATCTTCAAGTGAGCAAATCTGTGGCTAGATGAGTCCAAAACACTCTGTGTTCAATTGTGCATGCACTGAAAGTAGGGGAGTACCTCCATTGGAGCAGAAATCGCTTTCGCAGGATGCCTCTGTCGAGTTCCCATTGGAATGGTAAAAATCTCCAGCAGAGAGACTCACAAGAGGTGATCCCTTGAGATGGGCAGGACTGGCGCAGGCAGGAACAGAGGGTGAAGCCATCACAAGTGCCTGATTCAGCTGCATCCAGTCGCCCAACCACGACATTTGCGGACCGCATTTGAATGGATTATCATCAAAACTCCTGCCATAAAATCAAATAATTTTTACGCTTCATCTCTATTTGTACATATCACATTCATATCATTGTCAAGCTTAGTATCCCTAAGTTTTGCATTTTCTGCAGATCTTGGTTCCTTGTCATTTTGTTTAGAGGTTCGCATGGAAATAAATGGAATTAAATAGCTGCCTTTTAGGTGTGGCCTTTAATTATGCATTTCGGAATGATTTTTGAGGCAACATGTTTTGATTGGAAATGCGGTAGTATTAAAAAGCAGTGGAGTTATTTATCGCAACTTTTTGTGAAATCCCTAAAATATAAATATTTCAGGTGGAAGTTTCAAACTATTTATCTTGTTTTATGTCAAGCTATTTGAGCAATTGATTCTGAAGAATAATTCACTGACTTATCCAAACTAGCTTAATTGTGCTACAAAGCGGAAATAAGAAGTGAAGAAACGCAAATCATCCTGCTGTAAGTTGTAAAGCCGGAAGGATGCTTTTTTAATAAAAAACAGAACTGCACGCCACTTACACAAGTTTCAGTGATTCGATGTCGAATGCCGAACTTCCGATGCATTGGATTCGATTGGAATGGAGTTGCCTAAAGTTGTATTTAATGAAGTGCGATCAGCTTACAATACTTTAAGCCTCGGAAGTGCGGCAAATGTCCCATTGTGAAGATATGAAAGTTGGTTGTGGTGAAGGGATCTAGAGGGGTCAATCAGAATGAATTTTACAAACTTACAGGACCTCCAATTTCTTCAAGTGCGCAAAACTTTCGTGATTCACCTCCCCTATCGAATTGTGATCCAAATACCTAAACGGTACAGAAATGCGAATTTTATACAGTGATTATTACGATAGCAAAATACGCTCTCTCAGACTCCTTACAATTCTTTTGTGTTTTCGGGAATTCCAATCGGGACAGAAGTCAGACCAGCATTCGTGCAAGTGACCTTGAGACTTGGTTCCACGATTTCCGCAACCCTAGGACGCAGGGCTGTGAAGGTGATCACGTCGTCAGCCGATCTTTGCACTCGATTGGGGAATCGAGAGCATGTGCAGGCCTTGGGACAATTTTGAGCCATATCCAAGTCCTGTTGCGGGATAGATTGGTGCTGTAAATCCGCGTCTCTTTTGCAGTGACGCTTCCTCTCTGCGGATACTAAAAAATTATTTATGGTGCTCAAATGCATGCATGATTTGTACCCAAAAATTAAATCGTAAAGTATGGGCATTACCCATAATTTGAAGTAATGAAGCGAAAACAAATTCTGTTATTTGAAAGCAGGTTTCCCCTGTGTTTCTCGAAATGGGTGTTTAAATATATTCAATGCTTATTCTAGAAGGCCAAAAGATTTTAACAGAGGAAGGATCCCTCTCGTCTGATCTGGCCGATTATAGTAGGTTTGGCAGCAGATGGGAATCATTTATCACATGTTTGCTACACAAAAGTGTATCCAGTTACAACCCCGATAATAAGCACTAGATTCGGGAAGTATTTTTATCAAAACTGGAAACCTAGTGATATTTTTCAAAATGTCTAGCATAATGTCTAGCAAAATGCCTAGCATAACCTAGGTTATAATAAATTAAATTGAGGATAACCATTTAGAAGGTATATATGGATTGCACTCAATGTAGTGGTTCGTCAAAAAATTGTAGCCATTATTTTATTTGATTGGATGCCATTCTAGTATCTAAAGTGGGTGTATGTAGAAGTGGCATCCACGCTACTGTTGTGTCTAGGCTAAGACGAGGTCATAGACCACGGATTACTCAGCGCGTGAGTGAAAAAAGGGGGGAGTTTGAGCAAATCAGAACAAAACGAATCAGCGTCTGGGTTGCAGATGCGCGTCTGTGCTTGCTTGTGCGCGCGCACTCGTGACGTGCGGCGTTGACAGCAATGTGCGTGCGTAGGGCGACAGCGTCAATTTGACGGCACGGGGCCACCCACGACGCCGCAACATCCGCCTGATGACAACTAGCGGGGGGAGGGGGGCCGGCTACACGGCCTCCTGCTTGTGTATGTTTGCTATCCGACAGACGTCCCAACTTTGTTTACAGTCCCAGTCTTCGTCCCATCTCCTCAATTGTGTCTCACCTCTGCAAACCCACCTCACATATTTCACTTCGATGTGCTCTCGGGGGAAATAAGCATTTCAAGTTAATTGATTATTTGTGGACATTTTTTAGGGATTACGTTTTTGCCTAACTCATAGCCTTGGCACATTCAGTTGCTCACTCCAAGCACAAAGTCAAAGCATCATCTAGTTTGGCGATTCTGCCTGAAGTAGATATTTGATTACTCTTGTTCTGGTGCCAAAAGTCTTGAAAAAATAATCTTGTATTTCCTGTACAAACCCACCGGAAAGGTATGTGAATGAACCACTCTATAAATGAAAAGTATCGACAAATAACTAACAAGGGATGCGGTTCGAGCTTATTTTCTGGATTTCGTGCGGTCTTTCTTGAAGTCACCCCCTCTTATTTTAATTCACCAAAGCCGTTATATCTTCCATTTTTGATATGTAATTTCAAGTGGTTTTGTAAAATACCTGTAAAACAACAAAGAATGTTAACGATGGCTGCAATACTTTGTTTGTTTAACTCTTCCTTTTAGTTTCGTGGTCACTTTGTACTTTCGATGGTCGGCATGGCCTCGGGCCCCTCAGTATGACGCCTCTTCTCTACTTCAGGGAAGACTCGAGGCACCGCATTGGTGACAGTAGAAAGCAAACCTGATCCCAAAGGACAGCTACCTTGACTTCTATTACTGGATGTTGAATCTTAACGTAACGGAAGAAGGTTATATACTGCGGATAGAAGAATATGTGACGACCCCTAACAGGTGAAAAATGACGTCTACCCTCGGCGACTACCATGGTTTCATGGTCTGGAGGAAAGCTGTTAACAACTGAAGCGATATTAGCCGGAAAGAGTTTGTTACAAAGTTGTCTATAGTAACTGTATAAAAATGTCGGTGAAGCAAACATGCGATACCCCCTCCACGTCCCTACTAGCGGAATAGAACTCAGATGGACATATAACTGGGTGACACTGAGGTGAGAATAAGTAGTAAGGAGGAAGAAACGCGACACCTTATTCCCATAGAACTATTTTAAGCCCCATTCGTTATTAAATGACTGTACTATTAGATCACTGTCCCAACCATTAATGATGGACATGCATGAGGGCCTGCACATTCCCCCTTCCCCCAGTACAGCTCCCAAACAGGACAAAACTCCAGGTCTAGTGAAATCCTCAAGAGGGGTCAGTGATATTATAGTCAAATGTCATCCCAGCTGCAAACAAATTCAATGACTGAGGCGGTTGGTTCGTCAGTGTTTTACAGCGCCGACTACGCTGCAATGGTCGACGCGGGAGGTTGACCAAGGGGCGCGCAGAGGACGACACTCAAAGGGAGAGGAGGGCTATATAATCCTTTGACTATTTGTTTAACTCATCATTTTGGCTTCGCAGGCACTGGAGGCTCCGCATTTGAACTTCTGCTGGGTGGAGTGTGCTCCGGCCAATGTCAGTAGCCCCCCAGTTCTTCTGTGCGTCGGCATTAAATATTCCACCCCAGTATTACGCCTTCTGCCTACTTCAAAGAAGACTCAGGGCGCTGTAATGGCATGTAACTATTATTGCCGATAACGCCGAAAGATTGGTTATTTCCACAAAACAATGTTGAGGAGGTACTCCATATGAAGAGTTGAACCGGTCCTTACAAAAAACGTTTATTCCCCTGCAGAAACGGATGATTTTACATGGATTGGAGTTAAATACTGCTCAAGGTTAAAAACCCTGCAAAATGACATGATCATTGTTTTATAAACGTGTTCCCAAAATAATTGTCAATGCAATGATTGGAAAGTGGTAATTAAAATTAAAGAAATTTTACGAACCTAACCTCAAAGGCATAAAACTTTCATTGAAATGTATCGCAAGGAAATGAAATGAAATTAAAAGGCGATTGACGGTTTTATAAAATACTCTTCTGACATTCCCCACGGAGGAAATGCACTTGGTGCATAAAAAACACTTGTAAAATTAAAGAGGAATCAAATAAATAACTGAGCTCACCACAGGGTTGAAGTTTAATATCCCGCACATATTGCCCTTTTAAGCTGGTGGGCATATGGCAAGTAGTCCATTGACTTCCCCCTGCTTCGTTTTGTTTGAGGAATTCGGGTAACCAATTCAGAGAGCAATCGCAATTAAGTTTGTTATTAATGAGATATCTGGAAAGACCAAAATGTAAATAACTGTATTGAAGGAATCCTGTTTTAGATTCACATTGAAATAACATACTCTCAACCGTGTTCTACACTGTTCATTCATTCTGCTTATCATCATTAGTATTATCATTACCACGGGTGCAAATGATTGTGGTGATATTAGGACACCTGGAATCAAAAGCGTTCAGGACACTTCACCTATGAGTCAAGCTTGAAACTATCATATCACATCCATAAGAGAGTGAGGCCCCTAGTCGGGGATCCAGACCTACACTAGATTTCTGCAGTTCTTACTGAAATTCCAGTGATTGGATTTAATCTACGACAGGACCTTTAACCGATAGTATTAACAGACGAATGAATGATATAGATTTAAACTGTTTTGCGTTGCTTAATAGAGCCTTATATTTTAAATCGCATTCGGCACATTGCAATAAAGAAAACACTATGATGCCTATGGAGGTACGCTAAAATAAGAGCTATACTGGGAGCCTCAAATGTAATGTATTATTCAAATAGTTTTATTCTTAGGTTTAAATTATTCTGTTTCACATCGTAGGATAACACTACTGTAAAATGTGCACCATTTGTTGTGGTAGAGAAAACTCAGATAACCGAAAAAAACGGTTTGAGGCGAAATTCGGTATTTTGCTTCGTCACCAGCGTCATCAACGGATTTGTGAATATAGAGTGAATTCTACAAACCCTCAATTAGGCCTCCTTTAGAATTAACTGATTACAAAGTGAAGCGTTGCTTTTTGGAACTATACTTTTGGTTGGATTTCGTAACAGACCTTAGCTGCGCTACTAAAATTAAAAATATCCACTAACAGAATATTCTATAGATCTAGACCCTTAGAATAATCTTTAAATAGTATTTTAGCGTAATTTCATTTCCTAAATACAACTATTTGGGGGGAAATAAATATCTGACAGCAGAACTTTTAGAACGCTGGGAATATTCATTTACTTACCCAAACTGAAATCCATCGTGGTTATATTCTACGCGCAAAGAGTGCAGGCTTGTGGATAATGAAATACCAATGCGTTTTTCGAAACAAAACAACAGTATATATTGAGGACGGAAACTTACAAGTATCTAAGCTGTTTCAAACTTTTGAAGGCATCCTCTTCGATAGTGTCGATGGCGTTCTCTGATAAGTGACTAAAGATCAGAATAGTTATGAGAACTTTAAGCGCTTGTTACTGTACATTTAAAAATGCATTTTCTGAATAGAAATTCCCCATGTTAGGACCGCAATTAACAAGACGACATTAATACATAACAACTGCGATGAAAAGGCTTTGAAGCCGGAGCTGGAAGGACCACCCACCGTGGCGGGATTCCCGGTCACAGTGACTGGTATTGGCAAATGTTAACCAACATCGGATGCTTTCCTCGACACCTAGTTGCGAATGTTACATAGCAATATTAGCAGCCACCAAATCATTTGTCCTTCAAACTCTAGGTTTCCATAAAAACTCGGCAATTAGAAATAATTAGTTTTAAGGAGATGATTATCAAGAATATTAGACACATCACCGATTTTAAGCAGTGCTTCTTTTCACAAATCTTTAAGTAGCCACAATTTAGAATCAAGTTTTACTTTGGTAAATATAAATGCTGCAGTTTGGGTCAGGCTAAGTGTTCTCGGTTAATTAAAATACTTTATTTGACTATCAATAAAGGAAAATCTAACAACGAAGAACTTTCCACCGCGAAAAGGCTTCAACTCGAATAGCACTGCAAGTGAGTTAAATTTATTACAGTTATCTAGGTAGAAATCCAGCATATAATGGAATTTTTATTAATCTTCGATATATTTTTTAAGGATTTTGCTCAACTTGAACAACTGATATTTACATGTTTAGAGGGGATTGAATGCCGACCTAGAATTTCTTTGAGGGTATAATTCGTGAAGCTAATTATTTGCCAACAAATTTTAGTACTTATAATAGCACGGAACAGGAAGTAAAATAATAGTAATGGATGTGCACAACATGCTAAGGGTACCACAGCCCATCATTTGTACGTTTCTCCACGGATATAATAAAATGGGGACAATATTAAACAACCCAATCATCGACAAAAAACAAAAGTTTGCAAACTGCACAAGGCTTTTATCCAAGTGAGGCCAAAATGCTTGGATTAAAGGCATAAAATAATTGTGCTCAAACATGCAGCGTCAGAAACATGGTACTCGGATACGATATTCAATCTGACAGGAAAGGAACCTTCTGAGAGGGAAGTATCCAGATTAAGATTTGTCGATCTGTGTGACAACCATAAAAAATCCCAGCTCATTTAAATTCATTGAACTGATTTGCTGTAAACTATGTAGAAGTTGCTTGCGTAAGATTATGTAAAGACATGAGCAAATTTGTGCAAAAATACACCACAAGCTTCCATTTTATAAATTGACATTTTAAACCAAATTCGCTTTGGCTTTAGGCGGCCAAGATGATATATAAGTCGTCAGGTATTACAAGAAAAATCATGAACGCACAGAATTCTGAGATTCGTGAGACCATCAAAAAACTCCCCATCGATACAGGAAATGTTATTCTTTTGAAGATTTCTAAAATTAAGAAAACTATAGTGCGATAGTGCATCTGAGATACCATCTAACCTTTCAAAAAAAAATAAAAAATTACAATATGGTTAATGAAGACAGGCCTTTGAATGCGTTCCGAGGGAAACTCTGAATTTGATTACCAGTGAGATACCTATTGAAGTGACGAAGACAAGTTAGTGTGCGAAACAAGGGGAAGTTATTCAAATGTCGAAATTGAATTTGAATGTACTTACAAGGAGGACAATCGATGCAGTCCAGAAAATGCCCACGGTGATACATTTGTTATCTTGTTCTCTTCAAGGTTGCTACAGTGAACAATTTAAATATCATTATTGCCAGTATAAAACCAAGATTTGAGCAAGGGAATTACACTAATTATAAACACCCTCAATAAATTAGCAACAGTTCTTTTACTTCGTAATTTGTCATGTACTGATATAATAATTAAGCTATAATGGATAAGGTTCTTGTTACTTCGTAAATGTCATAATCCTGTAATACTTATGTTGTCTAACTGTTCCTTTTCAGAGAGGAGGCAGGCAGCCAAATTCAGCCGCGTGACTGAGGAGCAGTCAACATCTCCCAGGCCAGAGGAGGGTCCCATGTCCAAATCTCCCTAATCTTTTATCCAACCCCATTTATGGTGAGCAATAAATATGTCAAAACCCAATGAGCCTCAGTGTTATAAAGGTATGAAGACCAGTGAAGAGGAGATAAACGAGGCTCGTGCTACAATCCAGCTTGCACGTGGTTACTTGTAGTGACCTTAGAACCCAATGACTCCGATTTAAGCATTACTCTACCGCTTAATATTTCGGGTGGTTACTGAAAAAGCAAACTATCAGTAAAGGCCTGCTGCAAGCTAATTTGTAGGACTTGAGAATGACTTTATACTAAAATATTTGTTTAATATTAAAGATTATCATAAATTAGATTACTAAACTTACAGTTTTCGCAGACTAGAATATCTTGAAAAGGCGTTTTTCGGTAGATGCGTCAACTGATTATTTGCAATATTTCTAAAGAGGACAAAGCGTCAAAAGCCTCAAACACTTGTCAATAACCTGTATCTCGGCTATCCAATCAACTACTCAAGGCCAATAAGGGTAATCTACCTAACTTTACTTCCCCTGCTTTCTTCTGGCGCCGTGATGAATGAGAATCATTAGCAGTTTGGAATACTTCTTGCTGCCGCAAATTTTGAGGAACAATCCTTTTTTAAAGAGCTTTCCGCATTTTAAAAGGCATTTTCGTGTGCAAAGCTTATCATTTGATAAATGAATGAAAAATTAGGCCTGAAAGCAAGATTTGGGTGCAGTGATTTATTCTAGTGAATGAACTTCGTTTAGGAACTGAATGAAATAGTCCTTTACAATGTGTTTATGATGCAACACACACAAATATCATTTTTAAGCAAAAAAATGCTGCAAAAATATTTATGAAATTTTCTCCTTTTGTTACTTTTCGTCTAAAAGAAAATAAATGTGCTTTAATGCGCACTTCTTTTTAACAAAAAATCGCAGCTTTTCATAGGATATGTGAGATGTATATTTCAATGTTGAACACTTTCTTCTAAGAGTTAAAATTGTTTTATTAATGATACAGACTTTTTCCTCTAACTTACAAAGCTATTCCATCTGCAAGCCTTTTGTGCCACTTGAACAAATAATATAATTTTATGTTTCAAAAATGAAAATCACTGAAAAAAATGTTAATGCAATAATCATGTCTGGATAAGTAGTCATCTCATCAGATGATATGAACACCACAGTTGTAATGCTAATGAGTCAATTCAGCAAGTTCTCTTTCCCTTTTCGGTTTGGTGTTCAGTGTTGCTCAAGTAAAATTTCAGACGGCAGATGAACTCAAAGTGCACACAAAAAAAATAAAATTTCCGGGAAAACTTACAAACTGATTAGGTTCTCCGGGAGATCAGACGGTACAGAGTCCAAACTTTTCCCGACACACGACACAAATCCGGACGTATCGCATGCGCATACTGATTGACAGGAGGATAGCCTAGGCTCTTGGTCCCTTTTGCAAATCGGAGGTATGAGTGGGAGTACGCCATCTGAAGAAGAGAGGATCAAACTATCCTACCCATGAAAGATATATTTCATCAAGGAATTTCACACTCCCCTCAAACTGAATTGCCGCAATCCGAATCCAAAGTTTTCAGAACGGTAAATGGCTTACTCAAAGAGGAGTTGCATAAAATCAAACTCAGGAATATACGCATAGCAGTTAATTTGAAAACGGTATCAGAAGATTATGCCAATATCCCGCATTTTTTATGTAGAACCCATGAGATTATCAGATATTGCTACACACGAAATAACTCCAAAAACATTGTCCTTGTTTAAGGCTAAAATGTTTCTACGGTGATAACAAAGCCTTGCACAATGCGTGCACATATATCACTACTCATGAACGGTGAGGTTGTAAGTTTAAAAACCGCTTTAGTCCAACTTCGTTAAATATTCCCAAAATTAAATTCATCATTCGTTAGTGTACTCTGGCCAACGGTTACTTACGAGGGCAGTAAAGGAGACCCAAGACTTCAGCGGCGACATCACCGGGAAATTCTTTGCTGTCTCTATCGCAAATTGCACCGGAGGATGAAAAAACACTCTGACGTTTTTCCTCTATAAAACTCTTCATCAGAGCGACCAAATGACAATCACATTGAAGTGGATTGTCGTTGAGGGTCCTAAAAATTATGCTTCCAGTTAAGTTGGGTTTTTACAAATGGTAATATCTTTGGGTAGTCATAGCTCTTATACCATCCAAGACCTGAAATGCAATTCCGCTTACGATTCAGGAGAATGGTGCATGCATGAACTTCTTGTTACCTAACCTGTAACCTCTGCACAAAGTGACTATATTATTGATAAAATTCGAGAATTTTAGACGGTTAATTTAGCAGATAAATAATGATAGATTATCCAATTTCCCGATATCATAGCAAAATCAGGTCCACTTAAACCCGAAACTCCTTTCCCATTAATACACCTATCGGTTGTTTATATTTCAAATATTTTTCTGCAGGTCGCGCTTTAATGTCATCGAGAGCTTAGAACCAACCATAAACTGTATGTAGAACTCTAAACAGGTAAAAGACGCGACTTGAAGTAGGTGGCCTTGAAAATAGAACAAGAATTTGGATGTAATTAAGGAGACTTTGAAACCAGGTTTTAAAGTTTTGGCGGTGATGTTTTCGAAACCGACGCAACCTATGAAGCGCTTGGTACTTTTTCTCAGCAATAAATGGGGACATTTGCCCTACTACTGCACTGCTTAGTCTCAATTTATTAGTTGATCCATACTTACTTTTAAAGGCACTTTTGGTAAATCACACTTCTTTCCGAAGTAGACTAGTGATACAATTCAAATCCTACTAATTTAACAATGCAAATCAAATAAATTATTACAATTGGTTCATCTCAAATTACCGGTTTACTATCATGAATTTTTCTCCGTTATTAAGCATAACTCCTAATGAAATGTTAATCGCTAGGACACTCTTTGTTACCCTTGCTGATACAATGATAACTTCTGCTGCTTAATTATTACACCAAGGTGTCGGTGCACTGTTTGCTTGTCCTCAAAACAAAGAAAATAAATAAACTCTCCATTCATTGTTAAAGGAAAGTAAAGAACTCTTTAAAATGCCCACTTACAACCATTGTAAAGCCGATAAACTGTTGAATGTTAATCTGGAAATCCAAGAAATCTTGTTCTGATCAAGCCTTCTAAAACGAAAGTTCATAGTTTGCTCAGTCTTGAATCAGAATTCCCTGTTTCTTAAAATCATTATTAAACTGGAATAAAATGCCAAGTTTATTAAGCAATTTTAGAGGTGTTCATTTCTGAAATGCACTAATCGTAATGGCAGTTTTATCGGATGTTTTAAACAGTTAATGTTGCTGGAACCAAAAATGAGTAATACGTAGGTCCGTGCCTCAATGTCTAATGTGACCTGTAGCACATATGTGCTGTTATATTTCCACTTTTTAAAACGATGAACCCTGACTAAAATGAGAAGCATGCTGGGCTTCTTTAAGAGGCCAAAGCTTCCAAAAATTAGGCATTTACATAGGCCTTCATATATATGAATAACCAACATCAAAAATAGTTAGGAATCAATTCTTATAGTGTTGAGTTAATGAAAGACATGTGGCTTGTAAAGTTCCACACACACAAAGAAATCCCCACGTTGCGAGAAATGATATATGTTCCTTGTTTTCCTGCATAGTGACAGCAACTAAGGGTCTCGAATTATGAGCGTTAACAGGAAAAAAGTCAGCTATAGAAGAAAATGCCGCGTCAAATCAAGCTTGTGGGAGTTGTTTATCGATTGGCATAGACATGTTAGGGCGGTGTGTGTGTTGGGTCTTTTTTTCTGCTGCAGCCACATCACCGGTGTGTAGAGACATTGGGTGGTCGCGTATTTATAAAATTATCTTCAGCTAATATATTTTCATATTTGTTTTGTTCAAAAAAAACTGCGTTGTTTGTTCTATGCCCCTGTCCAAAAATAAAATCACCATAGTAACGTACAGAACTCGGAGGTTCTTTAGGCCTTGAAAAGTTCCATCGTAAAGACATCGCAAATTGTTTTGTCGAAGGTCTCTGAAATTTGAAATATGACGCTGTCAGGTCCTTCCCATGCGTGGTGTATTAGTTTTGCACAACTTCCAAATTTTTTTGATATAAATGAGGGCTCATTGAAAATCTTAGTTGAACGTGCCTAACTTCTGGCTAAAACAGAAAAGACTATGAATATGTGAGTTTTTCCTTTTGTTAACGTTTTTGCCAATTGGATATGTTCTTTTTTAGTTCATTTTAAAAATGGAGGAACAATTTGATATATTTGCTGGTGTATGCCTTTTGCCTCACTCCTACCCACAATTTCGGATAATGGGGACGATGAGGTCTGCTGCAACACTACTACAGGAGCTTTCTCACTAATATGCAAACCAGATATTATTGTACTAAGGTGCATATAAGTCCACCAGTAACCCAAATGTAGAAAGATTCAAGGGTTCGAACAGTATTTGCGATTTTGGATAACGGGTTCCAAAATATCACAAAAAGGAACCAAGTCTGGTAAAAAAGTCCACATTAGTCCTCATCCTCGAAGATATTTTCTTACCCATTTATCCACATTTATTATTTTGGAACAATTCAGTCATTGTCCCTATCACGTGCGTTCGACTACTTACTATTTGCAAATATGAAAAACTTGCATATTAACTAAAGCTTTCAGGCGCTAATTCATGGCAAAATAACTGTTTCCAGTAGAGTGGAGTGTAATTTATGCATAATTTCATATAGTTATGCATTCGCTCAAAGAAATGGTGATTTAGCAAGCAAGCAAGTTATTTGAGCATCGTAGGGGTAAATGAAACCGGGACACACAAACGCTATCCGTTTTGCTGCAAAACCACAAATTATGCACATGTGCACTAGTGCACACACTGGGAAACCACACATGCGTACAACTGCACACCTCACTGAGAGGGAGGAGATAAGGTCCACCAGATGTGGTAAGTCCATTCCAACAGTTGTTTGTTTTAAATCACGGTCTCGTATGTTTCAACCTTCCCTGTAACTCCAGACTGCGACCACACACGCATCAAGTATGCATGCTTGCCCTTCCCACAAATGCACAAACACCTTTACGTGCCGTACACTTTGCGAGATGCGCAGTGCAATCGTCTGGTGTCCCTGTATTCAGGAATTTACCTAATATACGTAGTTGGAACGCTAAGGTGCATAAAAACGGCATCCCATTGACTTTATTTGTGTGCCGAGACTCCAGTTCGTCTGCCGTATGGCACCTTCTCGGCACACTGTTGCAGAAAAAATCTCAATGATAAGCGGTGCCGTCACAAGTTTTTTTTCTTTCATAAATATTGTTATTTGTGAATAAAGCTTCAAGGTGCTTAGAGAAGTTCACGTCACTATAATGGTACAGTTGCAATGCTGTTATCGCCCCAAATTGGAGTTACAGGCGATAAACATTATCTATTAACACATTTAACGGCCTTAATCTGCTGTAATCATATGATTCAGCACGCATTTCACACTCAGTTAAACTGTCAAAGAAATGCCATTCTACTTTGTACCACACATCTTCCTTTAGAAGTTTGACGAGCATTACATTGCGACTGTGTCACTTAGGTAACCTCCGCCGATAAAAGAAGGCAAAATGATGACACACATTGCCTCAAGCTATAAGATGATCTGATCCAAAACGGCTTGAGTACTTCGTATTTGCTCAACAAGAATTCGCGTTTCATTGTTACTATTGAATTTATTGCCAGAATAAGAGGAAGTGCTGCAGAGATAAAATTTTTTTCCTGTAAGATAATTTAAAGTATTTCTAATAGGATTGGGGAAACAAGTATTGAAGGTGGGAAAAGTACTTTGAAGAATAAAGAGTCTTGTGATTTACTTAATCTATTTAGGTACCTAATGAATAATGCAACTGATAAGTCAACAAGTTCAACTTAAATTTCCGAGTAGAAACGTTTTGGATTGCTATCCACCACGCCTAATGAAATGGATTAAAATAACTATGGAATCATCCAGTTGACAGGTCGCTATTTCTCAAAATTCAATATCATTAGCTGACTCGTGTTCAAAATTTCCAGCCATTGCAAATCACGGTCATGACAAAGACACGGTTCATACAGAAGCCGCTAATAACTGCCCTGAAGCAGTAACATTACTCTAAGCAACTTGTTTGCAAACTAAAACTTATGAGGCTCGGCAAACTTTGTAATTTTTACCATTAGCACAAGTTAGGCTCTCATTAGGCATTCTTTTAAAGTCTATTGGGGATTCATATCATCCCAAATTAGTTTAAAAACATGGATATTTTTTAGTATATTTGTAATTAATGGATTAACACTAAGAGGCGATAAAGCCTAGTAGAGCAAAAAGTGGAATATAGCAATAAAGTTTTGGGTGTTTTGATATAGGACTGAGAGGAATAAACTAACCCTCTTGGCCAATGCACCCAACGCACCGCCCATACTAACACGGATACACAAGTGTTCAAAAAACAAAAGCCAATCGAGCTGTCCAGTTGCGGAAGTGAGAGCCGAGACTACCATGCAAATTGCTTAAATTAGGAAGTGCACCTGTCTCTAAAGCGGTCCAGCCAAACTACTTTGCAGCTCATATGTCCAAAAGGTGGTCGTTTTCATATTGAACGAATTAGTCTTTAGGAGAGTTGTGCCAGGCCCGACTACTCAAAACTGCGTTTCTATCTCAGCACAGTCCCTTTGGTTAACGGCCATGTCATACAATTTTCTGATCTACTCGAAAGCTATATTTGGTTCAATTTTTGGCACTTTCTTCGTCAATCTACATTTTTTGCGTTTTGCCTGTTGTTATATGGAAAACAATGGAAGTAGACGACCTTTAGAAAACATTCTTGCATTCCTTGGCCTCAGTGGTTGTAAGGGCAAAGTTTCACTCCGACAGGTAGGATTTTTTCCTTTTGTCAACAAAACTGCATCGTTGGACTGATAGCTGTATTTCAGCTTTTACTTGAACTTGCTCGTAAAAAGTTAAACCTGTTGAAATGAGGTTAAAATTATTCTGCTGTTCTTTTGCAAATGCTGGTTTTTTCCGCTGGGCTTAAGCAATAGTTAACAAATTTTGGGTACTTTGTAAATGGTCCTTATTCGTGAGTAGATTATTCCCAATGAATGAAATGTGTTTTTCCCCTGGTATAATACCCCCTAGGTTGTTGCGAAATTTTTGAACGCTTTACGACCAATATTAATATCCTTCATTTCCAAAAAATTTTTAAGTGGAAATGATTTTGACTTAAAGATATGGAGTAGATGCTATGTTTTGGTGCTCCTCAGGTGAAAACCGATATTTTTTGCAATTATATTTCTAATGTTTTACAAGAAATTAGCCTCAGCAAATCTCATCATGGTGTCTAGGGAAACCGTTAGTATTTTGGAGACAAACGGGCATTACACTGTACAAATACTCATTACTTTTGATTTGTAGAGGAAACCGCAGGCCCTAATAAAGTAAGTCGCAAACATTTCACATTTTCAGTATAATAAGCTAGACCCAAACTTGATACTATTTGAAGTTTTCTCTTAGAGTGAAAAATCTCATACATCGGTTTCATTTTTCGCACAGGGAAAAACGAAAACAGTCACTTACAGATATTGCAGATTTTGGACTCCTTCAAATGTACCGTCTTCGATTTCGCTGATGTTGTTATGAGAGAGGACTCTGAAATGTTGAAGACGCGTGTCAAAATCAAAATTAATACAGTACCAGAGAACACCAAATCAATGTCCAAGTAAAAATGTAGCGGTTTTCATCCGAATGAGGATGTGTTGGTCTTTCAATGTATTGAATTACAGTATCGCTTGTAGACGTGGCAGATTCGCTAAGCGCAATAATATGTATTTCGAGGTGGGCAAAGTGTAAAACGTAAGAAAAATCGACACCATTACATCCAGGAATTGAAATGAAAGTAGACAACTGTTGAGCTAGGTACAGCAAATACGTCTTGTCAAATGTTAATAGGTGTCTTCAAAACATTGCATAAAAACAGGAACGCTTATTGAATAAAATGTGACGACTGCATTTTACAAAGCAATGACAGATACCTTATAGATTTAAATAAGACGAACCTCCGATAACACAGGTAATATTCATGCTCTTTCAACTAGCTCAACTCACATTTGCGTCACAGCTGGTAGACGCAGGAAGCTGTTTTTATCCAACCGAGAAATGGATGCATGGGATATGATTCTGAAGAAAAATACAAGCACACAATAGTGAGAGTTTAATGAACAAAGAATACTGAACAGTAAAGTTACCTTCGTAGTATTTTAGCATAATAGATAAAGCATTGCATGCATATTCTGGGGCCGCATATGTATTTTGAGATAGGAAAAGTGGCCTGGTCGTATCGATGATGGCTAACTATGTGGAACATGCTTCGATACAGTCAAATAAACTTTAGAGCATTCTAAAGATTTTAGCTAGTTTTTAAGACTAATCCATTCCACTTTGCTAGACTGACACGCAGTTCAAAAGTAGTTGTATGATACTGCTTTCTACTTAGCGAGAGTTGGGAAAAACAAAAAGTCGCGAAGTGACTACAACAATATAATTTGTGGGTTCTGTGAGTAAATTATATTCGGCAAACATTATCAAGAATTGCTTATATAAGTCGTACGTGCATAGATCAAGTTCTCTATTCTCCACATTAATTTATCGAGCTGTGAATGAAATGGAATGAGAAAACGAATATCCCACTTTATGGGAAATATCGGCAGCTGTCAGGTACTGCAAAACTGCGTGTAGAAGTTTAGTCAGCGTAAGCTGCGAAACGAATACAATGACAAGTTGTTGGTGTAAGAATTCAATTTTCTTCCTTTCACTTTCAAATCTCTTTAACATCACACCGGTAAAGGCACTTCTGGGGTGTGTATTCGCGGGTCTCCATGGCTGGTTTGGCGTCACTACATGTCAAGAGGAGAGTGAATCACCCATCCCAAAGAGGACTTCGCCGAGGCACTGTGATGGCAAAGCTATAGTCTCAAACACTTCCTTCTCAAACCTCTCTTACAGAGACTGCTCCCTGGATGTCAAAATTCAACTCTATTAATGTCCATGTATCCCGTTTCTACTGCTTGAGGATTCTCGTAGCCGTCTGCTGAACGGAATTGATGCATAGCACGGATGGTGGGACCTATTTTTTAGAATTTTGACACTTAAATACCAATTTCCTCAAATACCTTCGACTCCTATGCTATTTTTCTCAAAATTTTCGGCATTTGCGCAGAGTTCCCCTGTAACTAATAAGCGGCCACGTTACGATCGAATAGACGAGTTAGCTAAGGGAAGGTTCTTTGAGACTGGACCGTGTTTGTATGCTTACAAGAGCCTAAATAATAATGACCTATTTTGCAACTGTCAACCTTTAAATAACATTTCAATGCTTTTTGGTCTGCACAGCTCGGTTTGATTTTACGGTGCTGAAGGATCGCAGAAGTAATCCTATCACATCCGCTTTTCCATGCAAAATCGTCTAATTGAATTGGATTGTTCCAATTAGCAAACATAAAATTATTTCTTAAATAAGTAAATATTTTATTCCAGTTCGCAAAGCATGCTTGAAACTTGGTATACACCACAGAAATTACCATCAGTGGCTAATAATAAAATCAAGCCAACTGCGGAAGTTGCATGAACAAATTAGGTAAAATTTTGAGCGTTAATTTAGTTCAAAAGATACGTCAAGAAAACACCTTGTGAAATTGTAATGTAAGGTTAACCGAATCTGACAAACGCGTATTCCGAAACTTTTAAAATAACTTAATGAGTGATGCATTTTTAGTTTACCGTTCGTATCACGCATAAAGTATTTTTTTGTGATATTTATTTTATAGTGGATATATTACTTCAAGCAGTATCAGCATCACTCGTATCCTCAACCCAGAATATGGAATTCACTTCAAGCACTTTGGGCTTTGTATCTGTAATATCGTAGGTATAAACAGCTCGTTTGTATGATAATTAAAAGAGACCACTTGTGTCGTAAATGAATTAAACTGTAAATGGTTTTGAGTGTGCCTTGCCAACCGATTTTGCAATAAAGATATTGTCAGCTATTTGAAAAAAATGTCGGTTTTACGGAGGTATCACCGAAATCTAAGATGCAAAAGCTAAAAATGTTTTATTTTAGCGGGTGTAAAGTGCAGAACGGGGGTGAAAGGAGCTCCCTTCGTATCAGGCCGCCATGACAGCGCCTGCCTCGGGCAAAAACAAACACACGCACCTGTAAGACCACCCAGAAGAGCCATTAAAAAAACCACGGGTTAAGGTGAATTCGACGCGGTTATCAGCCTCAAAATTGCAGTTATCTTACTAATCTTTTAGGCCACCATAGATAGCAAAAAATTAAAGTAGCTTTTATCTTAGAAAGCAGAATCGCCTGACTTCACTCTAGTTGCACCGACTTTATTCAATTAGATCGAACGAAACAGCTTTCGCCTACTTGAACTGAAATAATGTTGATAGTGAAGGGACATTTCAATTACTAAGTCACTATACAACACCAATTTCTGTTCCTCCAAATAGCTTAAATATTTTGACGGATTTCTCGCAACCAACCAAGCTCATAATAAACCGCTGCGCATGACTTAAAATTAGCAACACAGTAAAAATGACAAAATTGTTTTTTAGAGGCGAGTTAAAGAAGTATTTTTGCTACCAATTTGGCTTGTAGTCTGGGGACCGGCCCTTAAAATACCATACAAACTCGACAAATACTTCTGAGTAGAATGCTTAAACACAGCCACAACGATTAAACATCCGGCGTTAGAGATCTCCATGAGAAAAATTAAAGGGGTTTTTAACACCCAAGAGACCAATAATTATTGATTCAGCTTAAGGTAAACAAAGGCGATCTTGAGAAAACAAATATTCGAGAGGCAATTTCACCCTGGATTTTGGCTCACTAGGTACCATGGCCAATGTAGGTACTATGCTCAATGAAATACCTAGAGGTTGCCATACAGAGATAATAGCTGCCATAAGGTCGTGTGTTTTGAACTTCTTCGCATCAATGCGTCATTACTTGTGGAATAGTGTTGAAGCAATTAAAAGTAACCACAACTTGGCCGAACATCAGTCAAATGAAACGATGCACTAAATACGCACTTATTTCAATTGAAGACTACAGATCATGGGCTCATGATTTCCAGCACGATGTCTCTGCGCCACAATGATTCATGCCTGTCATAATATATCCTTATATTTGTATCAACGCGCATAAAATTTATGTAAATTTACACCATTTTTGGTAAAATGAATATTTTAACTGCTTAAATATGCTGACTCAAGAACTCAGAATTGGAATCACGAAAGCTGCTGCCAAGCAGCCTACCTTGGTGGAAGTAGGCCATTTGTGAAGCATGAACGGAAACATTTTTATGCAATAGGCATTCGCAATTCGTAATATCAGGTTTGTTGACGATGAACTTCGGACACAGTAATTCAGTTTTCCAATCTTCAATATGTTTGTTGTTTTATCTAATCAGAATAACCGTTTCAATTCTGAGTGATACAGGAGGAAGTTAGTGCTACCCTAATTAACGTTAGCACACCAGTTAACAAAAGGAGGTTCATCAATAAAAAAATGTCAGAATCAGCTTGACAGATAATCAGAAATTATTCATATACTGACAGGGTGGTCGCTATTCGGGCTTCCGACATTTCAATCCACTAAAAGTCGTTGCGACAACGTCACTCAGATACCTACTCACGTGCAATAAGACGAGTGCAATGGGTCTCTACTCAAGCAATGTTCGTTAGTAGTTGTATTGAATGGGTTAGCCTAAGGTCACTCGGATACTATAGCAACAAAAAACAATGCCTTATTTGGGGTCATTTATATTTCACTGGCATAGGATAGTGCCTATAATAAAGTCCCTAAAATGCTCTACTGGAAATATCGTTAAAGTAGTAGCATAAATGACGACTCATCCGATTAATAGGCGTTGTGCTTGGATTGTTTTGGGTGTAACTTGGTGATATGGCCCGCAATTATAAAAGCACCTGTCAAACTGCGAATCCGAAAAATATTTACGGACTCCTGGAGTCCGGTAATAATTCTAGAGCACTCATATCAAATTTATTCATCGTGGATTGCACATATCCCGAAGGTATACCCTTCGTATCCCGTTTGGAAGATCACTAATATCCTCACTGACAGCAAAATAATAGGTTCGTACTAGTATAACTTACCACACCTTTTTGCTGAGTCAGAATTGAAGTTGAATGGGATTTGTCGTGTTCTACAGACTGTCAAGCCCGCATCTTTAACTTTGATCAGCATAAACACAACACACATACTAACAATATTTCGGCTATCGTGAACTTCATTTATCTGAAGGTCGAGGAAACCGTTATTCCCAATACCTTTACACCTAAAATGGACGCCGTTTGTGCTGAAAACATCAACACGTTGACATATGTACATGTGGTCCATAACACAAAGGCTAGTGTATTACTTGAACAAGGCGTGATTCTTGTCTCAGTTGAATGGACTGCTGCCTGGTCAAATGAAGTTCTGGAACGGTTTTGAAATAGTGATCTGCAGGAATGATTCACGACCTCAGCCTACAATTTCAAGTCACCGAAGAATTTTTTCGTCAAGGGCACCTCATCATTAACCCCAGTAGTTGCGGTCAAATGAAAACGATTTTTGCCTTCATGTGGGGAGGTCCTCGTTAGAGAGGAGAGAGCAACATGGTCTGCAGGGAGGTCTTTGAAACGCGTGGGGGTTAAACTGCGCAAAACGCAATAAAACTGACCCAAATGACCGCACATGACCCAGCCTCTATTGCTGTCTTCAGCATCACGCAGAGGCACACTTCCCTGAGGTGTTGCAACCTTGTGTAGGCAATAGTTATTGCAGGTGTGGGAGGGGAGGTTAAGCTCATCCCAAAAGACCCAATTACCTGATGACGATAATGACTTCAAGGTCGCATGACTCACTACGTGTTTTAGCCAACCCCCTTGTTGCACTCTTCAAGACTCGAGATAATTCATGAAAAGATGATGAAGACGGCAATTAATTGCTTTAAGATGGCTTAAGCTCCTTCTCCCCAGCCATTTACGTAAACTGTACATACATTAGACGGTTCAGCAGTAGGTCAGTTTAACGGATGCCCTAAACGTTGAGTAGCAGCTGTCTCTGAGCCTCCAGAAGGGCAGTCCGTGCCGATACAGTTTTGCAGACAATCGGCATAGTGGATGGCATACTAACGTTCCGCATTTCAACACACGTAGAAGCATCGAGGGGGGCTGTTAACATCATTTTAACGCCTTTTCGAATGTCAGAGTGCAAAACCTTATTTCAAAGTGTGGTGATTTGCACGACGATCCCAGCTGTTTTTTCCTAATCAACTAATTAACTCTGAACAGACTCTTTCCAAAGTCGTATTTCAAGCGATGGATCGGATTGTTAAGGAACCAAAAGAGGTAAGATGTGAACTTCAGGTGACCAAATTAGCCAAGGCAATGGTACATTACCGAAATCTATATTATGCATTACCAAAACATAACGGAAAAACGAACGAACGGCAAATCAGGGCTGAGTGGAAAACGAAAATAGCCGAGTCAAGATTATGCTTCTATCAAGTTTGCTAAAAAAGGCCATCAGTTGGAAATTTCTTCATTAGCTAAGGGTCTAATTATGACCTTTGAAATTACTTTTGAATGTAGCTTTGAATAGTAAAATAGAACATCGGTGTCGGGACTATTAGATCAGCATCATGACTAAAGGAAACAAAATATGCTCATCACAGCCGGTAATCTAAAAAACGCCCCACTGCAATGTCCAGTAACAAAGACCTGTTTATTTAACATTATGCAGATTGGTAAACTATCGCCTGATACGTGGGTAAATTGCACTATGCCCAAAGGCAAAATGTGCTAAATCCATCAAAGCACTATATAAGTCGTCTAACTGTATCGGTTAAATGGTGTATAATTGATGACTCGCCTGTATAAATGTAGGCCTCAAGGACAATATTTTTTTGCAAGTTGCCGTGATTTATAAGCCGAAATGGCATGACCACCCACGCTGTTTGGCGGCACGAAATGGGAGGACTTGCCCCAAATTTTCATGGTCAATCTCTTATTCCTTAACTTGACATGCCTCCAACACAAAGTTACTTGAGAGTAGACTTTTCCAAACGATAAATAAGAGCCCAAGTGTGAGGAGAGGAAAAATATGACTTATCCGCTTCGTCACTGTTACTTCCAAGATGTGGCATGTTAAGGACTCTTATTGGAAAATACTTCTGGTATTGACATGCGGGACAGGGAGGGCACGCTAAACAGTAGAAACAGACTAAGGGATTTATAATCTATCCACAGCAAAATCAGCCTACTTTCCAGCGCGGTACTTAATTTGATTGCAGTATTACCCAACACTCGCCATTTTGCTGCAATTTCGTCGTCGGCTTGCCGATGAAACTCACGAGAACGGCTGTTCGCTGACTTCACATACACAGAAGACCAAAAGATTGTTTATAGGCTATGGATTATTGCATTTAGCGTCAACTTCAAAAGGTTTTGTGAATTCGCTGACATTGTTTAATGATGCATGCATAAAGAATTAGCGGAAAAGCTTGGTATAGGCGAGAGACTCCAAAATTTCCAGTAAATTTTCATTTCTGATAAGATTAAACCCGCGTATCTTATCTAATTCACAAGATTAAGATTATAACTAGAAAATGGATACCAACTCTACGAATCAACCGCCTTTCCTACGAGTCACTGACACTTTAATGCATGTTAAAAATGCTAATTACATTCTTTCCGTGTCGAGTGGAAGATTTCTAGGAAGATCCTTTAGGTCCTTGCTGGAACATCTGACAGTCTTTGCGAAACAGCGACATTCCGTTGGACAGGCGGAGATCTCAAGCCCTTCTCCTACTAAAGAGGATTGAAATCCAGCGAAATTTGACTCTCGCCGCTGTTTCATCGACTGCGGGTGATAGGGATACCAACTCCGTAGGGGCTCACTCGAGCAGGTGAGCTTACCCGCAATGAACAGAAGGGACAAAAGGAGGGAGAGGAGCATTGTGCCGATTGATTAGACTTATTGCGAGATCAATTTGGTGTTTCTACTAATAGTCAGTTGATTTCCTTTTCACATGAGTGAGCCCCGAGGTCCCATGATAAACTGATCGTGGTTCTGGGTCCGTAAGTTTGCTTATATGTAAACGTGCTTGAATAGACGGCCCTTGTGTCTGCAACACGGGTGGTAAAATGACGCCGGCGACAGGCAGTGGAACCGTATTAGTGTTTTGTGCGCGCAAATGCACAGTTGTGCATTCGCGCTCCTGTCCAAGTCTCGCATTGGCTGAAGGTGAGGCTAGCCATGTGGTGATTGGCTCCGCTGTCTGCCATTTCAAGCCTGAGTGCGTCGAGAAAAAATGCATTACTCGCCTGGGTGGTCTCTAACACCCAGTCGACCATCCAGACCTCCGTACCGGATACTTTCCCTTATCAAGAGGCCTGCTGGGGTGGGCTCGGAGGGAGGCTAATTCAGGATGCCTTAGAGCTGAGCCGCTAGTAGCGTAGCCTACGTCAGTGTCATTCTACTTCCTTGTAGTGACTGCCCCATGCAGTGGCAACCTTGGGGACGAAGGATCGAAGATTTCTTACTGGAATGGAAACACTTATCCACTTTAGTCCACGGGCTAAGAAAACCAAATTTTGCTGTCTCGAGACCTTCTCATCTTAAAAATTGAGTCTTAAAACATTGGCATATTTTGTTTTCCGCAAAGCGATTTTAAAATCTATCAAGACACTAGGCATGTCGATAAATCAAGGATCCCAATTTATTTATTCTACAAATTTAAACAGATCTCAACAGTAAACCTTAATTAATATGACAACAAATTAAATAGTTGTTAGAAGCAATCAGGAAACGGTAACTCAGGCTCATTGACACACTTTGATTTTGTGATAAGGTAACATAAATTTAGATTTCAAATGCCTTGTAATGACAGTCTCTGATAAACTCAACCAGTAATCTTACAAGACATATTTTTACACTGAAAGACTTAAAACGCCAACTGATGTGCTTACTTCATCCAAAGTGCGGAAATTGACATTTACGCCAGACAAGTACTAGTGAGATAATATGCTACACATTTGGAACAGTATGTGAATCCTCATTCAGCCAAAGAAATATTCATCGTGGTCATCTTTCCCACCTTCAAATCTTACACTGATTTGTATTAGCTACGGTACATGTCTGAATACAATACCACAAGTAGCTGTTTAAAATGTTTTTCAATGTAAGATCCAGTTGACCACTTCATGTTATTCACTATTTACTCAGTCCTTTTTTTCAAACCTAGTAAGCCTATTGGAGAGAACGGTGAATTCGTAGGTGCAAAACGATACGGTTCTGATATTCTAGGGAGAATTGGTATTTTTACAAATGTTCGATTGACATAAATCCCCCATCAAAGTAAATGATGATAGAATAGAGGAATCCGAAACGGCACAAAAAAATCCATAAACAGAATGACTTGAGGGATTTTAACAGTCTAAAGTGCCTCGAGTATTTTTGCCGAGGGCAGTCTAGTTAAAAAAAGTGTACTTTTCATTTATTAACACCATTAGGAAGTTCTCTAGTTGAAGAAGTGAATGAATTTATCGATTACGAGCGGTTGGATTTGGGAGACCTATTGTGTCGGATGACTGATTGCTTGGCTACAAAAACCGATCAATTACTTGAAAGGTTCATTCACGTTCCCCCTCGGATCACAACTGATCAGTTATTCACAAGAAACAACCTAACGACAAATCCGAGTTTAGCCATTGAAGTTCAGGGGACTTCAGTCCTGTGTATTGTTACGGCACGAACAAGTAAACGAGCATCTCAGAGTTCCTTTCGAACGAGTGGTATAATTGATTTGTTTGACCAAACTTAGAACAAAGGCAGTAATTATTCGTTTCGATAGTGACAAAAATTTCTACAGTGCGATCTGACGCAATGAACTCGGGGAGTAAGAAGAAAACTTTGTACTTAGAAGCTAGATCATGCACCCCTTTATGCAAACGCATTCATGAGACGCGTGTAAATACCAGTGGAGTGCTGTGATAAGCATAACAATGACAGCAAAAATGGTGCCTCAAAATAAGGCATTTCCAACAAATCTAGACTCGCTCTAGTCAAAAGCAATCAGTTATCACACAAATATACCAATCAGTGCAATGATTAAAAAATAGCATTAAAACTACGCCTCTTATATTGAGACCGGGTGGGGTCCATTCATATTCCCAATGACGTTAATAGACAAATTCAGGTGTTGCTACTTATTACGTTTAAGTAGCGCGCGAAAAGTGCAGCGAAGAAAACGAGGTGAAAAGCAAACTTAATCATATTCAATATTGACATAAAAATACAGTAAAATACCACTTCAGATTTTCTCAAAATCGATCAGGTTTCCACAACCTTTGTCATCCGTTTAACGAACTCGCTCAAATCCACCAGCAAATCCGACCATCTCTCGTGAGCCACGAATCTGTAACAGACAAAATCGTCCAATATGGCATACAGGGGGTTTCGATTAAAATCCAGCTGAAGCAAGATATTTACCGGTTCCGCAGCCACCGAGAGATGCCGGAGAGGTAGCGCTGGGGCTGTTCAACGAAGCGCGCCTCAGCAAGAATAATGGCTCCCCAATCGCCCCGATGACGAATGCACCGGCCTAGGGCCTGATTGAGTGCCCTGTAAGCCTGCGCCTCGTACCACTCCGAGCCGGAGAGAACAGGTGACGGGACGCCAGAGGTATCCTGCTTAGTGGGCCCGGCGACAGAATTAGCTGCCTTGATTTGCTTGAATGTTAAAACACCGCGGCCTTGATTCATCTAGTGTTTGTAAAAATGCTTCACTTAAATTATCGATGTTACTTTAACCAAACATGGGGAACCAAACTATAATAAGCAAATATTCCAGTATTGGATTCGAAGTAAATCTTGGCGATGGATAACATGTATGCGCATCTATGAAATCAATTCAGTTGCTGTCAATACTTCGATCCTGTATTTCATTACAAATCTCCAAACACCAAACCACCATGCATTTCGTGGAAGCTACTGCAATTCAAGGATGTTTTTCCACTGTAGCAAAAACTCACCAGAGCGTTTCTTAGTGGTGTTAGTGGGTTGGTACTGACTGTGGAGAGCTTGTTGAAGGCAAGATTCGCCTTCAGGGACATTATGTCACTCTTCTGACATCCACCAGGGGTCTCATTAGTAGTGCGTTTCTGCTTAAGAAAAAAGTGACCTATTTGCATGTGAAAAACCTCGACTTTCGTCCAGAACTCATCACGTAGAGAGGATCGTTTAAATGTCGGAAGAATATAGACTATGTTATGCAACTCTGATCGATACAGTAGCACTTTTGTCCCTGTACTATGCAAGAAAATAAACTTAAAATGAATGTGCAGCACAGTCCATTCAGTTGTACCGAACTACACACAAGAGGAGGCCTGAGAGACGATGGGGGATTCGTCTGACTGGAGATCTTGTCCAGTGAAGGGATTGATGCACAGAGGGTGTCATTGAAAGCCCTTTTCTGTTCAATCTAAAAGGCGAGTACAATCCAAATTAGGTTTTAAACGAGGTAGGATCAAGCAAATATTGTTCCGTCAACTACAAGATACCCCATTTTCTTACCGCTCCATGATGCCTGCTTTAATGGTTCTCAAGATTTTGTAATACGAAGGTGGATCAAGCCTAAGTTCTGGTTCTCACTTGTTTTAAAGACCTTTCAAAACCATAAATTTTTAGACAAGAATCAATGCAGAGCAGACAGTTCGGGGCGGCAAAGGATGCGATAAGTTAGCACACATTACGACGATTGTCTGGAAAAGTCCGTTCCACAATTCAAAAAACAATATGCACAAGAGATCCGATATAACACCAAGACGGAACTGTGAGTAACCGTAGCGAAAATAAATGCGTCAACTTCAAGCCACAACCAAGTTTCAAAATTATGCCAACAAATTCCCATTATCTGAAAAAAATAAGCAAAATAAAGCTAGTTAGGTGGATTCTATTGCATGAATTAAATGGTCGCCGGAAGAGAAGTTGCCATGCAGCTTACCCCGTTCATTATTGTTGCGGCATAGAGACGAGTTACACCGATGTGTTATGAAAAAAGATCCCTTTTACAATTATTTTCAGCGGCCGAAATTCGACATTGTGATACTTGATGAGATCTGATCAGTAGGTCACGGGGAGCAGTCACCTAGTGCGGTCAATCAAGCTTAACAAGGCAAGAAGATTATGCTTAAGTATTTGGCAGTTCAGTACTCAATCAAAAGCATATCAATTGAACAAATAACACCACCTGAAATACAGATAAGTTTAACTTTGAAACAACGAATAGACCTTGCGACAGCTTCTTATAAGGAAAAGAATTCACGAGGACACTTCAAGCAGGCCGCGAAAAACGCCTTTTTCGATTTCATCACCTCCCATCCACCTTTCAAATTTATCCATCGACTGGTAATATTAACCGATTACCATTAATATGGTAATAAAAATAGCATGGGTACGTGTTCCTATTTATGGAACCACCCTAATGTGGTTCCACTATACAAACTACATCTCCAAACCAAAAGACAGCAAACCTGTGGGTCCTTAACAGCCGGAAAGGGTATTCCAACGGCAACCACGAGTCGGGCGTAGTCGTCAGCGAAGTCCAATCCCTCGCTGATTTTGCCACGACATACGGCCAGAGCAAGGGCGCCGGTCGTCCCACCCGGAGGCGAGCTGCGCATCGAGTCGACGGTGTCGTGAAACTTTGCCACCCAGTCGTCGAATTTCTCTGAAGATCGAGGCTCCCTAAACACGTACTTTACTTTCTCCAGCTTATCCAACAGTCCAGTCAACTGCGAATGGGTGCAAAAGACGTATTTTTTAAATATTTTACGGGACATAACTGAGTAGGTCCCATTGCCTAAGAGGGCTTAAATAGGAGAATGAGATAAATGAAAAAGTGGTCGCAACATGAGGCGTCAAATAACGGGGATTCTCCCACGATTTCCATGAATTGATTGTGATGCAAACGTATGGGCGCAATTGCCCACATTATAAATGAGCACTTATTCTGATGGAGCGTAGACCAAGTACAATAGTGCTTATATACCAGAACGTAACAAGAATATAAGTTACGCTTTGCCTTTCATAAGTTGCTGTTTGAGCCTATTTCTGCTTTAAATCGCAGGCTGATATGATGATACAGCTCTCCTATCGTAGTACTCTACTGTGACAAGGAGATTTAGAAATGTCAAGTGGATACATTTAAAATATTGAGTTAAAAAAATGACAAAAAACAATACACCAGCATAGGTGTGCGTGTTTTCAATCAATTGATGAATTAAAATGACTACGTAAAGATGGCACTACTCAAGAAATTGTCTATCATTGATTTGACATTAAAGACACGCACCTAGAGATAGTTTGACGTAACCATTTACAGATAAATCAAGCACGATAATTTAGTGAGGACTTATGATAACAGCTAACATCATTCAGCTGAATGCTGACGAATAGGTTCAAGTAGAGATACAACACGTTGTCTGGTAGTGCGATGATCTCAACAATTTACGGACTAACATAATTCAAGTTTACAAGAATTAAATTCATTTACAAAATCATCCAGCTTCAAGAGATTCATGGATCTTAACCGCACGAGCGTTGTTTAATGAAAAGAAGCAGAAATGCACATCATTTACTGTAAAAGAAATGTAATAATTGGAAATAGCTTCATGACGGTAAAACATTGAGTTGAGAAACTCTTGTAGTGCCTTGATTTTATCCACTGGATAAATGAAACGGAGACAAATCAATGATAAGTCAAAAAAATGGAAATAAGCTAGCGACCTCCCAGCGCGCAATCATCTTGTCAAGAAGGCTGTATGAGGGGAAGAAACAGAGCACCCCACCAGGCACGTATTGACAGGCCTCGAGAAGGAGGTGGCCGACCTCGTCCTGAAAGACGAAGGCACTCTGGTTCGCGAAAGTGGCGCAGAGACGGCCACCGCGGGGTCCGCAAGCAACACAGGTGGCGAGGACGCGTTGCGGGGGTACCACGTGGCTTGCCTCCAGACGCACAGGAAAGTCGACACCCAATTCTGCCGCCAACGCCTCTAGTGGCGCTAGCGTGCCACTGGCAAGGATGAGACTATGCGCGCTCTCCGCTAGGCTGCGCATGCACACCGCCGGATTGAGACACCAGAAGTTCAAACTCAGGCTCTTCCGCTCCACTAGTCGCGTCTGCCGCCAACCGCACAGCGTGACACAGGTGACAAGAGAAGAGAAAGGGCACAACCGCGTTTACTATCATTGCAGGGAATCTAGTATTAATCTGCATCAGTCCTAAGTTCCGCTTGCTCTTACCATTTCCTAGCTGATAATACTCGAGATAAGCCACAATCCTAAATTTCAGCCAAAGTTTACGAAACCCCGTTTAAGATAGCCAAGCCTCATTAATACTTTCCATGGGTACCAAGCAGACTCCTAACTAAGGCCTTCTCTTAAATTTTAATACGGTAACGGCAATATGGGAAGCAGAATATCCACAGACAATGCTTGAAAATAATTGATATTCTACGATGAAGTTAGTTTACATTCCTTTTTATAGTCGAATTTCACCATCACTTCCTACGAGTCTATTCATAGCTCTAGTCCGCTAACCAATCTATAAATGATTTTGGACTTCTCTATACTGTAATGTTTGGATTTGTACAGACAGTTGGTCTTTCTAAAATTTGAATAGCATACCATTCCAGTAGTGTGTTTTGACATTTGATTTTTAGCTATTTTGGATTGGTACCCTCTAGACACAAATCGGATTTGCTGCGCCGTGGTATCCAGTATACATTGGAAAGCACGCTGGAAACTGCAAGAGCCTAGATAGGTTCAGTTTTTTCCAACTTATTTTAAATTTCTCACATTGGAAATCGTAGTGTTAAATAGGGACACTTAAGCAAACTGCCCATGCATTTCTATTCGGCTAAAAGAATACTACCAATGGCAGTTCCAACTCATTGGTTCGAGAATATACCAAATTGCCGCGAAACAAGAATATTATAAGGTAACTACACTACGGAGCTTTTAGCACATAAAATACGTAATAGGGATATGGGATTTTAAATGATGGCTTAATTTTCGAATCCGTAAATTACATTAACATTGGATCGGAACCGGTTATCTTATTCGCCTAGAAGGAGGCTTGGAATACGGCGTTCCAGCCTTAAAAATGCAATTAATCGCCAAGAATACTATCTTTAGTATCTGACAACCTTAAAATGGCCTGGATTTTCAAGTTTCGAAAAAAGAACATAGTCTAAAGACACTTTCGCTACTAAATGCCAATTTACATCATTTTTCCACCGCTACTAGGTAGCAATTCATATACGAAACCTACATACTTTAGCACCTCGTGTTTTGCTTAGCCACCGGTTCATCGGGACACTAGAACTGTCAAAATCTTCCTCCTGAGGCTGCCTTTCGAAATTGACGACTTCTGTCAAGACGGCTCTGTAGTTTCGGATGCGACGCATATCATCGCTTAAAAATAAATGCCAAAATAAAGCAATAGGGAATATCGTCATTCTGACCCCACTTCCATTGGTTAAAATGCTTTTTAATTGGCCGAGAATAGACAGAGAACTACTTAAAGTATTTCCTGGACTACAATAGCTCTTAAAAAGACTCAAAATTTAATCTAGTATGGAGTAAATCCACAGCAGTGTCCTCAATTCACTATCCTCAAATAATGCACACTTACCCGTACATGAACTTGAGCATAGTGAAGATGTAGGTGAAAAGACGGATCGTTGCAGAACTGAGAGATTTTGACTCATTTCGCACCGTGGAAAAGTCACGATTAGCTGCTGCCTCCTTCTGAACCATGTTATTTAGCCGATTAAAACTTGTCTACAATGATAAGCCACTTTTCATTCACTTGGCATACCCTACCATATTTATATAATATTTTTTAATGGTTCCTGAAGTGGATATAATTTAGCCATAATCAAACATGAATACGCACATTTTTATTGAAAACACATACTTTAATATACTATTGTTAATTATGTCTCTTAGTTGCGCGGGCTCCCAATCACAAGCACTTAAAAATCCAAAATAACATCTAAGGACCGGTTAATAATTAACGATAATATTTTAATCGCAACATTCAGAAGGGGACTGAATACCGAAAGCATAAGGCAGGATAAAAAGCAATTTGAGACCAGCGTTAGCTAAATCATTTCACAGGACAAAATACTGTTGAACTTTCCAATATCATTTAAACGGAAAGACAAATTTCAGATCACAAGGCAATGAAACAGCAAATTTACTCTTATCCAAACGCACCCACACCGGTAATTCAGAATGACGACTTTCTTCGGCATTCCTAATTTTGATACCTTTTTGAAATACTGCATTTCAGATACCGTGCCTTAGTGATGTGGGATCGAATTACATTTCCCGTTTTAGTTTTCTTGGCTAAAAGTTCTATCTAGTGATAAACTTGCAGTTAAATAAGAATCCCCCTGACTCCTAAGAATTTTCCACAAAAAGAGCCTTACATTAGTCTCTATTTAAAATAAACATTACCCATTTTTTCTTCACGCCGGGTGAGGATTAGTCCAGTAACAATGAAAGAGTGAGCTGTACTCTGCAATGCATATCGTGGAAACAACAGTGAAAAATGATTAATGCAATCGGTCCATTTGAACTATAGGCGTCTAAGATAGCACTTCCATAGATTTCATGATTTATATTTTATTACATGGTATTTCCCGCCGGCACCTCAGTACGTTAGAAAAGTAGCGATCCACGTAAACAAAGGAGTAAGACGTCAAAACAGGTTCAAATGGATTTCAAGAAAATTACATTAAATACTTTAAGGAATAAAAGAGTACAAAAACCATTTCAATGACTTCCTATAATGAAATTGTAATAGTAGTCTCTCCAGGATACTATCGGTACTTTTAATTACAAGTCAATCCCTCACCTTCATGGTTTTAAAGCGATCCACGCCAAGGCCCACGGTGGACAGGAGGCCCTCGATCTCAGTATCCGACCAGACCTGCGCGGAAGAGGCGAAACTACCGGCTGCGACCAGACGTGAGCGCGTGAGCATCATAACCTGATGAATAGCGTCGAGGAGGTTGATTAGTGCCTTCACATCCTCGGCCAGGATGTCACCAATCACTTGCAGAAGACAAAGGTAACGCTTTAGGTCTTCCGAGGCCGCCAACACCTCTCGTTCCAACAGAGTCACTGAGGTGGCTGCGCGCGCTGCGTCCTCGATATTGTGCGCCTCATCGATTATGACCACACTACCAGAGACCTCACTGGCCACCTGTTCCAATGACCAGTGTCTAATAACTCACCTTTCCCTTTTGCATCACCATGTTTACAACCTACCGACTCTCTGAATACCGGATCAAGGAGATAGTTGTAGGGGCAGAAGCAGAGAGTGACACGTTCAAAAAGTTTAAAGGCGAAGAAGTACGGACAGGTGTGCGCTTTGACCATCGCCTCTACGTATTCCTCGAGGACCCAAGGTCTGTTCAGATCTAGTGCTCGCATGCATCGGGTTGCGATCTGGCGGTTCTTGCCTATGTCGAAGGGACATGTGCCCTTCTGTTCGAGAATACTCTGGTTCGGTTCGGAAGATTAACAAGCCTACCAGATTCTGACAAGCATCATTTACGTTCGACTGTTTGCGGACCTCGGGGTTAATACAGGAACGCGTCCTACTACTCAAGATGCACATTCTACAGGGCAATATGGTGAAGATAAGACCGAAGAATTACTCGATATTTGAATACTTGGTTTTGCGTAGTTCACGAATAACTTGGGAGATTTGTTTGTGCGTTCTAGTTGCGTAGATTATACGAGGGATTTGTCTAAAATAAATCGGCATTAATGATCAGCGGAGAAACAGACGCGTTCTCGTCGACCGACCGAGATTCAGTAGCGCCACACGTGCAAAGTGATGGAGCTTTTCGAACGTTTCCCTCCATAAAATCAACAAAATCATCACCTAAAAATGTGTCCAAACGTTAGTCTTACCTTGTTCATTTTGAGTAAAAGCAAGGAGTTTGCAGGTTTTGAGATGCACAATCCCACCTGAAATGTCTTTATACACTTAAAGCTACAAGGTTGTTTACCCCGCTCAACGCTTTTGGACCCCTTACCCACTTGATGCTCTAACCACCCAAGGGTAGCGCAAAGCAAGGCAAGGGTCTTTCCTGTCCCAGTCGGAGATTCTAACAGGCATCCCTGTTTATTGTTAAGTGCTGTTAACACTCGATTTAGCATAGAAAGCTGACAGCCATACGGCTTGTAGGGAAAATGGATAGAAACACCCTGTATCTTGAGGTCCATCCCAAAATCTAAAAATCATTCTTGTGGATAGTACGGATTAAGCCTTGTAGGTGGTGAACTGGAACTTACACAACAGTTAGACTCGAGATGAAAAACGCCACGTAAGAATAAGCTAAAACGAGAGCAGACCCTTGGAAGGTAATGTATAAGTAGCATGATACAGACCGTGCTAGTAGGCACAGTAAGTAGTGTAAATGAACTAGAAACAATTTTTCTCAAGTGAAGATTCCTTTATGAGTTGAAAGGTTCCAACCAACACAAAAGTATTTAGAGGGCAACAAAACTAAAATGCCTATTTTATGTCACTCAATGGAATATAAGTACACTAGGCAAGAAATCTGTCGTGTACTACTAAGGCTGTAAATGAAGAATTTTGCGATCAACCCCTTCACAAGATGCCGTTGCAGAACAGTCCTAAGAAGATTTGTTACATCGACGCGAATTTGGGCAGCTACTTTCTTGGTGTGATGAAGTGACGAAAATACATGTTCGGTCTTATGCATACTTACCCAAGTCAGGACAGCCGTACGCCTGGCCGACTAGCACACCTCCCTTTACTTTAAAAAATCGCTCGTTCACTAACATTTAAAACAAAATTTTTAAATATATTCTTAAATGAGTTTGTAGGATATGATTGCAATAAAATCATTAGGACTGGCGGTCCAAAAAGTTTTGGAATAGGTTGACCACCCTCCAACACTGAATCTGTGCCCCCCAAACAGCTCACTTGATTTCCGCCACCATCTAGGCCTCACTGTACACTTCCGGAGGGAACAAATGGGAGCCACGTCCGCCACTAAGGCACCACCACGGGAGGCCACTCCACCGGAAGAAAAACACCCGACTTCGACCCACCCACACGACCCACAAGGTGAAAAAGCTCACGCAACCTGCCAAAAGAACCCACAGACACATCGAAACACCGTAAGATGATGCTATTTTTAATCACAAATTTGCGTTTATACGGTAACAGCTGCACCGACGAGCTTGATATCCCTCTCATATAATTTGGACAGTTCCTTCTCCAGCTGAAAGAGAAAATAGCAATGCATTTGCGAAGATCGATTTAAAGTGTAAATCAGACTATCATGCCTATCTTGTGCGCCAAGCCGTAAACTCACATAGGCAACGAGCCGCCCACGCTCCTCCAGACATTCGGTCATTTCGGTATGAAGCGTGGTCAGTTCTTCGTTCGCCTGCTGCGCGGCGACGCTGAGTTCCGTAACGCGGGAACGCGATCGATTGGCCTGGCGACGCAGATCCCGCATCATACAGATAAGACGTTCTAGATAGCCGGGCTGGAGCCGCAGCAGTGAGAGGTGAGTTGTTGTCCTAGAGAGAGAAGCCCAACCAGCAAACACTTCACAATGCAGAGCTGTGACCGAAAGGCTGTTTACGCAAATCGTAGCCAGACTGAGGTTACTACGTGCGATAAACATGGAATCTCACTGTTCACAAGTGGGGCCAAGTGTACAAGGTTTCAAATGAAAAAAAAAAAACGGTTGAACCTGTCAAATTTCTTTCACCGCAATACTTGACCATCATTCATTGATGCTACTATTATCGTACGAAGTTGAAACCACAATGAGGTAAGAGGGCAAAATGTAAAAAGACTTACTCTTCAGTTATCATACTGAAAGCCTTCTGAACAGCTGAGGACATGGAGTCAATATCTGCGATGGTCTTCGACCTAACTTCGATAGGCGCATCCTAGATTCAAACAGTGTACTATTGATGAGAAAATTAAACCTGCTATTTGGATTAGTTATATTCACGGGTTCAATGCTTAATCTAAATACCTATTTTTAAATCTAGTGTCTCAAGACTTTCACCCAGCAACGACTAGACGTGCCTACAAACTCATTATTCATGAAGATGAAGAAGCATTAAGCATAAATAATGCAAATTTCCTTTCAAGAATCCTATCAATTAAAAATAAGAGCTGCAAGTTGATCATAAGAAAACGAATTCTAGTAACATGAAGGTTTCGCATAAGAAGCTCTATGCGTCGTCAAGATAACCTATGGCTTTGCCATGGCAGCACTAAGCATACCGAGGCTATCTTGGGGCAAAATGAGAGAGCTCACAAGCATTATTTGGTGGTAGATCGGTGCTATGAAATCACTGTTCAGACCAGCGATCTTTTTCTTCTTCGCTTCATGCACATAGAAGTCAGCAGCCTGGAATTCGTGGAAGTTCTCCCTGACACGGAGCAGGAAGCTAGCCAACTCCTCTAGATCATTTATGAGGGCGTCTCGACCCTCCGTGGAGTCCAGCAAAAGACGAGCATTCGCCCCAGTAGCCACCGTTGTGGCCTTACTAGCTAGTTGACGTGAAACATCCTCACCATTTTCGTCTTCCTTTGAAGCTGTGTCTTTTGACAAATCGACAATGTCGATCCCACTGAGCAAATCCGTGCCAAAGTCAGTCTCAGCTAAGTCAGTCTCGCCTCCTGCGTCCAGATCAGCGAACTAGAAGAATGAGTTGATGACGAGTTAAACCACTGAGCAGATAAGGCAATACTGCTTCTTTAAAAACTCACGTCAATCTCTTGGTCCTCACTCAAAGCTTCAGCCTCCTTAGCTTCGACTTCCTTTCTCTCCAGTTCAATCATCTTGGGCAGGTAATCATCGCTCTCACTTACAACACTTGGAGCATAACCTGTACGCCACTCGTAGACGGTGACATGACCAGACTTAATCAGCAGTCGGAGGGTTGGGCAGACCTGCTGATTGCCTTTGCTATTAACAATACGTTTGACATGACAGGGGTACTCACCTATCCGAGTTAAGGTAGGAAGTGAAGTTCATGTAAAAATTCACCACAGGTTCAAGGAATTTCAGGCTTGCGACATAGTCATTGAGGGTATCTGGAAGAGTGCTGGCTTTCTCCAACAACTGCAAGCGGGCATGCTCATCCTTGATTCCAAACTGCTTGCAAAGTCGTTCAACTTCAAATTCTTTGGAGTGCTGATTTGCAGTAAATTCAGTGATCTTTCGTTGCAGATCCTGAACAAATAATAATTAGTTATTAACCACTTAAGAGTACATTTATTAATTTCTGACGATCTGCAATAGCCGATTTGCATTTGGACAGATGGTAACAGATATCATTCAGCCGTTCAGTTACTTCAGCTAAGAGGACTGAATGAGTCAAATGAGTTGGCTTACCAATATTTATATGTTCAGATTCGTAGCGTGAAACAATATCTCGCCAAGTCTAAATATCAAATTCGGTACAACCAGAACGAAAACCCACTCGAATTGAGGCACTTGCGCGTCCAAAAAAGTCCTTTGTCGTGTCTGTTTGTTCCAAATAATTAAGAACGTCCAACGCGTAAAAATACCGAACTAAAGTGTAGCATATTTTGGCTGATAACGGCTTCTGGCTGAAGGAACGGGTACGCTATGATCGACTCACCGTCATAACTCTCATATTATAGTTTACTACTGTTCTGCGTTTAAAACGCTGAAACAAGTGTTGATACCGTGCAAAATACAAGAGGAGTAGTACTACGTGTGGCTCGATGTAGACAAAACAGAAAATAAATAAAAACCACACAAATATTCGAGCTAATTGCGCAGAATTATTGCAAAAACAGTGTCGTAAGAGTAAAATAAGCAGTAATTCAATAATACTTGGCTTAGCTTCAACGCTCTTAATCTTTTCAGGTGAAGACTGAGCAAGTTCATCAATCTTCTTTGATATATGTTCCATTGAATTCATATAACTTTTCGATATAACGCGGCGTTCAACGAGCCATGCTACACGAAACTATATAAAAGGTTACAATTCTCTTACGGATCAATTTTTGAGACTGCACAGATATCGACCCAGGCATACGTCCCGACAGGTTAAATGACGCACCTGCGAAGGCGATATTCAAACATAAACTTGAAAACTTGAGGAATTTTAATACCTATCCGACATTTAAGTCAAGCCTCTAGTTTGCTCTGTCTAACTCTTTGTTTTGAGGAAAGTAATGCGATTTGGGCGAAGCCCTAACAGCATTCTGTTTTTCAATACTTTCAAATTTTGTTGAAATTACTAGGAGTTAGCAGCCATATCCAATTAAATGGATAACAATTGGTATTTTATGTAAGACTAGGGATCTTTTTTAGGGTTCAGACAACGTTTAAAACTACTAAAGCAGCACATAAACCATGAATAGTACTTATTCCGTTTGTAAGGTGTTATTGTAGCAGCTTGAGCCTTCTCTAAGGTGATAGTAATCCACACTACTGTAAATCTCCAAGGCTACCCTAAAGACAAAGGAAGACACAATGCTCGGGCGAATATGTACTGTCGACATGAAGCAGGGTTTAATTGTAACACGGTTGTTTGTACTAATCTCGGTTTTGTTGCAGGGTCACTTTGTGTATCGGCCATTGTGCCTTAGTCGGGTGGGCCGGCCTTTGGGCCGCTTCTATATGTTAAATGTATATATATGTTCTGCCTGAGTATTATGTCGTCGTTCGTCTTCAGGGAAGTCTCAGGGAGCTACATTAAGGCTATTGGCTTGGCTCGGAGGCGGTACAATTGTGGAGCTTCCAAGTGGCCCATTACTGAAATTGAGAGTCAAACAAGCAGTTAAAGTGCTACATAGCCTTTCTCCTCTTTTGGGCGTTGTTCCTAGAGTTTCCCCCGGTCAAACCCTTGCGCTACAAATCACAACGTATTTGGTGTTGCAAGAAAAACACCCACGGACTGACCGCTCCAATCACAGAATTCGTATGCAGCTAAGAAGGCATCTGACTGCAACGCCACTTATCTCTCCTAAAAATTTTACTAGATCTTGAGTTTTGCCTTGTCTGGGAACTGTATTAGGTGGGTGAGATATGTGCAGACCATCACAAAAGCACAGCCATATAATAAGGGGTGGAATCTAGCATAGTTCCTTGGGGATAGGGTTTAGCCTCTATTCCCCCTTGCCACTTTTCACTTCATTGCTACCCAGCCATATATCTCTCTATGTTCTATTCAGATACAGATATCGTAGACATCACCGTAACGAACTTTTTCAGATGGTTCATGGCCACGGATGGTGTTGCTTCAATTGTTAATAGCATTCCTGTAGAACATGGGGGTGGGGTGGATGTCAGAAGTAGACGTCATTTCCAGACCTTCTGCGAAGGGTCACTACATATTCTACCAACAGCATATATATTTCGTCCGCTACTGTAAGGTTTAGCATGAAGTAGTGGAATTCAGGATAAACAATCTTTGGGATCGGCATCGCTTCCTGCTGCCACCAATACAGCGCCTTAAGACTTCCCTGAAGACGAATGAAGACAATACCAGGGCTGATAGTGTACTGTCAAATTACCGAAGGTTTAGGTCCGTTACCAAAACCAGGCGTTAAACAATTGACGCATTACAGTATGCTTCATTGTGGCTATGTCCTCTGACATACTTTACCAATGATATAAAAATGAGATTCTAATATTTACTAGGGTGAATTTTGAATTGCATAAACAGCTAGTCCGAATTTACTAAGTATGCTTTATTAAAAATTGCAAATTTCAGGCATTTTAATGCGGAATAATTGTAACTGGTAGGAAAATTGACTATTTTGTCGTATAGCTAAGAATTATTGTGTTAGAAACTCTAGCCTTTTAAAATTTGTATTCAAACCCAGAAACTGGGTGAGTGGAACTACACAATGATTTGTGCCCTCAGCGGCAAGTATAGGTTCATACCAAACAAGTTGAATCGCTTGAATTTTTATGAGCAATCATTTAGCATGTTATTAATTACCATACAAATCTACCATGTAAATTGAAAAAGCCAATGAATGTATTACAGTTCGGCAATCATCTATTGCACTAGATCTATTGGCTTTTAAAATTTCATTAATAATGACACGATTTCTAGAAATTATTTATATTTACTTGTTTTACATAGTTTATTTATTGAGAACTTTCGACAGTGTGCTATAACTGCCTTAAATATCGTTTACTTTTGTTTTGCAAAGAGTATATGTAATTTTGCATTTCTCAATACGAATGTTTTTCATCCTCACATTCTTAATGAAAGTGATGCCAATTAAGCTGCATACTTCTTGTAAATGCAAAGGTAGAGTTAAGAGCAGACTTTTATAAACGATGTCACTTTATCACGTCAAAAGATTTGCACGGGAATTGGTGTTCCACATGACCCTTATTTTTTTATGTTTGTAGCAATAACTGTCCACCTTGTTATGCTCCAATGAAATAGCCTACTATATCCTATGCTAGGTGATGACTACTGTTTTGTATTAATACGATTATTGGCATTCTTGATGTCAGAGAGGGTTATTTGCTAAAGAGGCTAGCGCATCCACGAATCAAAGAGATTATCTTTCATTCGCTACTAATTTTGGTCACGCAATTCATATCCAAGCATATTTTTTATAAATTACGATTGTCTTTCAATTATAAATGTAGGCTCTGATAACTTTTTGTCGCAACATAGCTACTAATTCTAACCCATGTAAGTTGTACTTGCCACCCCTCTGTTTACTTGCCAGAGTCTGGCAAGGGTTAAAGTGATTCCAATTTCTACTAGCAATTGCCAAATTTTTAGTTTCTGGATATCTAGTAAAACATGACTAAAAACCATTAAGTTGTAATTGTAATTAGTAGAATATTTAGAGATTTGCGCTTCTGATTTAAGAAAGCGTAGTAAATGTGGAAACTTCCATACCGTAGATTTGTGGGAAGTGTGTGATGCTCACTCGTTCTGAGCAGAGTCCGCATAAAATTGTTCAGTGAAAGGGTATTTGAGCTGCTTATGAACATTTTCTGTTGACTTGAAACTAATGGTCTCCTGTACAATTATTTTCGCAAACAGGATTTTCAAAGGACGATTTACTTGCAAAGGTTTCATTTAGATTAATCAAAACCGTAAAGGATGATTAATTTAGCCCACACACGTAGTCACTGTCACTTTTCCTAAGAATGGCATATTCTCAAGGTAGTTTTAGCGATCGTGAAAACTTTGAGATGTATCAAATAAAATTGCGGAAAAGCGCAGCCTAAACTGTTGCACCGCACGACCTTTGGAAAAGGTATTCGCAGGCAAAGCTGAAAGCGTCAAATCAACTTCTGTAGTTGCTGCTGGAGATTAATAAATGACGTGCAGACCAAAGAAGGAGGAAAGCCATCAATCAAATGAAATGTACTACAAGTTGCAAATGGGGTCTCGCTAAAACCAATGATTAAAAGGACATTGATGAAAGCCAATTATCAAGAAGAGGAAAGGAAGCAATTTGAGTAAACTAAAATCTATACTTTTGTTAAAATGGCGTCAGAACCCTTTAACTCACAATATTTAACTTACCCATTAAGATATATCCTCTTTAAACCGAAAATAAGGCGCAGAATAAGGTATTTCCAGTTGGAGGAATGAGGTCATTTAATTTACTGGAAGAATGATTGGTATGATTCTATGTCCCAAAAAGGGACAATAAGCGCTGAATTTTTGCACAAAGCAGTATTATGTCTGGCGTGGTACCTTATTCCTCTATTTTTACAGAAGCGCCATATGATTTCTTTGATGTAAACTTCTCATCAACGCACACAGCCTCTTCTCTTATCCCATCTAATATTATCCAATAATCTATCCGGAATTTGCGCATTTTATAGTAATGCTATTAAAACATTTGGAATAGGGCTATTCTGTTAGTTAAGCATTTGATTGAAGCAAAACATATCAGGAGACGGATGATGGAGGGGTATATTATGCTTTGTGAGAATAGCAAGTGAATGGAAAACATAACTACTTGTTTTGAGATAAAATCACCTCAAACTCAATTGTTTTTTCATTGGATGAAATTTGTTATTGTGGTAGTTCGACAGGTATGTGACTAGCTACTGAATTTGTAATAAAATAAACCCAAATAGTCTCCATCACAAACTGCATCTTTAACAAGACTTATTCCAGTTTTTCATAAATATATTTGGAGTGATTTTTAGACTTTAGTACTGTTTTATCATCTATTGTTTTCACATACCATAATTTGGTTCGAAAATTAAATTCTCTTTACCATGTAATGCAATTACAATTTTTGGTGCACAGTAAAACTAATTGAAAGTTTCCCCTCAAACTCTTACCAATTACGGATCCTCGCGCATGACCATATTAGCTTTTAATTATGTACTAGTCGCTAAATCACGCTTTAATTATAGTGAAACAGCTCGTAAGTAATTTTTACTGGCTGACTTAATGGGGAGCGCGATTTAGATAAGTGCTAGGGCAGCTTAAGGCACTGTAGTGCTTTGGTAGTTCGTCCGACTCTGTGCTTGATTGAGCAGACACTTGAGTCCTCGCGGATTGTACTTCCACTCAGTGACGTGGCCCTCGGGCTGTGCCAGTAGCCTCAGCTCTGCCATACTACAATAGGCTATTACGACTTCAGGGAAGACTTGTGGCCCTACGGTACCTCATACCCTGCAATCTAGGAGAACATTAATGTGAAAGGCATTGCAGTATCGCAATTTACCGATACTATTAAAAAATATTACCTTATTAGGGCGGTACTCATGATGTCCACATTGGTATCCAGTATCTTCGAAAAGCTGGTAAATCTGACTATTTGTAGACAAATGTGACACTAAGCCTTCCCACCTCATCCGGCCACTAAGACGATTCCAGTAAATGGTTGAAGAAAATACCGTTTTTTAAGCAGAATATTCGACTATTGTATCTGTTGATTTAAATATCTCAGATGCGAATTTGTTAAAATTTTGTTTGTATTGATAAAAAAGGCGTCACAACAGGATTTTGCCGGCTTACGTATTGACGTTGTAATTGGCGGTCAGCTACTAATCTTGTGCACAAATCAACAAGAGTGAAATTTAATCAACAGATTTCTCAGTTGAATGACATCACGCAGTCAGTCTTGTTAATTAATCTTATTATTTTCTTAAGCGTGCATATCTTTTGCATTTTAATATCTCAATCTTTATTACTCTGAATAGAAATGAATAATATTGGAATTGATTTCCTTGGGAAGAATCTCAAGTTAGCCAAGCTTATTCAGAAGATTTTTTGATGTAAAGTAGAAAATTAATTTGTAGAATGTCCTGCTAGGTTAACTTTGAGCTAAAATGACTGTATTTACACAGGCGATCATTATTTAATCTAGTACGTAACCTCTTTGCAAGTCCCTGTCATTTTTCGAAAGACCATTCAAGAGGCTGGCAAATGCCTGCAGTCTGGCGCTGCAACAATACCAAAGATCTTTTGTAGCTATCTACATTTTTCACCGTTGCATATAACTGAAGTATAAGAGATAGCCACTGGCTATCCATACATCCTCTCAAATTCTGCTCCCATTCTGCAATTAGTATGTAACCGTCTTGTGCAAATTGCTGTTATTGACGCGGCAGCATGTGCGAAAGCGTTGCATTTGTATTGGTATCATGCACTATCTTATATATCCAGTTGGGATTCTATCCTAATTGAATTTAAACGGAGATGGCAACTCTTATTTCCAAAATAGAATATTTTTGATTCTAAATGAGGGAACGGGCCTAACACATATACAGTTAAAAGGCAATCAATTAATTCTTACAATATTGGAACTGAGATAGCATTGAACTGTAGACTACAATGTAGGTCGAAGATTTTAGTTTTCACGAAATCCCGAATAGTAGAAATACATTTGTAACAGCATTAGGGACTATGAATGTCGTGATTGAGTGCATAGTTCAGACTCTACTGTATGGAATAGCCTGTAACAGTATAAGCTTAGTTATCAATAACTTTGAGTTTTAAATGTACTTCGAATGAGCATTTGAATCAATCTGAGGAGTAAAGCATTCTTTAATTGCTCTTGTTGCAATGGCCAATGTCGGTAGCTTAATCGTAACTCTACTAGCCCTTATTTCTTAAATTTGCTATAAAATCAAGTTTTGCTATTCATTCTCATGTTGAATAGTTGGCTATTCAATCCACTGGATGCAGCTTCTTTTCATAGCTCAGTACCGCCGGAGAGTAGGGCAACATAAACACTTTAGGGACATGTTGTCTGGTGTCATGGTATCAAAATAAGCTTGTGTGTGCAACACCGCAATCTTATTAAGCATTCTGTTTATTCTCGTTGATTGGTCTCCAATGCCTAATGGTCTCACACTAAGTACAAGTGAGGCACCTCGATGACTGGAATTTACATTCTTGAAAGTAATCCGTGATTATTTCAAACGCAATAATAATTTCATTTTAAGCATCCCTTTCGGCTATGCGACATTTCATTGACCTTTTAGAGGAACATAAATCAAGGAAATCTCAAAAATTTTGCATTCAGTGGCCCCATGCCCATACCTTTCAGGATATGACGCTTTTATTATGGAGCACCAAATTGGGTGAAACATTATTAAGTACAACTGATAGTCACTGTATTGAGTTGGGTTTTGTTGTTACCATGACATTAAAAAACGAACTTGCAAGAATAGCATTTCAGATCCGATACGTCAATTTGTGTGATAATTCAGTTTAATAAATTGGAAACAATATTTTCAAAACTGCGATCATATTTACCTGAGCACATTCCAACAAAACCTGTGTGTTTACACCAGTGAGATCCAGGTACTTCAACCTTGCAGGATACCTTTTAATCGAACTGATGGGATTTTTCGCATTAATTATGTAGTATTCGAGGGCAGAAAAGCAAACCATGTGTCACTGACATCTGCGCTCCAGCTGATTGGCCTGGTGATTGACCAATGGAAGGTGCTTGTGGGAAGCAGCGAATCACCGCGTTACTGTGAGGATGCATCAACTTGGATGTGTTACGCGGTACTTGTGTTTTTCAGGGTACCTCATTCTACCCAAAAAGCTTGACGGAAGTTCGTATTCAAAATGGCAGTGATGGGTCGAGTATTCCCATGTCTCCTAATCTTTCTTCTCCGGCCGATTCAATGCCAGCGACGTTTCAGTGCTCAGTTCTCTCTTGGTGACAACACAGAGGGCGGACATCGGGTAGGAAATCTTTTTGCCAACCGCCCCAATAGCCTGCCCTATGGTCCGAGCTTCCTCTCAGCTATGATAAAACCAGATGAGCATTTTGTGTTGACCATCAACGGAGATATCACGACAAGCCACGCCATTGATCGGGATGTGGTTTGCAGTAAATTGGATTGCTGCGATCGACTAATCTGTTACATGTATGCGGAAGCCTATTTCTTCACCACTCGATCACATCCCCTCGTATTTAATGTGACCTTTACTTTCTCGGATGAAAATGACAATCCCCCCAAGTTTGATGTACCCCAAGAGAATTTGGTGAAACTTCCAGGCTGGATACCTGACCAATATCGAGAGCTCCCCTTTTTACACTTATCAGTGCCTGAATCGGTCAGGATAAACTCTAAACTGTCTCTTCCACTAGCGACTGACCTCGACTCAATTGATTTCGGAATTAACTCATATGAGTTGCAGCCGCTTCATATGAACACCACTTCCTCGGTTAGTCCATTTCGACTGGTCCATGAGAGATCTCGCCTTGGAGCCGAAACTCTAGCATTGATTACTGGTCGAAGCCTCGATCGTGAAGAGCAGGATAACTACTGGTTTTTGTTATTAGCACTGGGAAGTGGGTCGCCACCTCTCTCCGGTAGTCTGTTACTTCAAATTCAAGTGGATGACATAAATGACCACGCTCCCATTTTCCAACGGCCCTTATCAAAGTCGGGCCACACTATTGAATTGCCCGAGAATACTCCTGTTGGACAAGTGGTTTACAGCTTTAAGGCAACGGATCAAGATGTGGGAGACAATGGAAAGTTAACTTTTGCAGTCAACTACGGTGCCAGTCTACCGAGAACTTCAGTCCTTGTCAACAAGTGGGTGTTGGACCCAGTAACTGGTGATCTCTCAGTCGCTGGTGTCCTCGATTATGAACACAAAGAAGACAGAAAATTTGTACTCTGTTTGCTTGCTAAGGATGGCGGCAATCCTCCCCTAACCGCAACAACAATATTCACCATACTTATCACCGATGTGAATGATAATCCGCCTGTAATTGAGGTGAAGTCTACGGGGGAGCAGGGAGACAACGAGAGCCATTTTGACATAGAGGAGAATGATGGCGAAATTAGGCTTCTCAAACTCATATCCGTAAGCGATCCCGACTCTAACTCTGAGGAGAGTATATCGTGCCACCTTAGTAAAAGCCGTAACGATTTTGCTCTTAAAAAGTACAGTTCTCTACTCTACGGCCTGTTTAACAGTCGAGCATTTGACTTCGAGAGAAATGTTGATGCAGATGGATACTTAAACGTCGATCTCTCATGCACAGATAATGGTACGCCTTCTCTTACCTCCGGGTTGACCATCCGGGTGAGTCTCCGTGACCTTAACGACAATTGTCCACAGTTTGAGTACCAGACATTCACTTTCAGTGTGCAGGAGGACATCCCGATTGGGTCAGAGATTGGTCGAATAGTCGCGCGAGATGCTGATAGCGGCCCGAGAGGCAGACTGAGCTATTGGCTTGGTGCTGATGATCCAGACGACCTTGATCTTGTAGATATTGACCGAGAAACAGGAAGAATTACTACAAAAGTTGCATTGGATCGAGAGGAGAAGGAGATACTTAATTTTCACGTAACAGCTGCCGATGGAGGAAATCTAGACGTTTATCAGGAGTTCGAGGGAATTCCCAGAGAGGCAAAAACTAACACTACTACTATCACTATTCATTTATTGGATGCAAACGACAACGCACCGCAGTATATGGGTGAGAAGGAGGTTCATGTACGTGAGAATAATGAAGAGGGTTTCGTAATTCTTGACAGTCTTCCCTTTCGAGACAATGACTTAGGGGAGAATGGGACTGTTCGGTTATTTGTCACCGACTATGGTTACGATGCTGTGGAACATCTTATGCCCTCTCATTCTAGCGGAATGTTTTCTCTACTCAATGATAAACAGTTAATTTTGACTGTATCAGTTGATCGAGAGCAAAATCCCCATATCTTTTTGAGAATAATCGCGATGGATGGAGGACAAGCACGACAGCTAACCAGTACCACGACTCTTACTGTCATTGTAGATGATGAGAACGATAATTATCCCCAGCTCACACACCCACCGAATGCCACTATGCTTCCTAATCCCAATAACCACTACGAAACAATCGATGACCACGAGAGTCGAACAATACCCGTGGACACACCCATCGGCAGCCTTATAACCACTTTGAGGTCTCGTGATCTGGACTCCGGCGATAATGGACGCGTTTCTTACTACATTCGAAGAGCAGAACCCCATGAACTCTGGTTTCCCACACACCAAAGCCATGTGGGACATGACGTGGAGGGCTCTTTACAGAAACACAAGCTAGTTGCAGATGGTAATCAGTACTTTAAAATTGACGAGGTAGATGGTCATTTAAGGACCGCTTGGTTGTATGGGAGCCAAAATAATCACGTGAGTAGGAACATTACAGGAATACCACTTTCTCCACCGTCGTTTGGTGTGCACGTTATTGTTGTGGAACTCAGAGACGCTGGAAATCCGTCTTTGACAACGCGGGTGGTACTTTATGCTAACATCACCGAGGCCGTGAATTTGGGCCTCTTTGGACTCTCGGGATTTGGATTCGGTGAAGCCGGTCTGGGAAACACTGTGATCTTGATTCTCATAATCATTTGCAGTTTTGCTCTTATAATCAGTCTTACAGCCGCAATATTTTGGGTACGACTTAAAGTCTACACGACTAATGGTCAGTCCAATCAGGCAAACTGTATCAAATACCAGACAAAAAGTGTCAGTGTTTATCAAGATGGTCTGTCAAAAAATCCTTGTGACGGTGGACTTGGTTATCTGGATGGCGCGGGGACATTTAAGCCGTTGGAAGGCATTCGATGGAGTACTCCAAACGTTCTCGATCCGTTAAGATACACAGTACACACCCCTCCAAACATTGGAGCTCAGGACAACAGTGGTAGCCTAACATTTATTGGGAAATCACCGAACGGGTATCTGGAATCCGAGGAGGTGCAAATGCTTCCGATGATTCACCCCACTGAAGCCAGTGGCATGGTGATGCGAGGTTATGATCAGTTAATTATGGGAAATAGTGAACGATATGAGCTTTGCTTCCCAGAGGCCGTTTTACCTAACTTTGCCCAACTGCATGCGGGCTCGACAGAGAGTGACAGTGGAATGGACAGTGGGGGCTACATGATTGGACATGCGTCATCACCCTCTCCCGAGGGGGCCACTGAACATCCCTTGGAGCCAGCGCCCGAGCTAAGTGTCCCTTCGACTTTTAAGCCCTCTCATAGTCGTGCTTTCGTCCATTTGACCACCGGATGCAGCACAATAGCAGTTGATGTAATTAGGCAGAGTCCTGTCAAACAGATCCTGCTTGGAACAACCTGCAACGCCATGGACTTGGGTGGTCTTTTCAAAAGTCTCGGCTACATTCCCCGCGATTCTGTAAGTCCTTTAAACACTTACAGTGCAAACCATGAAAGGGTCTTGTTATGTTTCCCTTGTTAAGATAATTTAATATTACTAATCAAATCCATAAGTGGTTGTAAATTTTCACGGTTTTGTTTACGGGGTGTCTAGGCCTATAACATATTGCCATCACAAGGCCTTGCCTCAAATCTAAATACTGTCTACACTGTAAGTATCAAATTTACACTTTCACCTTATTCATCGAAAGCTTTATGCTTAAATTGTTGGCTATAATTTCTCCTTTTACTTAAAACCATTGAGTTTGCCTTTTAAACCGAGCCATTTTATTTCACTCATTTAGTAGCCGATGCAACCGCATTGAGCAGGTTAAAATCCAGCTCGAAGCCTACTTGGATGTGCCTACCCCACTTGCAATCCCTTGATTACACAAATGTCTGGCCATTAATTAAATCAACTCCTTAGCTATGCTTTCACTACGGTCTGAGGAGCCTTTCAGTTAATTACTCGTCTGCTCTACTGAGAGGCAGGGGCGACTCCTGTGCGGGTGCCCGTAAAACGGGTTCTCCTCTTTTGCAAAAAGAAGACTACTTTGTAGTTCACTCTGTTCAAATAGTTGCACTTTTAGGACAAATTTCATGTTTGGATGGTTGCATGAAAAGTGGATAAGACATAACGTTTTCCTGAGCAGTAGTCAGTGTTAAAAGAAGACGAGACTATTTTATGACTAGATTGTGTATTTATTTACGAGATTCGTACCATGCAGGTCTAGAAAATTAAACAAAATTTGACCCAACATTTTTGGTGATAAAAATAGAATCAAGTCCTGGATAGGTAATATTTTTTCCGTATGAACAATCTCGCTTGGTGTGGAGATGTATGCTGACTCCTGCTGTTATTGCCATTTAAAGCAAGGTAGGAACAATTTGACTTTCTTGAATGATGAATGGTAAGTATTTCCTAAAAAAACACTTTTCTTTAAAAGATAACACTTTCACTTTTCAATCTTTCATTATCTTGTTTAAGAACATGACACTTCTGTTCATCTTTTAACGCTTGAGTCACCTTTGAAGGCCTTAGGGACAGTTCTCTTATGAATGTAAAGCAGGGTAAAGAACTGCATCCCGATATTTGCAAAAAAATATTCTTTGATGTCATCCATTTGTTTAAGACTGCTAAATCTGCTTAGAATTGGGCCACATTTCTTGAACAATTAAAACACTATGGCTTGGATATACGACTTTTCGTTATCGAGCAGTTTATCTAATTTTTAACCCATGCCAGGTGTAATTATGTTTGTGGTACGCTTCTAGAAAGGGAGGCGAGTTGGTTATAACTTATCAAAATTTGAAATTTCACTGACTCATCCTTCCCTTACCATCTAGAAATGGTAGTAAGAAACTCATGAAATTCGGTCACTGCCATTCAAATTGGCTTGTCACTCCTGGTGCGGTAGTAGGTCTCGTGGATTTTCTATTTTTCACTATTTGAATCAAGCTTGGAAATTACTCTCTCTATACTTCAATTTACAACTTTACGATAATGCAAAGCAAAATTGGCTTATCTAGGGCTTGATGACTATAAGGGAGTGGCCATTGGTGTGTTGAGATGTTATTATTTGGGATTTGATCCCAATCAAAAAGACTTCGCACGTATACCCGCACCAACATTAACGTGACGTAATCCAAGTTCGTCGTGTAACCTGTCAGTTATACTTACTTTCACTGGTGCATTTGTCAAAACAGCTTAGTCTGAGATGGTCCTAATGTTGCCTGCCACACACCATCTGCCTTTCAATGCGCTGCTTCATGTGATTTCACGTGAGCGGTACATTCATCAGCAGCCACGTCATGCCAACTGTATGTGGTCGTACGTATAGACTGGCTTAAAATTTTCCCGTCTTCGATGCAATTTCCCTCTATGCACCTGCTTTAGCTATCAACTCGTGTATCCGTGGTGCAGTTTTCGGCAGAAGTTTGCGCTCAACCGATTCTAAGGTACAACAAAGGAATCGTTCGCTAATTAGGTTCCAAAAATACAGCTCTCCTTTTGTATGCGAATTCATTATTTACGGAGATTTCAGTCAGTTTAATCATCCACACGGACACCTTAAAGCCCTTTCTCTTTAAAATACTAGGATGTGTTAATAATAGGTATATGAGAAAATCCTAGTCATTCTGCTGCCAAACGCATGTTCCAGCTCTACCAAGAGTTTTAAAGCATAATCTCTGTAATTTAGCTGCTTGTGATGAATCTATACAATCGAAAGGAGCAACGCATGAATCTCATAAAGTAGGGGTTGTATCTTTTCAGCTGAAAGAAGTCCAATCGGTAAAGAAATAATGGCCGTTGCTTTGAAGGTTCGGCAGAGTGTAGGCCAGAAGAACATCTAACTACGCATTTATTCTTTGATACAAATTTTATTATAGCTTTGACCAAAGGATCTTTTAAGAGTTATGCTCCAATACGACTTTTGAGGTTAAGAATTCTCGCAGATTCTTCACATTCTCTGTAGAATGGTCTTGTCAGTGAGTTTTTTTAGATACCTGTGACGCTTCGGAATTTATCGTTGCTTTCAAACCAGGATGTCTTCATTTTATAGTTAGCTACCATAATACGGTGCAGTCCATTCTTGATGTTGGCAACTTGCGACCCATAATTACCCCACCATAAAATTTCGCACAACCGTGTTTATTGCTGTTATTAAGAACGAACTTTTCCAATGCATATGCAAATATCAGTAGTCAATGGATGACTTCTTGATAACCAAAACCACAGCAGTTTTACGTATTTTTCAAAAATTTGAGTAAAAATCCTTGTGCTAACTTCTTACAGCTATAGCTTTTTGGACCGCATTATGCATGTTTGATAATATTTGTTCAGTGAGTGCCAAAATAGCTCTTGATATGATAGCTTCGATACGATGCAGTATTATCCCTATCAGGTAGAAGTGTGACAAAAGCAGTTATTTTATTTACGCTTTTACGCTAACCTTACGAATTTGATGTCCACAATCCACGTAGCAATATGACAGTGCGATATCCAAGGTTTAATACTAGCAAATAACGAAAATTCAAAAAAAATCTTTGCATTTTTAGGCTAAAACTGGGAAACTCCCAACGATGTCAAAGCTAATGATGTAGATGAGTCTTACCACATTTCGGATGGTTGTCACAACACCAGGTAGCCTCTTTAGTTGACGGTGTCATGATTTCCCAAAAATGTTAATTTCATTCAATTTGTACAATGGTGCTTTTATTTCCTTTGTCAACACTTACACTGCTTAAAAGTAATTCTGCACCCAAATGTTATCGCCGAACTTATAGTGCTAATAACTCACACCTGCTGTACAGAGAATGTGCAATAGTGCATCGAAATAAATTCATTTTTTACCACTCTGTGTACTTCATTCATGCGGTTAAATCGCAACACGTACTTACTCTCATCGAGACGCTTATAAACTCTGTGGATCTATTATACAAATTTACTATATTCACATTCCCTTCCCAAACATTGGGCTGCTTTAGACCTAGTAGTAAAAGAGTTGTTATTTTATGCCTTTCCTTTCTTACTTCGACTCCAATTAGGAAGAAACTACTAATGTTGCTCATATTTTGAGTATGAAAGAGTTCATCGCTGTCCTGCCTCTTAGATGTAGAAAAGCTGAGACATTTTATCGCTTTCCAATCAGTTTTTTAATAAAGTCGCAAAACCGCCTAGATACAGTGCAAAAATAATTTGCGAAAAAGTGTTAAATAGCTCTAGGCATGTACAATGTAAAGTTGTCTGGCTTAGTCGACCAGAACGTAATCTACGATAAAGCTAATACCATTCACCAATGTTGAGTAAATTTCTTCTTGATATCCTGGACGGGAAGGTAATGTGGCGCTATTTGGCAAACTCATCTACGATGTATTTCATATTCTCCTCTGGGATTTTTCTAACACGTGTGAAGACTTCAGATGGACAGACTGTCAGGAACCTTATTTTAGAGGTTAACACTTTACGATTTGGTAAGTAATAACACCTGGCTAATATGCAGTTGCATTGGATAATAAAATATGTGGACTGAACAAGCATTTTCGCATGATTCAATCCGACCTTATTTTACAGGATAAATACCGAATTCTAAGGTAAAATGCTAGAATTTTCCAAAAATCCAATCAATTCCCATTAGCGACAGTTTGTGGCAATTCGAAATATGGGCACTTAAAAGTTGATTAACACCCTTGATATTAAACTGTAGAACCTGCAGTCTACTAAGCCATTAATACTTTATTCACCAGGAGAATTTTTTTGTAAGTCATTTCAATCAAGTATTGAGGGTATTAAATATATTTTATCCTTTGAATAAAGAACCATCTGCCTACGACTTTGTACTTGTGGTTTTGGTTTCATAAGAGGGTGTAGTACCTTGCTAAATATTTCTATCAAGTTCTTCTTACTGTGGATGATCTTGGCATAATCCTTTCGATCTAACGGGCCTTCAGACACTGTGAATGGGTTAGGCTCCATTCCAGTTCGAAAAAAGGTGCACGTATTGTATGCAATTCTGCATACAAACATTCCCTCTGAAAAGTGCACAAACGCCAAGCAGCTTCAAATCCAGTTCTTTGAAAACCCGCGCTATTAATGGAACGCTACTGCCTAATGAAATGGGTTAGAAGGTGCCACGATACTTTTCATACTATTACGTAGAGGTCGTAAATTTTATTTGACTACTGTCCCTTAAATCTTATTGAGCCAGTAATCACGCGTACCGGGCTAAGAACAAACTTTAGCAAGAAAACTATAGGAAACAATTAATTGGTGAGCAAAAGGTAGTCTTTAAACATTACCATGATCACTGTTAAAAATTAAGAAGCAGTTAGTGCTTGCAACAAAAAATGAGGAAATAGCATGCGAGCTATAAAATGAAGCCAAACTTTAACTCAACAAAATTACTTAAATTGAAAAGATTACTAATCAGGAGATCAACCAATCACATTAGAAAAGTATCAACTGAAGCTTAAAATCAGTGTGCGTAATGGGTAACTCTACAAAACACAGTGGTGTTAGCTTAGAATATAGGATCAAAAGGAGTCCTTATTATAGGATTACATATGGTTAGTTTTGTGTCTATTGCTTAAAAGTATAAATAATAATTCATTCTCTGATCCATATTGTTTCATTGGACATAGTGTGTCGCAAAAGTATCTTGAAATCTGTATTTACGGATGCATAAACCCATCGTTACTAAGGTATGTATACCAGTAACCTCGCCGTAATAACATATTTGTCACACCGTTTATATAACCTGGTCTATTACTTTTGAGGATTCAAAATTTCAAATTACAGTGCTTAAATGCATCGCCTGACTTGTAAAGGAAATGAGACTCGCAGGGGTTCTGCTGCTAAGCCATAAATGATGCGACTTTCAACGTGTTATATTCCATCTGCAAGGGCATAAAATTGCTCGGGAAGAGACACTCCGAAACCTGGCAGCTAACCCTTCAACCTTCATTTATGACTCGGCTCTATGTATTGGCGTTACTTTTTTGGGTACTTAGCATAATTTCCGGAAAGAGAAGCTCGTATTTGGAAACAATTTTAAAACTGAGAGGTAGATTGAGATCGTTGACTACCCGTTGCTGTGACAACATTTGTTGGTCCATCAATAAAGATGAGTCTAAAAATTTGCGTCGGCTTTGCAAATCCGTATGATAGCGTCCATACGATACAAACTTCAATTATATCAGAGCTGGTAGCCAACTCGGTAACAATTTTTAGTGGTTTATTAATGTGTGTTTTTACAGTGGAGATGATGCGTACTAAGTTTGAGATTAATGCATGTTTAGGCAGAAAGTGGACACTGTTTCCATTTTCGACGTTTATAATAAGTAAAAACACAAGTGAGATGAAACTTGTGGATAAACTTTGAGAATGCTAGTAAAGTAGGTTCTGATTGGCCTAAGTGGATGAAGGATTTTTAGCCTAATGACTGAGATTTTTTTGTTTCAAAAGCTTTTGAAGCCATGCTGCAATATTTCGTCTTGCTTCAAAAATGCAAACCACAATTCCAGGCCAAAAAGGCAAATGTTTGAACGATATAAATTCGACATCACATTTAGATGCGCATGCCTATGTGTGAGGTTAGGTAAGCATTTGGGATGCAGTATGGAAGAGAAACGAGGCGTGAGGTTGAAACCCCCTTTCATAAAATTTCACCGCTCATTATTCATTAGAGGCTAATTAAAAGCTAACTTTACCAAAGCTTAATTAGCATGCAGTTTAAGAGGTGGTCAGCACCCATTCATGGGCGGTTAATTAGCATTTCTGTGTGGTAAACGCGGTCATAACAGTCAAAGGCTCATTTGCACACGGGTTTAGTTGTGGCGGTCTAGTCACGACTGTGGGTGAGGAGGAAGAGGCTTCGGGGATACACCTCTTTAACAGAACTTTCTTCTCCGATCCCGGTAAATTGCTTTTAAAAAAATGCAACTGCAAAGGCACAAGGAGTTCCACTTACTTATAAGGAGAAAGTGCTTCATTTTCAATTGCTGTGAATTTGCTCTTCACTGTTTACTTGCAACCATTGAAATGATGGACACAATTGTTATGACCTCGATTTGGGCTTATCATCAGCACTCTACCCTTTTATCTTATTACCAGACCGATAAAGTGGTTACTATTCAATGCTTTGTTAAGCAGTACCATTGCCCCTCTTTCCCATCGCTTACAAATCAAAGGTAATTTTGTTGCAAACTTAAAGCTTTGTGGACAAATTGCCAGTAGTCTAGAAATTTAATGCATTATGCTAACGGACGTAATTACTTTCCTTGATGTCAAATATGGCTCCAATGATATATTATTGGCTTGGATGCGGATAATATTGAGATGACTCATATAGGTTTAAAATTGAAAATTCTGAGGAAATTATTTTCATTTTTAACAAAATACCATCTAAAACTCCAATCTTATTTTACAGTAAAATAAAAAGCTGCATCTCATCAGTGCAAAAGAGATTATTCAAACCAAGAGGCTTTCACTAGTGAAGGATTTTCGTGGAGACTTTAGTGGCAGGAAATATATCTCATGTCTACTGCATTCCTTATGGAAATTGTCCCTATTAATTATTCAAGTGGTTGTATAGGCACGCAAGGGAGAATTCAACATCCAGTGATTTCTCGCAACCATTTGTCATCGACCGTGATTGAAAACTTCTTTTACATGCAAACCATTTTACGGCGTGAAATTCGGTCAGCAAAATACTGCAACTAGTTCTCTCTTCTTTAAAATCAAAACACAAAAATAGTATGCATTTTTCAAGTTTTTGGACTCCAATCTGCTTGCTAAAAATCCTCAAGGTATAAAACAAATGAATATTATTACTCAGAGCTAAAAGAATATGTAAATCGGAGGATGCTAATGAAAAAGTGGGTCAGGACATTTAAAGTCTTAGATATGAAACACCAGTCGTCGTTAAAACGTTGAAATAACTCACTTTTGGTATGTTTCTATTCCTGAAAGCTTCTTATCGGACAAAGTGTGCAGCACAGGTGTCGTGCAGCACTCAGACCCACCATTTATTACCAGCTTAGGCTACCAATAAATTGCCAAGCCTCTAAAAAAGCACAATTAGCTGTTAACGCGCAAAAGCTATGTCATTTAGTATGAACTGAAGCTTCAAGTGTCCTAGTCAACCTAGAGGTCAAATATGCAACTTGATTGCAATGAGGTCATGACTACGGAAATAGCCGTATTCAATAGGCCTAATTACAGTGCCGCATATACAATATTAAGGAAGAATGGCAAAATAAAATTCCTTAAAAGGCTAGGAGGTGTAGATAAATTGAGCAACCAACTAATTCCTATGGTACTACTTCAAAACAGAAGTGTAGCTTTAAAAGTAACAGTTTATTTTACCAAAATCGTACTCAATGATCCGTTCTTTGCAAAAATTCCATGCACCTATAATCGATATTTACACAAAAATGTGAAATAATGGAAGACAAAATTAAGATCGGGCACAGAGCACCATAAATGCGACCGCAGTTAGCGCCATAAATCACGGATATTTGTTAGTAGCAACACATAATAGCCTAGTGAGAACGTCATGCAATGATTTCCAGTGTTAGCCTGTAAAATATGGCTAGTGTCCAAT